CTTTTTGGGGGCAAAATAGGTCTTTTTGCCATTTTTTTTAAAAATTGACGACTGGGCCAGGTTTGAAAGATAATAAATATATCACCCACCTATCCAATCTTTGTCAAACTCGTTGTTTTTACTTCTTATTATAAGCACTTAAACTTATTTTTATTATACTAAGCGGATATATTTGTAAGACACTGATATTTGGGGGAGAACTATAAATTTTTGGCAATTATTCACAGTTTTTATGATCAATCTGGCAACGCATCAAGCATCAGCTGATTTCGCATCGATGCTTTTTTAGTAAAATCTCGCATCGCTCAATTGGAATCTGAGTTCTTGCAACCGTGATAGGCGCGTTCAAAAAGGAGAGTGATGTCTGCTGGGGTAACTTTGGTACCAGAGAAATAATATTGCCTTTGTTCAAATACATAACCACATAAACTAAAAAAAGACTTATTGTAACATTTCTGTTCACTATGTTATGTACATAATGTACATTCATTTAATTTTCTTTACTTTTCCGGTAAATTTCGAAGTGAGAAATAACTGATTTATTTGTGTTATTGTGCTCACGATGTTGATTTGTGACTTCATTTAGGCCGCGAGCCGAGGCCATTTATCTTTCAGTTTCGTAGCGCACATCAGGTAACTACCTGAAAATGATTTTAAAATGTTCCTTAGAAATTTAGTAACAAATATTGCCTTGTTCCCACTTCCAAAAGTTGCACGTTTTACAGAAAAGACGCTTTTACTACAATAAATATGTGTTACCATCTGTCCTATTTTCTCTGCTTTTCCGGTATCATGGGCCAATGAACGCAGACTTCTGCACGACGTAACAGTCAAGTTAGTCAGCTGTAGGTGGATCCCCAGTGATCGGATGAATATCAGATGTACTCAACTGCTCGCTTTTGCGTTGAGTAGCCTTTCCATAGTTTTTTTCAGTTACCGGTAATATTAGTCCAGTTATTCTAAGGAGGTGTTGAAAAGTATAGGTAAGATATTAAACACTTGTATATCCTTGCCATAACTAGCAATTTTAGTTGGGCACTAGCTCATAAGACGTTGTTAAATAGGTACGGTGCGGTAACTCCAAGGAAGGCTAGACCTAGAATAATATGTCACAAACAACGATATTTTCTGGCTTGCATGAAATGTTTATGATTAATTTAATGACTCTTCTTGACTATTCAGCAGACTTATACTACTATATAGGCCACAGCATATTTGGAAATAGAAATGAATGGCTGTTTCTGTAATGCACGATTGTGTGAAAGAGAAGAAATTAATCAATTTTACTAATGTCGGTTGGTCTAAATCTAAATTCATAGAGTCGACAAGAACCTGGGAAGCAATGATAAGTTATGCCGGAGTGGAAAGAAAGGCCTATATCAAAATTTAGTGTAGATATAGTCTAGTAATGGTATGCAAACACTGCTGGACTGTAGAACATGCAATGAGCATATATACGCTCATTTAGTACATCAGATAAAATGCATTATGTATTCAAGGTATTAGGCCTAGTTAGTATTTAGGGGTATTTTTAAAATCATGCTGCTCCAAATATTATTTTCTTCCTTATTTTAGATACTGTACTACAAAAGAAAACGGCAATGTTCCACCAATCCGACCTAACGCAGGCTCTAATCCCTGCTGCTATCAGTGCTATAAAATGGATTAAACAAGAAGTCTTGAAGCTTAAAGGTATATGAGAATCATAATAGTTGCAAACAGCTTAGATGGGCTATTCATATTGAAATACTTTAGCACTTTTCTGCAATTGGAACTGCCCATCAAATTCATGTTGGAGACTTCATTGAGATTTTCAATTCATTTTTTTCCCTCGACTATGAAGATCTTTTGAGGTTAACGAGGTATTAATAAATAAAGCCGAGGAATTTGAAGAGGATATGAAGAATGTAAATGATACCAGGGCACGTCTATTTAACACTGTCAAACATAAGGATTATACTCTCCACCCAACAATGATTCACTGAAGAAGCATGTGGCCCTCAAATCAGTTCTTGAGTTGGCAAACTGCAAAGAAAAATAGTCAAAATAATTTATGAAAGTGTGCCAAAATCAACTTAAATTGCACAGATTTTTGTTTTTGTATTGACTGCAGAAATCACAGTACACCTATAGAGGAAAAGTCGATATTTGAGATAGTGGATTTCGAAAACAATTCAGAAGAAAGTGAATTAGATATTACAGTTGATTTAATAAGTATCATACATTTGTTTTTTTTTCGGACATTTGTTAGTGTCGTAGTCCTGTTTCTAGAAATATTATTGCCTTTGTTCAAATACATAACCACATAAACTAAAAAAAGATTAATTGTAAATTGTAATATTTCTGTTCACTATGTTATGTACATTCATTTAATTTTCTTGACTTTTGCGATAAATTTCTAAGTGAGAAATAACTGATTTATTTGTGTTTTCGTGCTCACGATGTTAATTTGTGACTTCATTGCTTAAAAATAAATACGTTTGATACTTGATAGCTTCTATAAAATGGATGTAGCTTTTTATGCTGTTCTTGTTGTAAACTTCTTGTGGTTATTACATAAAATTTATTCTCAAATGTGAATCAGCGTTGTTGGTGTCGCTGCTTTCGAGGTCACTCCCGACTCCTGTCACACAATTAAAGTATTTTTTGTTGTTGGTTACATGTATGCCATATTTTTCGTAATCTACCTAATAAATTATGATTGACTGAGGAAGTCCGATTTTGGTCAGGCAAAACATTACAGGAATACATTTGTGTTAGTGTGCTGTAGGGCTCTCGAATTGTATAGTTCTTATGTATGCGTTGTAAACTTATGGTTATTGAATTTCCGGGAACCTCTTATATTCAATTTCGCACCAGGATTGTGGAACAAGCTGTAATGCGTTCATTATGTTCGTTTTCACACAAAACTGAAGAGTTTATTTAGTTACCAGATGTGCGCTACGAAACTCATTTTCTGGGCGTTTTCATGGTTTCGTCTCACGGCCCATATCCGTGGTAAGGATCTACAAGTGTTTAATAATTTACTTATACATTTTTCAACAACTTCTTAGCATAACTTAACTAATAATAACTAAACAGGGCTATGGAAAGCCTGCCCAACTCAGCGCAAGGTCGAGCAGAAATAACTAATATTCATCCGCTCGCTAACAGCTGGTTTAATTCAATTGTTACGTCATGCAGAAGTCATTGTTCAGTGCCGAAAATGTAGAGAATATAGGACAGATCGTAGCACATATTTCTTGTAGTAAAAGCGTCTTTTCCGTAAAACGTGCAACTTTTGGAAGTGGGAACAAGGCAATATTTGTTACTAAATTTTTAAGGAACATTTTAAAATCATTTTCAGGTAGTTACCTGATGTGCGCTACGAAACTCACTTTCTAGGCGTTTTTCAGGGCCTCGGCTCGCGGCCTAATTGCTTAAAAATGATTACGTTTGATAGCTTCTATAAAATGAATGCAATGCAAACTTCTTATGCTGTTCTTGTTGTAAACTGCTCATGTATTGTTATTACATAAAATTTATTCGCTAATCTGAATCGGCGTTGTTGTTGTCGCTGCTTGAAGATCTTTCGAGGTCCCTCGAGACTCCTGTCACACAATTAAAGTATTTTTTGTTGTTGGTTACATGTATGGCATATTTTTCGTAATTTACCTAATAAATTATGGTTGACTGAGGAAGTCTGATTTTGGTCAGGCAAGACGTTACAGAAATACATTTGTGTTAGTGTGCTGTAGGCCTCTTGAATTACATAGTTCTTATGCTGCGTTGTTGTATTATTTTGCATGTCCCAGCTTAAGCTCAATTTTGAGATTTTGCTTTTTTTTTTCCTTTTTCTCTGTACCTTATAAACTGTTCAAATTTATTTTGTTACTTTGTGGTGATTTTGTTCAACGTCTTCATATACATGCTGCCTAAAGTCTTCCACCATTTACACAAAAAGTTATTGTGTATCCTTCAACTTTAAAAGCCCGATTCCACGCAATTGATGCATCCATATACTCAAAAATACATATCCATGTAAAATTTGACCAATACCACACTTGATCAAGTGTGCAACATCCCCGAAATTCTATTTAACTTTAAACGCCTATTGTGTATACGCAAATATTTTAGTAATTTTTCTTTCCTTCCGTGGAAATTTAATGTTGTTTTTGGACACACCTAAAATATGTTAAAACATATCTGAAGCATTTTTTATTCATGTTTATTGATATTAATGTTGGGTGGTAACTGACTCCGATGACCGCATGGTCGTATCGTTGCCACCCAGTCTATACCAAGAACTGTTTCGCTTATTATCATTCATGTTTTTGTTGTGTATATGTTTTCTGGTGGACAAAACAAATAAACTCTCTCTCTGTAAACCTATGAATATTGAATTTCCGCAACCCCTTATATTCAATTTCGCATCAGGATTGTGGAACAAGCTGTAATGCGTTCAGTATGTTCATTTTCATACAAAACTAAAGAATTCATTTAGTTACCAGATGTGTGCTACGAAACTCATTTTTTGGGCGTTATTTAAGGCCTCGTCTCACGACCTATATCCGTGGTAAGGATCTACAAATGTTTAACAACTTACTTATACTTTTTAACAACGTCTTAGCATAACTTGACTAATAACAATAATAGGGCTATGGAAAGGCTACCCAACTCAACGCAAGATCGAGCAGTAATAACTAAGATTCATCCGCTCGCTAACAGCTGATTCAATTCAATTGTTACGTCATGCAGAAGTCATTGTTCATTGCCGGAAATGTAGAAAATATAGGACAGATCGTAGCACATATTTCTTGTAGTAAAAGCGTCCTTTCCGTTAAACTTGCAACTTTTGAAATGGGAACAAGGCAATATTTGTTACTAAATTTCTAAGGAACATTTTAGAATCATTTCCAGGTAGTTCCTGTATGTGCGCTACGAAACTCATTTTCTAGGCGTTTTTCAGGGCCTCGTCTCACGGCTATCACATTGTCCGTTGCTAACAGAATCGAAAGTGTCACATACAGCCATACCATAAAAATATTCCAGAGAAATACATACATTTTCGCTATAGCGAGTTAAGCACATTGCACATCTCAGGTGCCACAATCGCCTTCTCCCTTTTACCCTGTTGTGTTGCTGTGCTTGATCAACGCCTGGCGTTCTTGAATATCGTAAGTGAGTTTTAGATCGATTTTAGTCTAACATAGTGACGCAAAATTTGCTCCACTAAATTCTGCAACTATGGAACGTGATATACCCCAGCTTGTTTTGGTCGCAATGTTTTATCGTAATCGTGGAAGGAGATTACTGGTGCGGTTATACGAATATATGAAATCAGGAAAATAAGTGCTTGCTCACATGGAAATTAGTTACCGGTACTATACCGGTAGTCTCATTGTTCTCATCAAGATTTATATAATTATTTTGAGTTCTTAATATGTGTTTACTAATCGGAGACCAATCCTGCTACCTGAGTTGGGGAAGCCTTGGAAAGACTGTAATCATTGACGCTACTTCAGCCACCTATTTCGAAGGCTCAGTCATCTAAATGGAATGACCAGGCAGGCTTGAGACTTTTGGGAAATTTTTGAGCGAGTGTTAAATTAAGGGTTGCAAGTTTTGTGTTTTTAGAAAGTTAAAAACCGGACGGATGACCGATGAATCACATTTTTTTTTACACATATCAGAAATTTCAGATTTTAAACAGTGCGAAAACTGTGGCAACTCATGAACTCAACTCTGTCGTCTTACTAAAAAAAATTACAAATGACACCTAATGTGGCACTTTTTGCATCACGCTTGATAACTATTAGGCCAAGATTAGAACATTTTCCAAATGGGCATCACTAATCCGAGTTTTCAGATTGTTCTTTGTAATGTTCACTTTCGAAATTAATTGGTCGTACACATATGTCTGTATGTATGTACTTCCAAGCATCGATTTGAATTTTTTCGCACGGTTTGTCGAATTTGGATAGAGATTTCCTTCAAGAATATACTTTTTATAAAAAATCAAGCAGTGATACATTCTCTAATAAAATATGGATTTCATTTCCTCATTGCATTGCATCTCAAGAAGCTCTATTCGAATATTTTCTGCGCCATTGAACCCTCTGCGACGATTTTCCTGCGTGTTGCCAATCGTCTAATTATAAATAACTTTTAGGCTTGTTAAACGAGTAGATGTTCACTAAATTGTTAGGTTTTGATATAGTTTATTCTAAACATGTCTCACAATAAATTCTGTAATGTAGCAAATATATTCAACTTCGGGAGCGTGTGTTATAAAATCAAATTATTGTCAAAACCGCCGGGTTGTAGGATGTCGACCCCTGGTGTAAGTCATCAAATTATATGCTATCCATGAAATCTGCTGAGATCCGTTTTCAATTGAAAACAGCAGCGACTGAACTTTGGATTCAGAATTAATGAAATTGCTGGGATCAAGTACCTCTGATTAATTCATTCAATCAATTTTATTTTGATCACTCTGAAAGAAACAAACGGACAAACAAAATGCAGGGGATTTGGAGGATGGGCATTACTTAATGAAAAGTTAGAAACGTACGAGTACATGCCCGTCCACCAAAAACAGTCAAAAGAGCACAATAAAATAAAGACGCGTGTATAATCGCCAGTCTGGATTTCATGGCCTTTTTGAACAAGAAATCAGGCGTGCAATCAGAAATTCCCGCGGGCAAATCAGAATTCCCGGCACGCAATTATAGGAATGCTTACGGCGTGCAAATCAACTGCGCCCGTGTGCAACTGATTCTGACTTTAAATACTGTTCAATACATCGGCGTAAAATTACCGGATAAAAAATATGTCGAAACAGCAAAAATGGACGTTTTTCCTTTGACCCATAAACGTTATTTTTATAATTTGTCATTAATTTTGAGTGTTTGTGCGACCTTGGATACCGGTACTGTTCAGTACATCCCCGTAAAATTATTGGATAAAAAATACGTTGAATCAGAGCAAAATGAACATACTTTGTCATTAATCTGTTAATTTTGGGAGTGTTTTTACGTATAATTATTGGGTGAAAAATATGTTGAATCAGAACATAATAAAGACCATTTAAACCGATTTTCATTGGCGAGCAATTGCAAGTTTTCGGCAAGCAAAATTGAATTCGCTCGCGTGCATTTCTACGAAGCGCCAGCGCCCTCGGGCTTCACCTGCCTACAGGGGTGGTGACTCCACTACGACCCATGGGCCGGGGCCACGGCCCATCTAATTGGGCCACACGGGCCGTGGCCCATCAAGCTATGGGCCGCGGCCCCGTCAGGAAAAATTCAATTATCTTACCAAAATTCAATTTTTACAAAATTGTCAATATTCGAACCAAAAAATAAACTCCTGTAGTATGTGTACCAGGTTAGGGTTAGGGCAAAATTTTGTTCAGATTTCTTACATTATAGTTCTATTATGAGTTTGGGGACTGTCTGTGTTAGCCAAGTGAATAATTCCTTTACACAACTTGATGGGCCGCGGCCCATAGCCTGATGGGCCTAGGCCCAATTTGATGGGCCGTGGCCCCGGCCCATGGGCCGTAGAGGACACACCACTTCCACTCTCACCTGTCTTGAAATCCAGTCTGGTATAATCGGGCAATACCTTTTAAATCAATTCAGGATTAATTAAATCCATTTGTGGCACAATTCTCTTGAATGAAATTGTTGTACTGATGAATAATGTTATATAATTTGTTTTTAGAAAATGCAACTTTTTTTGCAAGCAGAACAGCTTCATTGTGTTGAGGTCGATGGCCATGAAACTGTCGCCACACTCAAACATTTGATTGCCCTTAGAGAAGGCATATCAGTTGATGATCAGGTTGGTACGATTTCTTCTCCAATTTAACTAAATTTATGATTTTTTGTCACTTCTTACTGAGCTTTTGCTAATTTCCTTGCGTTTTGAAGTCTGAGAAGTAGTAGCCATAGTAATAGCCATAATATAACTGCTTTTAACATATTTCCAGATTCTAACCTGTGGAGGACGAATTATTGAAGATGAACTATCTATTAACGATTCAGATCTTCAGAATCTGTGTACCCTTGATGTCTCGTCAAGGCTTCTTGGAGGTATGCCTCGAATTGAACTTTCTTAAGATTTAATATATAGATACATTTATGATCAAATATATAGAAGTCATGATATCATGTATTTTTTAGGTAAGGTCCACGGATCCTTGGCCAGAGCTGGAAAAGTGAAAGGTCAGACCCCAAAGGTAAGATTCAAAAGTTTGTATCTTATTTTGTGAATTATTTCATATATCCGGCTTAATAATATATTACATCGCTGCAGGTGGACAAGCAAGAAAAGAAGAAACAGAAAACTGGACGGGCTAAGAGGAGGATGCAATATAACAGGCGTTTTGTCAATGTAGTACCAACATTTGGCAGAAGGCGTGGACCTAATTCCAATTCTTAAGTGGTATATTCCATATTGTAATAAAATGGTGTGATCCATTTCAATATATTGTTGTATTTCATTTATGTAATGTAGAGGTTTAAGATCAGAAACAGTTATTCTAGACAAGGTTTGACTAAGTATCCTAATAGCATGCAATATAGACTGAAGAATATGTTTTAAATTGTCCACAGAACATGTCAATTTGTTCCTTTCAGACGAATATGTTAGAATTCAGGAGTATTAAATAGCGCAAATTATTTTGGGATGTTGATTTGTACTGTCTTTTTTTCAATGCAATATTTAGGGACAAGGTATATTTTAATACTTCCCTCAACAGGGGTCTACAAATTACACCCCTCGCCCCTGTTATGGTCCACAGGAGTGTTTCATCCGGCCCACTTCTGCCTGTTTATAAATCAAGACTTATTTTTCGGATACAAATTTCTCATGCAACAAATACCTGTTGCATTACATACATCAGTGAAATGAGCAGGCAGGAGATTGTTATCGAAGCTAGTTATTTGTAAATAAACTGTTTTACATGAACCTTGGGGCCCAGTAACCAAGTTTATTACTTGTAAGTGGCCCACTTAAGAGAGTGATTGGCCCATAAGATTCTCGAGGTTGGTCTCTTGGTGTGTTAATCCTGCTTTTGAGATACAATGGCAACTAATCGGTGGGAAATAGTGACCTAATTAAAATAAGTGAGAATGATATATATATTAGTAGAGACATTGCCCTGCTTTGAATTTTAATGCTATTTACGCTAATTCTTAATATTCTGTGGTAAAAAACTAGTCTGGACAAAATTTTATCATTACTGTCTCCACCAATGTCCTGTAGGGAATTCCATTCCTGACTTTTTTTAATGAAATACTATAGAGACAGTTTACCACTTACCGGTAGGTAATTTTTATAGCAAAGATACATGTTTATAAAGTAAGCGTACTTTTCTAAATGAAGCTTCAAGTATATTCTTGGTTTCATAAAACTGTACAATTAAGTGTCCTTGGTTAATGGCGCACAATTGTTCTTAGTAAAATGCAGCGGAGTGTTGATATTGACTTGAAGAACATTTATGAATAAAATGAGCTGCACAGATGTTCTTCATAGATGCTTTGCCTATTTGAGAAAATTCATTATATAACATAGGGAAGTATCAATAGCACCTGCATGTCCGAACAGTGCCCACATGTAAATGTATAAGTGTTTCATAAATCATAATCTTGATTCACTCTAAATTTTAAGAAACTTCTCCCTTCGAAATATCATTCATCTTATGATAATGCACTCCTTTTGCCTCAAGCTGAGACTCAGACCATATTAGAAGCTTTATTAATTTTGTTAGGCAAGGTACAGATTCTTTGTTTTCATACTCCATAATTGCAGCATTGACACGACTCCAAACTTTGTGCCTTTGTGCAGGGCATAAAAGGTCCAAAAATGGCGACTCTTCAGGCTTTTCAAAAGCCAGCAAAGCCAAAGCTCTTTCCATATCGACAAGGCATTCTGGACTTTCTTCACCACGTTCACTTAAACTTGTTTGGGCAAATTCCAACGCTTCTTCCGTTTTGTGTTCACGTATGAGTTCAATTAACTGCTGAAGCTGCAGATAGAAAAGTAAAACTCTGTCATCATCTAAAAGCTCGGGGTGCAGATCATTGATGAGTGAGATTGCTTCTGATATACACCCTTTCAATATTGCATCACGAACTTTAATTCGACCTTCGATTCCTTTCAGGCATTCCGAAGCACTTATACCTGCTTCAATTTCAAATTTCTCTGCAGCCTCTTTGTATCCTTCTGTTACCAAATAGTCCATGATTAACCTGTTCATAATAGCAGATTCAATGTGCATATTTTCCATCTCTTCAACCCATTTTTCTTTATCGTTCTGTGGAGATTTCTCTTCTTGCATCGTCACATCCATTTTTTATTTATATAATTAATGCAAACTGGTTTTTCATCTGGAATACATTGAAAAATCACTAACTAGATGAGTTTTTAGTCTACATTAATATTCAGAATGAATCAGCATTTGAAAATTATTATATTCCATACATAATGGGACAAAAGCAACGTACCTGAATATGCATTTTTAAAATATCGATATAATAGTCATTTATACAACCATTGTCTAATTATTGACAACTTTAGTTGAAGTTTTACATATCTTGATATAAAAAATTATTGATGTTCAAAAATTTTTAAAATGACTATTTGATTACACACAACTGGGTTAGATCAGCATGAATCTCTCATAGCTCCTAATTTATTGAGAAGAATTTATTTAGGCGAACTTGCATTTATTAAAACGAATGTCAGATTTTAAGAATTTCATTGAAATCAATAGACTGTCGAAGATTAGTCAGGACTAATATAAACTAAATACCACTGCTGTATACTGATACAGCCAACTCTGAAGTGAAAAACTTCTTTTCAACAGCAGTAGAATAGTTTAGGGATTGTTACCTAGAGTTGTTAGGAAAATAATTTGAATTAGGTAAGTAGAAATTTGCAACAAACAGAAAAATGTAAATTCTGAAATTTGGCAGTCTAACATCACTAACTATGTACCTAATTAGAGTCATTAGACCAACGTTTAAATAGTTTTTCGCTGTGGAAGTTCTGCAAGAAATCGATTTGCGGAAACAAAAATACTGCCTATCGGGTAAGAGTGCATAACTTAATGCTAGGCGGTTACAATCAAAGTGACTGACTATATTCACTTCGGTTACAATCAAACAATACTCAAGTATTTGTGATGTTTCTATGACCCTTGACCCCTTGGTCTTGATTTTTGACTACTGCATTATTTATTTGCGTTATTACTGTCTACAAACAAGCGAATATAGAATAAAACAAACAATAATAATTAAATCTTCCTTTTATACCGAATTAGCCATTTGAAGTAGACAAAATATGTCTATAGCCACAAAGGATGCGTTGACAAGGCATGCTTGAACCCTAGTGACGTCATTCAACACCATCACTCGAACACTCGCGTGGCTATAATACCAGTAGTCTAATACGGGAAAAGGAGGATTTGTGTGCCTCATTTCAGGGGTATCTACCGTATGACTGTTTACAATATTATAAAATCAAAAGTATCCTAAAGTTAATTTGTACGATCTGCATGCAAGTTGCGTTACTAGTGATTTGCTCAAATTTGAGAAAGTTTAGATGTTTGCAGGCTTGCCCCGGGATAAATATGTAAATCCTATCCTATCCTTGCGAAAATGATTTGGATATCCCGACAGCTGAGAGCACAAACTAAAATTAGACATTTCGGAAGAGGGAAATGAGTGTAATACTTTCTAAAAAGATAATCAATTAGTTAAATTAAAATATAGTCCACTTAAAAAACTCTCTCTCTCTCTCTCTAGTAATAGCCAATTAAATTTAAAATGGCTGAATATGATCTCACATCAAAAATTGGTTGTTATTTGGATCGCCACTTGGTGTTTCCATTATTGGAATTTTTATCTGAACGAGACATATTTGATGAAAGGGATTTGCATAAAGGAAAAATTGATCTTCTGAGCAACACAAACATGGTGGATTTCGCAGTGGATGTTTATAAAACTTTGTATCCTGGCGAGGCAAGTATAGCATCTGATAGCTTTCAATTTGGGTCTAGTGTAGTTTCCAACATGAGTACTTCTAGTGGGTGTAACAATTTTAGCTTATGTCAATTTTAACCCCCACTTCAGCACTTGATTGTGTCATCTAAAAATTATGTCACTCGATGTATTAAGGCCCTTAAAACTATACGAACTGTAATCCAAGATGTGCAGATGTTCACCGATCACTTGTTTTTTCGTCGCAACGATCCTAGTGAGTTCTTAATCGTCGGCGCAGATGCCATTTCAGGCGGTTGTGGGTGTGAAGTGATTGTGACATCATATTGACATGATTTTTTGGATGGTGTAGTCAAGTAGGGGTTAGTATTTTATATACGTTTTTTTGTGCTCTTTTTAATGATGCTCTTATTTTTAAGGAGGCTCCTGCTCATCTAACAGAGAAAAGATTAGAAGTTGTCGGCTTATTAAAATCCCATACTACAAAAACTATGCCTATCGTTGAGATTTTCAATAACCCGGAAGTCAGTAAACAGGTTGGTGCTGCTTATTATGGGATTCAAATGACTGATATTTTATACTAATGCTGATAACAACATTTAAATCAATACTTTCTGTCCAGAATATTCATTTAATGTAGAAAATATGAGCATTTTACCATATAGTTCCAGTTCGTGAGTATTTTGCTCTTTTAAAAAGTTTCGGCTAGTACTTGTTTGATGAACAGTTCAACTGAATGATAAAGCTGCATTTTTCAATATTCTCTAATTTTACAGGTCGAAACTGTTAGAGACGGAAAACAACTTTTCGAATATCTGGAAACAAACCATGCATTTAGGCTCGAAGACTTAGATTCTTTATATGATTATGCCAAGTTCCAGTATGAATGTGGTAACTATTCAGGTATGACTCTGAAGATTTTAATAGTCAATGTTGGTTGTTCAATCCATTTGGTACCTAAATTCCATTAATATTATTTTTAGGTGCTGCTGAATACCTATACTTTCATAGAGTTCTTGTAAGTCCGACAGATAAACATGCGATGGATACTTTGTGGGGGAAACTGGCTAGTGAAATATTGATGCAGAATTGGGATACAGCTTGGGAAGATTTGCATAGATTGCGAGAAACAATAGATGCAAACACAATTGCTACTCCTCTGCAGGTTTCACTCATTAGTTATTTGCTAGTTTCACTCATCTTTATATCAATATTATATGTATATATTGGATAAGATGTTTAATAATAGAGTTGGAGGCTATTTTTTCTTAGCATGACCTCATTTATGTAAAAACATGCTCAGAGCTGTGGAAGTCTGGTGGCAGCAAATCCGTCTGCTTGTGACAGTTGGGCTCAAAGAACCCATAAAATACAGAGCTGATAGTCAAATATATAGATTTATCAATAATATGGATTCTAGTTTTAAGAACATTTTTTGAATATATTTGAAATGTACCTCAAAGTTTAATTTATTAATTTCTGTGGATTTACAGACTTTGGAATTTTAAAACATATGTTTTGTTTCAGCTACTCCAGCAGAGGACATGGCTGATCCATTGGTCTTTGTTTGTATTTTTCAATCATGCTAAGGGCAAAGATGAAATCATTGAACTTTTTCTCTATCAACTACCTTACTTAAATGCTATTCAAACCATGTGTCCCTGGATACTTCGTTATCTCACAACGGCAGTTATCACAAGTAAAAGGAGAAGACAGGTGAGCAATTAGTATAATTAATATTTGATTGTAAAGTAATAGGTAGTTTTAGGTAAATAAATAATGTATAATATTTTTGACTTTTTCTAGAAAGCCCCCGCCAAAAAAACACACTCCCCCTCTGCTCAAATTAAAAAAATTAGTGTCTAGATATTTTTATTTATTGAAGGATTTCAGCACTGAATTTATCGAAGTCGGGGTTATCGATAGCGAATGCGCAATCTGCAGTACTTAAAATGTGGCGGTGATGTTTTCCTAATCTTACATTTTTGCATTAGTGCAAAAGATCCAACAGTTAGCAGTTAGGTTAAACAAATATGGGCTTCGTCTTCTAGGTTTTGAAAGATCTTGTTCGTGTAATTCAACAAGAGACCTACACATACCGTGACCCAGTCACTGAATTTATTGAATGTCTTTACATTCATTTTGATTTTGATCGTGCTCAAGAAAAACTGAGGGAATGTGAGACTGTATTGGCAAACGATTTCTTCCTCATTGCTTGTCTTGATGAGTTCATAGAAAATGCAAGATTGTTCATTTTCGAAACATTTTGCCGTATTCATCAGGTATATAATTCGTGTTATTTATTATTTGGCTTCCCCATATTAATTGCTCTAACACTATTATTAATGAGTATTAAAAGAGTCTGGCTGTACTGAACAGTGGTGTTTAGAGTAAAATGTAAAGTTTTTTAAGAGTTAAGGAGTTTTCAACTATTGTCATACTTAAAGACTATTAGTTCATAGCTTATGTGATAAACATGAACTCAATTGATTCTTGAAGTCCCAGTCATTATCTTGTGCTAATATCTGATGGTTGGTTTTTTTCATTTTTTGGCTACGTAAAATCAATATAAATTTTTTCTTCCCACGCAGTGCATTAGCATTGATATGCTGGCAGAGAAACTCAACATGAGTTCGGAAGATGCAGAGAGATGGATTGTGAATCTAATCAGAAATGCTCACTTGGATGCTAAAATAGACTCCAAACTGGGCCATGTCATGATGGGAACACAAGCAGTGTCACCATATGAGCAGGTTCAAAATTATGTTAAATGCAAGAATTCATCTATTAGTTATGTGTAAACGTATTATAAATTCATTGTTTTATGTGCATATTAAAATGAATAAACACTATATTGATACTAATTTCAACAAGTGGTTGGGACTCCTCACAGACACAATCGGTATTTTCAATTTCCCAATAAACCAGTCATTCTTGTTACCAGGTTATAGAGAAAACTAAGAATTTGGCTTTTCGAAGTCAAATGCTCTCTACCAATGTTGAGAGAAGACTGACAAAGGAAAAAAGTTCCAATGAAAGTGCAGTAAGTGATTATTGAATATCAATCTAGTTTTGGTTTTATTGGGAGCATGTCGTCGATGCAGCAATTCCATGCTGGAATACTTTATAGGAAACAAATTGACACTTCTTAATCCTCATTGAAATACTCTCTCAATTATCCAAATTCTTGAACTTGGATATTTGAAATCGAATAAATAGATACCTGTTTCTAGCATGATAATTTTAACTCGCCTGATGCAAAATTTGGTCAAATAGTTCAAGCTCCAATAAAAAGAAATTTAGCTCAATTACATGACAAAGACGGTAATTACATATTAGTATTTTATTTCTAAGAGAATTCCCGCTAGCTCATGATCCCAGGTTTCTAGACTTACGTTTTCGATCTTGAACGAGGCTCAGTTATGTGCGAGAGGTTTGAGTCTTCGCTCTCTTAAGATGCCTCATATAATACCTAGTTATTTAATCCCATATCTAACCCAATCCATTGCTTACAAATATGAATACCACTGTTCTGATATTCAAGTGTGTGATGACTGATGGTGTCTTCAAAGTAAACTACCGTATATCATGATCAAATTACGAAACGCTAATTCAGAAAATTCTGATTGATGGAAGATTCATAAATGTTCTCACCAACATACAAGAAAAGATTGAAATAATGACTCTTATCTATCTTAATTCCCGTGTTGTTTTGTAGGTTCCACATTGGGCTGGTGGTCCAAAAGAAGGGTGGTGAAGTTTAACATGTTTACTATTTTGCATCATGCAGAAGCATTGCCAGAGTTGGAAATATATGGAGTGTGTGGTATAGGGAATGAAAAGAATCAAGAATAAAATAGAATTTTTAAATCTGGAGTTTTGTGTTGGGCATTGGGGTTTCTAGTGTTTGGCGCGGTTAGATATACGACATTGCTTAAAAAACTTGCTCTTGACATATAAAGATGAAGGTTCAAACTTTGCGAAACTGTTTCATTAGTATTCATATCCCTCTAACGAGTATTGGGCTGTTTAGAACTGTTGATTTTCTAATATTTTTACAACCATGTCCTATTTTATGGCTAATACTTTTTTCAAGAGTTGCACAAAGGTCTGAACACTATTTTCATAGTCATTTCGTAGTAGAAGACTTGTTCAGGTTGGACATGTGCATAGTTGACCAGGTATTTGTTGCATATCTGTGGCTCTGTCAGTTGAGGAAGCTGTATCAACTGGAGACCATGTTAATCGCCCTGCGATAAGTGGGAGTCCAGTACTGCTTATAAAATTATCTATACACATCGTTCAAAAGGTTACCAGTATCAACCTGAGTCACGTGTAGTAGAATGATAAAACAAAGCCTGTTACATTGTTTGTGCGTAGGCCCACAGATAAATAGCATTGACTTTTCTATAATGATCGAGAGTCCTATGTCTGGCAATCTATGTAAGTGACTGAATGAATCACACTTCCGTAGTACTACACTGCATTTGATTGACAGCACGCGACTTGTGTAACTGCGCTAAAAACCAAGACTAGGGGCCCGATTTCTCTCTACAGAAGAGGCCACGTACGGTATATGGCGCTTGACATATTAATCAACTCTCATTATCTACATGAGATGCGGCGACAATATCGTATTAGGACGGTAAAACAAGTTGCAGTTCTCATTAGGACAGTAAAACAAGTTGCCGTTCTCGGGCACCTCAACCGGATTTCTGATAAGCGACTCCCAAAATAGTCAACGTCTCCCATGACAACGACGTCGTTTATCGTCCAAACTTTTCATACTGCTCTTTTATTACGATACGGTAGTAGTTTGTTCTACAGCAAAACATGGATACTAGTAAAAAGCCATTACGAATACCTCCAGAATTTGGAGTGTACGCAGAAGAACATGAAATATTCGATATGTACAAACGCCTTCTCAGTCAAGTAATAGTTGAAAAACCTGATGATCCCATTCAGTTCATGATAGACTGGCTTAAAAGAGACAGCAGTGACACGACTAAAATCGTGGTCGTTGGCCCACCTTGGAGCGGAAAGACATGTATAAGTACAACTCTAAGCAAGCAAATCAACTCAGTGCTAGTAACAGAACAGGAAATACTGTCAGATGAACTTTCAGAACATTCCAAGAAGGCAAATGCATTGCTCGCAGAAAAGAAGCCAGTTCCAGACACATTATGGGTTCAAATGATCAGAGACAGAGTAAAAAGAAAAGACTGCTTGCGCAGAGGATTTATCTTGGAGGGATTTCCAAGAAATAGATCCCAAGCGTACGCACTCCAAAGTTATGGAATAATGCCAACACATGCTATCATCTTGGATGCACCTGATGTGGTTTTAATGGAACGCCAAGGTGGTAAACGAGTTGATCCCATAACTGGTGATGTTTATCACACAACTTTTGATTGGCCACAAGATGTTAATATTCAAGCCAGACTGATTGAGCCAGACAAGATGTCAGAGACAGACACAAAAGAAAGGCTAGATGAATATAATAGAAATGCTGATGGAATTTCGAACACATACGCAAAAGTTTGCAAAAAGTTGAATGCTGATCAACCGAAAGCGGATGTTCTTGCTCAAGCAATCTCTTTCATTAATACTCGTCAACGATCCGAAGCTGCTCACACACCAAGGATTGTTTTGATTGGTCCAACAGGCAGTGGCAAAAGTGTTGTGGCAGCACAACTTGCTCAAAAATATAATATTGTTGATGTGTCTTGTGGATTACTGATTAAACAGCAAGTTGCAGATGAGACAAGACTAGGAGAAGCAGTCAGGCAATATGTCGAAGAAGATCAAAAACCTCCAAACAATCTTGTTAGCAAGATACTTTCTGATAGGTTAACACAACTTGATGCTACTACAAGAGGTTGGGTCTTACATGGCTACCCACTCACAAGAGAACAAGCAGAAAACTTGACCGATAGTGGTTTGAAACCGAATAGAGTATACTTTCTAGACATACCAGATGACGTAATTGTAGAACGATTGTGTTACCGCTTGACGGATCCAATAAGTGGTGAAAGATATCACACACTTTTTAATCCTCCTCGAACTGCTGATGTAAAAGCTCGTTGTGTGCAAAATCCCAAGGATAAAGAGGAAACAGTTCGTTCAAGACTGGAAGACTATCACGTGTATTCTGAAGATTTGACTGAATATTATAGAGATGATGGTTCAGTGAGGATTAATGCTGATCAGGATCCTCACACTGTCTTTGAATTTGTTGATAGTATTCTGGTTAATCCATTACCAAGAAAGCTCGGAAAAGACTAGAAACTTATGTGTTATCATATTTGTTTATTCATATATTTATCACATTTGTTTTGAAAAAATTCTAATAAAATTTAGAATAAAATACAAATGCACGAATATGTTTGGTTTCCCCTGACATCAGCTTTCAGTAAAATTGGCTAATCAGTAATATGTCCATGGTATATTACCAATTTAGCAGACACTTTTTTTGCTCAAGATTTTTAAACATGGCTGTGAATTGTTAGCTTATCTTTAAAGCTATTTATCAGTTTTTAGTGGCGTTTCTAAAATGCAGGTCATTTAGTAAGTCCTCACGAAGGTTTTAGATTGGTCCTGAAAGTCGCGGATTGACTAGTCAAAAATTAGCTACCATAATTGTAGACAAATTCTGGGGTCAAAGGTTGGTAAACACGCACTTTGTCTAATAGGAACCAACAAATTTTGGAGAGAATTTTTACAAGCAGGAAAACTTCGCCTAGACGCAACAAACAAATATGAGATCAGTGGATACACCATGGTTTTAGTATCTGGAATACTAGAACTAAACATTCTGACATTTCTCGCAACTGTTACACAATGGATAAACTGAAACACTTGTTTAATTAATTTATTTGAATATCAAACATACATAATTGTTAAAAAATAATTTCTGAACAATGATTGTACAAAAATAATCAAACTTGTCTTACATACTGATTAAAATAGAGTCTGCACCTTGCTTCAAGCAAGAAAAGTAGATATTATTGGGATTGAAAACCTGGTTACAGTGTATATCTATCTTGAATAAGGCTAACAACAAAAACAGATGAAGGTGAATGTGAGCACTACATATCTTATGAAAAACTAAGAATAGAAGGAACCAGACCCATTTTTTCAGAGCAAAGACATTATTATTTGAGGGCTAAAATTTCAAAATATCTGAATAAATATCATAATTTTAAATCTAGTGTGAACTGATTAAAAATAATATTCTCAGCTCTTCTCCGATGACATTATTTTAACAAGGAAAAATGGTAATCAAATAATTTTTCATGACATTTCATATTTCGATTGGACTGAAAAAATGAAACCAATAATGTGATAAAACATCTGGGTAATGCAATAAAGCACTTAATCAATAACAAAAAATAAATCTACATAAATATAAAACTACTATCAAGCAATCATTTGAGGCAACAATGTTATTTTCACAATATACTTGCAGTAGGAAGGCACTGGCAACATTATGAAGGAACACAAATTTCAAATCTCACGGATTTTTTTTTAATTTATGATATTGTGATTGCAGTCAATAACACGAACTTGTGAATATAGGCACACAAACAGTTTTATAGAGAAGATTCAGAACAAGCAGATGTGATACAAATATTGTGGAAATGGTTCTGGCATACCATATTGTACTCCCCCTTAACAAGGATTATATGTCAGAATGAAAGAATCAGGCCTCACTCATCCATACCATGACAAGAGATACCATTCGTCAGTGTTAAAATTTGATATAGAAGTTCAGAAAATCTTGTTCTCAGGTATGGAAGCATGCACTAAGCAGGTTGGAACAGGTTGCCCACACCATCTCAGTGTGTGTGTGTGGTATCAGGCTCAGAGAGCAGATTGACTTCTTTGTCTCCGATACAACATTCTCACTGGCTGTGTCGCTGGAACTTTATTCGTAGTAAGTAAAAGTCTTTTGTCCTTGTTCTTTTTGGGTTTGATTTTATTATGTAAAGAGTTTGTAATTGCGATATCTGTGTCAAAGTGATTTCTTCTCCGATAAGCCGATATCAAGTTTTCTTTTCGAATTCCATTATCAATTGGAAAAGCATTTGAAGTACCGCTGCTCTGCCTTATGTCGTACATATTTCCATAAGATTGCGACTGTGGCCTCCGACGTCTTTTATCTGGCACAGACATAGACATTCGTCTGGTAAATGTTCGTTCCTGCCATCCAGAATTATATCTGAAATACAGCAATCTGTCATATTTCAATATAAGGCACAAGGCATGTACAATTATATCAATGCTTATCAGCTTCATAATTATTATGTACCATATATATCAGCACAATTGGTAGAATTTATCAAAATGCTTCCGATAGTTATATGAATGCTTTCTAATAGGGATCGGACAGCTTACTGCTATAACAATCAATATTCACGACATAAGCTAATTGTTGCAAACAAATGTCAGTTAAATCACTCAATGTTGGCGGATTGTGCTGTACACCATGTATAAGATTTCCAATACAATACAGAGTGCCATGCAGAGGTTCACAGTATAAATTCAATAAATTACAATATACGAGTTGTTGCAGACTAGCTCATTTGAGCACTTACTTCACCATCCATTATGTAACTTACAGTATCATTATACTCTACCCAAACTAAGATTAAACAGTCTTATCAGCTCTCCACTCCCGAGGATAAATATAAAAATCCAATACACTGCACAAAAAATTTAATAAACACCTAAGTATAATGTGACAATTTTATCATTTTTTGAATGTTCAAATAAACATACCCCTTCACTTCAGCACCATTCTCCATATGTAAGTTATTCATTACAATACTGGTTCTATAAAGTTTTCGTCCTCTTGACTGTCTTGGAACTGTGGGTGGTTTGATCGGATAATGATTCACAGACATTGATGGTTCAGAATTGCAATATGGTGATGGGGTGTTTCTTCTTGGCGATCTTGACTGATTATTTCGGAGAGAAGTCACAAAATTACCTTGTTTAGTATTTTTATTTACAAGGTAAATAAATTCAAATAATTATAACATACGGTAATCTTATGATACAAAATTGTATTAATGAAATTTATTGTAAATGGAAGTGAATAACGATTCATCTACATGTAAGCTGACTATATATTATGTTATGTCCTTTATTTGACACTTCTGAAGTATGTGAACCAAGATGGCGGACACCGGAACGAAGTATGTGTACCAGGTTAGGGTTAGGCCATAATTTTAGGTACAAATACTACGGGAGTCACTTGGCTAGTCCCCAAACTTGTAATAGAACTAAAATAAGAAAATTGCAATAAAATTATGGCCTAACCCTAACCTGGTACACATGCTACGTTCAGGTGCCCGCCATCTTGGTTCGCATACTTCAGGAGTACCCTTCATTCAGCTTATAGTGTAATTTACACAAATACATCTGCCAACAAAATCACTCACTTTTCAGTGAGAACTACTTTATGCTTTGTTAATGAGTAAAACTTCAACAAAACACAGAAGATCGAAAAAACTCATTTTGTACATACCGCATCTTTTCCATCTCTTACAATAGCTGGAAGGACTGGATGCACATATTGGCCATTCATCTATAAAATAAATTCCAGGCTGAATCAACTATTCACAGATGCCCATAATTAATATGCACGATCTATTCAATTGGGCAATTGTTTGAAGCTAAAAATCACCAAATAATTTTAGAATGCTTGTTGATAAAAAAGAACTCACGTTGGCATGGTTTTCCAAATTTGTTCTAAAATTGAGCTCATTTGTCAAATCATCAGAATCGTATGTACTTTGTGATAATAAACTACCTCTCGTATCTCTTCGTTCTATTGCAGGAGAAACTTGTGGACTGTAGAAATAGTAATTTCTAGTCATTAATTCAAAATGGATAGATAATTAGCAAATTTTCAGGAACTAGAGTCAGTTGGTATGACTGCTTGTTGTGTTGTTTATGGATATTCAAAAAATGTTATATAACATAATAGTGCAGACACTTGGTCTAGGGCTTTGGACTTGGCTATGTTGGCATTATGAGGTTGAAAATAACAGGTTTGAATCCCATGCCCAGTACCTAACCTGGAGTGTGGTAAATTCGGTAGTGATGCTAATTCCGTTACACCAATAAATAGTAGCTCCTCACTTAAAAGTGATTAATTGTACAGAGTCTAGCTAGCTGCTGCATGGTGATTGATGTGTTGGCCTCCCTCGTTACATAAAGAACACTTTGGCCAGATCCAGACAAGAATTATAAATTAAATTTGATCATTTAAATTTTGTTACCTCTGCCAAGGTGATTTATGTGTTTTCACAGAGTTTCTAAGTTTTGCATGTGGCGTTGATTCTGTCACAATTACGCTGACCTGAAAAAAAATAGAATCTAGAAATCTTATATTCAAAATGTCACTTTGAATAACACGTAGCATAAAGAGCTAAAACATTCCATATTTAAAAATAGAGACTACTAGTAAAAGTGTAAAAAGTGACTTTACAAGTCAATATTGCAAAAAAATATTTATAGGGACAGCTATACACAAACTATTCCATAAATTTTAGCGATCATTTATGCAACTGAATAAGTATGTATCAAAGTCCAAAATATAACGTTGATTTTTCTCATGAAGACAAAGTTTTGCCCTCTTTTTATCCGGAAACACATCCTCTGATAACAACCTATTCTATCTAATTACCCAACCACCAGGCTTTATACTTTGGACTGATTGGTCAGTTTCATAATTGCTTAAAAAATATTCAAATTTCACCTTGAAATTGAGACCATTGGGTTTATTGACAAATATTTTGTGAGGTGGTCTGTCTTTCAATGATGGTTGAAGTCTACTGCCTTGGACCATAACACTGCCTTCTGGTGGAATCTCGTTTTTTGGCAAATCAACTGTATCACCATTATTAATTTCAATTTTAGGGTTGTTTCCATTTTTTTCATCTGTTTCCACATTTTCCTCATCTGTAATAAAAGAAAAATATATTTATTTTAGACAATTTACGAACCATAAAGGTGCGCTCCAAACACATTTTTTCTTAAAAATCGTGTGCCTTGGACCATAATGTTCACGTCAAATACCCTTTTGCTCAAAAATCGCCATCTCGAATCAGGTAATGCTTTATTCCCTACACTCAAAACCAGTACCAGTTGTACCTTATGTATGAATAAAAACCCAAAGTGAGAAATTTATTGACAGTGCACCCTATCAACCATAAAATATGGTATATGTTTCAGTAATTCACCTTTGTTGGTGACTTTTTCCTTTCCATTGACTGACTCATCTTTAATTGGTATCTTATCTCTGAGAAAAACAATAAGTACAGTGATATTGTCTGACGAGCCTGCCTCTTTCGCTTTTGTACAAAGTTTTCTTGCTAGAGTACTTCTGTCTCCGTTTGTCTCTTTCATATGATCAGATACCTGAGATATTGAGATAAAAAACCAGGAAATAAAAAGATTTGTAGATGGAGATTTTAAAATTTTCACTAACATTTTCTTTTTTGAAAACACATTTCATAAAACATCTTTACTCATCGTCTATGTCAGTGTTTCGCAACCTGAGTCCGCGTTCGAATGAGTTCTCAATGAGCAATACCGTTTTAGAAAGTTATGTAGTAGTATATTTCATGTAGGTCACTGACCTTTTTAGTGTCACGAAATTCATTGCGGGGCGAAAACGTTCTTACCAGACTTAAGTACCAGCCAAGTTACGATTTACGTTAGTATTTACATAGAACATAAAAGGCAAGTTTATTCACATAAAATTAATCGAGTCAATAATTACCGATTACTGAGTAAGGGTCGGGCAAAATATTTGAACAGCAACCTATTAGAATACCTAGTAACATGTGACTTGGACACAGCACGTCAATCGCGCCTCGCTGAATCAAACAATTGGATTGCATAAGGCACTTGCCGATTTCTGACAAAAACACAAATCTACACGGACCTTTCACTTACGTTGAAATTTTTTTTTTTTATCTATTTGTTTCCTGTAACACCGTTGCTCCAATTTTTAAATGATCTTATTGTGCGCCCATATCACGTGAGTTTCACATTTTTCTAGTGGGCCATTTGGTAAAATTCGAATCCCCAATACAAATAACAAAAAGTAAATTTCAAATATTTTCGAACAAAAAAAGTAAATTTTAAATATTTTCGAACGGATATATTAATTCAAAGATGAAGTACATTAGGTGAATTCTATCAGATTTCAACGAATACACAGTGAAAACATTTCAGAGGTTTTGTTTTGAAGCAAAAATAAAATAGACTCGATAGAAAAAAACAAACAGAAAAAAGACAGCGAATCCAGGAGGCAGCCATAAAGATGATGTTAATTTTTAATTTTACGAAGGACAATCCAAGACGGCATGAAAGATAATAATCAGAATGAATTTGTTTGAAAATTTTAGGTTCAAATTCCTTCCTATAATTTTCCTCAGCAAATTGTCCTCAGTGATCGCATAATATCTTTTAAGTTTGTCTCGCTATGGTTCCCACTTCCCATTAAAAAAATTGGTGAATGTGGATAATAAACCGAGTTCGTTAAAAATTCTGTTGTTTTCCATTTTATTGCCTCTTCACACAGAGTTAGGTTACAAAATTAACGCACATTGAGTCCGCAAAGATTTTCCCTGATGAAAGTCCGCGACGAAAAAAGGTTGGGAAACGCTGGTCTATATACATCAACATTTTCCAATTTCAAACCAAAAGACTTAACGCAAAAGGTTGAAAATGAGAAATTTATATATATGTATTGTGAATACGCAATACAAATTTACATGCAAAGCCACCAGGACTGCATATTCAAGAAAAATGTATAATAGACTCATACATCTGACTTTGGGTTTGGTTGCCCAACAAAAATCAGAACTTGACTCTGAGTACTTCCACCTCTTTAAAAGCATCTATATCTCACCAACTTAGAAAGCTGTTCGCCATCAAAAACATCCCAGAAACCATCACAAGCAAGACAGAGATAATCTTCTGTATTGTTAAATTCTTTCATAGTTGTGTCAGCATCCCCACAAACAAAAGGTTTGTAATCAGCATCTCCTGGTAGAGAAATAAAATACAGATCATATTATAAAAGTTAGTTACTTGAAAATAAAAATACAATTGCTCTACCAAATTCTTCAATCAATGAAAAAATTAATTATTTCATGACCTTATACAAAACCCAAGGTATCAAAAAAATAAAATAATCCAAGTACGGGATGACCCCCATGCCCCCACAAACAGACCCAGGTATCTAGACTTCTACATGACGTTAGTGCAGAGCGTCATAGATTTCTGAAACTTTTTGGTACAATCGAACATTTGGTTTTTTATATCTTTTACAGTTTTCAGAAATTTGGTTATGTAAAATTTCAATTTCCCAAAATGATAATTTTCCAAATAAAATATCTTAAAACATTTTTAAATTTCAATAAATTTGGTTCTTTATATCTTTTACAGTTTCCAGAAATTTGGTTATGTAAAATTTCAATTTCCCAAAATGATAATTTTCCAAATAAAATATCTTAAAACATTTTTAAATTTCAATAAATTTGGTTCTTTATATCTTTTACAGTTTCCAGAAATTTGGTTATGTAAAATTTCAATTTTCCAAAATGATAATTTTCCAAATAAAATATCCTAAAATATTTTCAAAATCAGAAATACAAAACATATAATACAATATTTTTAGAATTGATTCGAATATTCTATCCAGTTTAGACATATCTGGTTAAAACACTCACCTATCGCTCTTGAGACTGATAATGTGCCATTGACTCTCCAAGCACCAAACCAAATAACACATCCACCTAATTCTTCTATTCTATGCTTTTCATCTTCTCTGTCAGGCTTGTGTGGTTCCATCAACTATGAAAATTAATGCGTTGGAAGAGAGTTCAGGAAGAATATTACACACAGAACATGCACACGGAATATATGAACTAAACCAGGGGTTCCCAAGCTTTTTACAGGATGACTCCAAAGACAACTTTCAAGTGTCCAGTGTGACCCCAGGTCAATATATATATATACATTTTTCATGAAACTTTAAATCTCCTTTCACTGGATTTTTGAGTTTGGTCATGTGGTGGTGTGGTATTGAGTGAAATAAGCTAAAACCAAACAGTGATGTCACAATAAGCACACAGTGATGTCACAATAAGCACCTACATTTTTTATAGCAAAAGCATAGATCGATGCCTATGGACCTGTTTTACAGTAAACCATGATAAAAACTGCTAAAGTTAACATGGTTTGTCAAATCTTAGATGTTTTGTACATCCATCCTCTCACCGACCCCACCATGACCTGTTCGCGACCCTACCTACTTATCCATCCGACCCAATTTGGGGTCGAACACCTGAACTAAACAGTGATGGGAATCAAAAGAAGAGAACAGGTTCCCTTTTTTCGAACTCGCAAAACAACAAGTTTCCCGATTTCAGAAAACCATGCTCAATAGCTTGAGTCAATTTAATAAATAAAAAAAGAAGAATTTGCTCTGTATTATATATATACAAAGTGACACAAACATAGGCAAAATGTATTGTTTAAAAAAAGTCAATAGTTTTCCTATCTGCAACCAAAAAGGTAAATTAAAGACTAACTTGAACAGGATTACCATCTCGAACCAAGACAGCTTGACTGTCACCAATCCAAGCAACATATAGGTTATTTTCTCTGATGACAGCAATAACTGCAGTAGTACCACTTCTCAAGTTCTGTAAATATATTTATAAAACTGGTTTAATAAAACTAATGCAGAGACAAATTAGGTAATTATGTGCAGTGATTCTTTATAATGCTTTATAACATTGTATAATTTTATATCACTATTGATTTATATTACACATTTTGCTCTAAAAAAAGCTTTGTACAAGCAGCCACTGCTAGGTAAGGAGCTACCTTAATTTGGAAGGTCAGAAATCATCCCCGGTTGGCATTGTCCACCCAGTTTATAACATCCTACATGGGCATGGAATTTGAAATCGAGATTTTAACCTCATAGTTTGCTGTAATGCTTTTGCCACGATGTCCACATTTATCACAAAAGATACTATGAATTATTTGAAATTATATCCAACAACTCTTTGATAACGGGTCAGGAATATTTAATAGCATCATTTTATACTAATAATATTAATAATATGGGCATTAAATATATTATATTACTATTGTTAATAAAAGCACTCGAAGAAATTAGACTGAGCACAAGAACCAACAAATCTAAAATAACAAAGATTTATTTGTGTTTCAAAGCATTCCGGAGATGACTTGTGGGTCAAAAGTGACCACAAACTGTCAGAACATAATAAAATCCTTGAGATGTAGCAGAAACATGACGTGAAAAATGAGAGTAATGTTGCTGGATGTGTGGCAATGCAATATATAACATAATGAACTATTTGCGGGCTTTGATCCACAAGGCCGAAACTTGAAAAAGCTGTTTTAAATAAATTAGAAAATATCATTTTTGATTTTCATCAATTTCCTATAACTTTTATCGAAATAATTTGATCAATATTGCCGCAATTATGATTAAAAATAAACCATCTTAAAAAGAACCTGCGTCTTTTCAAATGAAATTTTTATCAAAAATTCAACATTCATCCCTTTTGTCTTAATTTGCCCCCATTGATAGATATAAAGAAAAAATTTTATGTCACAAACTTTCGATTGAATTGTGTTTTTATCATACTTGTTAACTTCCAAGAAATAATACACAAACATTTATTAACACTGAACAAGATAAGACTTACATCCCGTTGTGACTTGTCGCAATAATCTTTATCGAGCTGTAGAATGGTATCTTTAAGAGCTTGTTGTACATCGGTTTTAAACAATTCATGCTGAGCAAGTCTCAAGTGCAAAAATTTTGAAGAATAGACAGAAGCATCTAATCCACCATGACCATCGAATACCCCATAATACTGTGTGTGCGGCATGTCCTTAAATATTTGAATTGAAAAATTATTGTGGATATGATGTATGAAAATTACAAGAGATTACTACATTAGTCTCAATGATAGGTATTTGTTCATTTTTAATTAACATCAGAAATATTGAATTATCGAATATTGAATACATTGGAAATTTTATACAATCAATATTTTTTAAAATTTAAAAACAAAATTAAACTCAGTAATTATTTATTTGATCTGAATCTGAAATAAATCACTGAAAATTTATTACTGGTGTTTGAAATTTAAAAAAGAATAGTAATCAGCTAGCAAGATTTACAATATTGCTAGCTGATTACTGTTTTTTTTTAATTCTAAATACCAGTAGTAAATGTTATCAATCAATAAAAAATTCAGAAAATTTCAGCATTTCATTTTAGGGCAAAAAATATAAACAAATTAAAATAAAATATATTTCAGAGTAGAAAACAAAATGTCTACGTAGGAATCCCTGGTAGCAGTGGTAGGACTAAGAATAAACCCAATATACCATATATAATAGAATAGGATAAAAAGTACAATGAAAATGAACCTACTTTTATATCAAGTAATGCATTGAGGTCAGTGATCACAGTGTGCCTGTCTTCCATTTTCCGTCGAGTATTTTTAATCCCGCACACAGAATAAGTGGGTAACACTGGAATTTTAAAACCGGGAAAATCATTTTTCCATTTTTCGCATAAGTGATAAACTTCAATGACAGATACTTTGGCAATTGCTATTGCTGAATAATCTGGGAATGAAAACAAAATTATTAACTACCATGCACTAAAAACATACCTTAATTAATGTACACCCAAAGTATGTGAGCCAAGATGGCGGACACTGAAATGTAGTATGTGTACCAGGTTAGGGTTAGGCCATAATTTTATTCCAATTTTCCTTATTTTGGTTCTATTACAAGTTCGGGGACTAGCCAAGTGATTCCCGTAGTATTAGTACCTGAAATTATGGCCTAACCCTAACCTGGTACACGTACTACATTCCAGTGTCCGCCATCTTGGTTCATATACTCCGAAGTACCATAAACAATGCTATATGGAGGAAATTAATTTGGACAATACAATTTAATGCTCACAAGTGCATGGTGTTTCGAAATCTACATTCTGAATTTCTTTTTTGTATTGTTCTAGACCGCCAGCTATGACGTGGTTTCCGACTTCATTTGCGATGGAATACTTGAGGATCTCTGGACATTGTCTGAAAGAATATTTGTACTGTCAAACACAACATGCATTATACATTAATAATCATCATGGGAAAATGGATGTGTAAGAATGGTGATAATTTTTTCGTAAGAGGAATATCAAATTCCTGAAAAATTGACTGGCAGAAATTGTATTTTTCATCATATTACCAGAAACATAAATTATATTCAAGTTCAACTTGAATTTCAAACATTTTTAATTATACTTTTGATGAAAAAATAGTTATTGAAATTCCAGAAATTGCGCTTTTATGGCAAAAAATATAAGGTACTTCTTCACAAAAATGGTGAATCCTACGGACTCCATGATATTGTATTATTCCCCTTTAGCAATTACCTATCAAAATAATTTTAAAGTGGAACCAGGAGAGATTTTAAGAGACTAGAGTAATAGATATGTACTATATCACAGGTAGATGGCCCAATCCAATTTAATACACTTCAATATCATAGTATTTCGTTCACCAAAACTGATATTCTTTGCGAGGTAAATTTCACATTTCTCGCTGAGTTGAAATTGTTTTGTGCAAAGCGTCCAAAATTACTGAAACTTTTAGGTACAATCATAATACAAACAACATAATACAATACAAAAAGAAGTTTTATTTGTTAAATAAATTTTTTTCATTTTCGAAAAATATAGGTTTATTTTTTGGGGGTCACCTATATGATGTCTTGATATTAAACTTTGGTATAACAATTGTAATGTAATATGCGTTGGTAAAATAATTTCTAAACTATTTGATGAATTTGAAGACTGTAGGAATTTTAGAAATATAATAATAAGATTAGGAAAACTCAATTTTCCATTATTTACTCAGACGATGTTCAAAGAAAGTTTGTGTGGCAACAGCCAACACTCTATTTTATTGCAAAAACAAACATAATACATTTAGATTTATTGCCATAATTAAAATTTCTTTATTTTCAGTGCAAACATTCAAAAACAAACTTTTCTTGTCTGTCGGTAAATATCCTTCAAGGTGCGGATGTTTTATATTGGTAGATAAATGTACAAGAACAATATATAAAAATGAAACCATTGAAATATGCTTTTATTTGGATATGAATGATATTATCAAACAAAAGCTATTGTGTACAAGCATCACTTCATCGCGCTGTTACTGCCAGATTTGGTTAAAGATTAACCTAGAGTTGTTGGCAACGACCGATCTGTAGTGAAGTTCATAAAGTCTTTCAGTTCATAACAAATAGGGGGGTAAATTATAAATATGTCATAGTTTTGTAATAGCCAATTCACACCCTTTGACAAGACAAACAGACTACTTTTTCAATTATTCAATTACCGGTACCCATAATAGAAAATGATAATAACATACATTATGAATTAGACTAAATAAAAGTACCGTATTTAACACAAATATAAAGGCGAATATATAAACTTCAGTAACACACATTCATTGAAACAAGTCAACCAATCAATTTATCAAATGTAGAGGTTACAGAATAATTTAATACGAATAACTTCTTTGCAAATTGCAAATAATACGTACAGGACTTGAGAATATTCAAATTATTAAAAATTTCAACACCATCAATCGTATATGTATTGAATTACATAGGTTGGGACAAATTTTGAATAACTACCACAAGTTCCAATCATACTAATAAAGAAACCCATTCTATGGCTAATAAACAAAATATTTTTCTGCTATGCCAACACAATATTTTGATAAGATTTAATTCGAGAATTAAAAAAATATTTCCCTCTTTGATCCCAACCAATTTTCAAATAGACAATAATATTTGTTTTATGTGTGAAATATGTACTATATATTAACTGCTCTTTAGAATTACCCTGAAAAAGACTGTCTGTATAGACATTAGAAATGTCAGCAAATACCAACATAGGTCTATTCAACGTTTGAAATATGAACCTAAAAATATACAGTAATTGTTTCAACCGGAGGTGCAGAATTAAGAGAATAGAATTGCATAAACTTACGCAGTGTCTAATACATTCAGACATGAATCCAACACATCCCCTTTAATTTCATCTTCAGTCAGGATAAATGATTGAGGACGAAAAGGCAAAGGTGTTTCATCAGTAGGACAATCCGTCTTTGTGTAATCCTCTAAGAATAGTTTGAAACCTTGCACTGTGTTATCGTATGTGGCCATCAGACCAGATGTAGAAGATTACTTTACAGTGAAAACATCATTCATCAATTCTTATGCCTTATGAATAACTAACTAAATGACTGCATTTTAAATAACTATTACTTCCTAAAAATAAATAGAAATACAGTGTACACAGGTTCAAATAACTACTATATAGTCGAAACCAATAAACCAAAATTCCCACCTAAGCTTATAGATTATGAGCAAAAGGCAAGAAGAAAATATCACACAAAGAAGTTGAATTATAAACAGACTTAAACAGGTTACATTTCATTATCTTTCAACTACATTTTTGAAATGCTAATAGAACACTTGCATTTATATAAATTCAAAATTAATGTTAGCAAAAATGCAAACAAGACAATTTTTTGATGCACAACAGAAACATATAGACACAAATTTAATCAGGTAAGATCCAAAGATGAGCAAAGCCAGATTGTTTATCATTCAAAATGATGATTATAAAATTCAACAGCGAACTGTGATCATATGCAAATGTTGTTTTTCTACATTAACAATTTCAGACATGACAAATTCCACAACAAGTAATAAATCACACTACTTGTATTATTAACAGGCACCAAAAAGCCACAAAAATAAACACAAATTAATCAGTTTCAAACAGCATTTCATTATTGAGACGAATTCTAGTTCGAGTAGAGTGATTTGTAAATGTCTTTTTTTCCTCCCCACCTCCTCTCTTAAATTCACGGAAAATTATAGTTTCATTTCTTTTTCTGGCATCTTCTTGCATTTTATTGAGTTTCTGAAAAGCGTTTGCATTGATTTTTGCCAACACCTCCTCAAAGCATTCATCTTTCTCCTCTTCCACTTTTTCTTTGCTTTGAGAGTCTTTTTTCCGAGTTGCATTCTCATGACTAGTAGAATCATTTCGAGTTCTCCGAAAACGAAGTATCTTCTCCTCTTCAGATGAAGAATCAGCCGTTTCATAAGTATCAGAATCATCATCTTCATCCGTTTCTACTTCAAAATGGCTTCCGGCAAGGTTTAAAGTCTTTGACATAACTCTTTCATGATCGATCCTTATTGAGCGTTTCTTTTTTTCATCTCTATCTTTACGAGCCTCTACGAGATCGGGTTCAAGTCCAGGTAAGTGACCTACATTCTGTTCTTCGACCACGTCTTCTGCTCCGGGCAATCGCTCTTCATCGGTTATCTCTTTAGGGAGTAATTTCAACGCAAGTAGCTCTGAATTCTGTCCATCAGAAATATTTTCACACTCAAACTCTCTGGTTCGGTTGTTCTGTACTTGAGATTCAACTGATGTAATGAGGTCGTTAATATTTTGTTCAGTTGCAAATGAGATTGTTTTCAACATAGTAGAATCAAATCCCATTTTCACTGTTTGCCATTCATGCCAACTAATGAGATGCTTTCTGAGTAAAAATACTGCATTTTCAGAAGAAATATCTACTCGAGATCGTCTTGGGTCGACAAAATCATTTTCATTGAAACTTAGCATGAACTGATATATGTTACGAGTTGAATCTGGGCTGAATTCATCGGTGTCTGTCATGCAGGAAAACTGAAGGCAATTGTGTTGCAAAACGTACCACAATTTCTTTGAATCGATAAGTTTAATATTCACAATTATGGTTACATAAGCTTCATCTTGGTGATAAAAAATTTGTGGACGTACTTTCACATATTTCGGTTTCTTTTTTCCCATTTCATAATTTAATAATTTTTCAACTAAGAATGGTGAAGGGTTAGAAAGCATTCCCAGGTCAGTCTCTTTGTTCCAGTCATTTTCATATTTAACATCCCACAGCTCCCCATGATTTTGATGCCTACATTGTGTACGTCCATGAACTAGACCACTTGGATGGTCAGATGGTAGCAAATCATTCTCAGAAGGGTCTTCATTTTGTTCTTTCTTTGGTTCAGATTTGCTTTCCCCTTCTTTCTGGAAACAAGAACCGCAAGCATTTTCATCCTGTGAAACTATTGCAGGAAGTTGCAATCTTTTTGGTGGAAGAACTTCAAGTGTGATTGTTAAGCGCCGCTTGCTTTTATCAAATCTGGCATGACCTTTGCTGTCATCCACTCCATAGGGAAGGTTCAAGCTCAATTTATATTTGACTGGTTTGGCACATTCCAAGAAAATCCTATCCTCAAATATTTCGAGATGCAAAGCAGAAGCTGCTTTCAGCATAGGCAACTCTATGTTCATAATAATCTCACGGGGACGAGTAGAATGCACTTTATTTTCATTGACATTGTAATAATCACTCATTTCAAAATATCCTCGATGTGCGATAGTGTATTTAGGCTCCACATATTCCTCTTTTTGAATTTCAACAACACTCGAAACAATGGGAAGAATATCTGATTGTCCTTCCCTAAATAATTTGTGGTCTAATTTATTGTTTGACTGTGTTTTTGGAGTTTCAGAAGTATTTTCTTTTGCTTTAGTAGATGCTCCAGTGTCTTTTTGTGCATGACCATTTGGCGTAGGAGGATATGGAACTTTAAGAGGATCATCTGGGTCATCAATTTTGGCATCAAGCTCTCTTGTATCCTCCCTCGGAGTTCTTATTATTGAAGCTTGAGGTAGTCCTTTGAACTTCATTTTTGGCTTTTTGACATTAATTTTGTCCAACGTCACACTGAAAAGACGTTCAACCGCATCAAGCGCCATGTCATGAATCATTTTTCTGAATCTTGTATTTTTCTCTGACATATGATAAGTATCAGGATGAAAGACAACATCATACACAAAACAATTCCCTCCAGCTTTATCCTTGTCTTCTCTTGGTTGTGATAGACTATGAGGAATAGACCATTGCATGCCACGAGTAGCACCTTGAACTGTTGCTTTACTGACTGGTTTCCCGACTTTTGGACTTGAACATATATTGATAAAGCATTTATCTTCTCCATTTCTGCTTGTTTTCAGCACATGACCAGGACAAGGATGGATAAACTTGACATCGTTTCCTCTTTCAATTTCAAGCATTGCTATTTCCTCTTCATACTTCTTTTTGTTTTCTGGATCACTAATTGCCATTGTATAATCGCGGAGAAGATCCATAAACTTATCATCTTTCATGCATTCACCAAGTCTCTTGATCTCATCATCAGTTAAATCTAACGAGCCTAACTTGTCACCAAATTTTTGCTCCATTGTTGTAACTAATTTCTAAATCAGTTGGAAAATTAATTATTAACTTCAAAAATGTAGTGTTGGGGTTTGATATGTACAGACTAATAACTTTTCGTAAACAAATGAGAATAATAAATTAGCAAAGAATTGAAAACAAGCAATTAGAGATAGCAGTATGCAAAACCAGGGCTATAAAAAAAGTCAGTCAAATTACTTAATATTTGAATATTAATCAGAATTTGCACTTTATAATACTGCAGTGAAAAAGAAATACATTTTGAAAATAGATTCATTTTTTTTAATCAAATTCTTATATATATCATTCAAACTGAGTTATTATTTAATGTTTGGAAAACATAATGAGATATGTTTGGAAACTATAACTTTTAGCACGAAACTACAAAATAAGAACAAATAATAGGTGTTTGGAGTGCAAGAAAGATTAGATTTCACAATAAGGAAAGCTCGGGTTTACATTTATAGATAGGCTACATTTGGATGAAAATTTTAGTAATAGATTTACCTGATTATTATGATTAGAATTAAAGGCCTAATGACAACAAGCATAAGAGAATTAAGAACCATTCTGAATAGAAACTGACACTATCGTAAATCACAATATTACCCATAGATATAGAAATTAACAAAAGCTTATTCAGATCAGCAGTTATTATCAAGTCCTGAAATCATTGAAATATTTCCCCAATTTGGGTCACGTGTAGTTTCCTACCTTAAGTGCTTCTAGTGGCCGTAGCATAAACATTTTTGCACATGTCATGCCTAATCCCCTCATAACTACGGCAAAACAAAAATTATGTCATTACGATGTCACAATCTCACCATAGAGCTTGCCAAAGTATACTTACGATAGCCTAAAATGGCATCTGTGCCGACAATAAAGAATTCACTGACGGCAGCGATCTCTCTCATATCAGGATTGTTGCAACAAGAAAACAAGAGAAATAGCTTGCTCGATTTCGGGTGATTGTCTGTGCGTCTTGGATGACAGTTCGTATAGTTTGAGGGGTCTTATTTCGCCACTGTGACGTAATTTTCAAATAATTTAAAAAAAAAAATTCTGGTTAATAGACTTGACTGCATTTCATTTCCAGCATTTTGTAAGTCAATATTGGAGCGCACGTTCACTAAACGTCGTAAGACCTTCTTCAGTACGGCACACCATCCAATTTCCAAGAATTTCCCTCCATTTGGTTCAATAAAACAAACACTCAATGTGTCTCACAAACGAGGGGCGTCTGGCACCACGTCAGATGCGTCATAACGCGCCATGCTTGTCTCAATAATGATCTAAATTTATCGCAGCCGTCACGTGACCAAAATTGCTATATTTTGCTAAAAACTCTCAAAAGCCACGGTATCATTTTCTTTGGTAAATTGGATTATTTTTTCCTGGGGAATTCAATGATGACGTTACTAGATTGCGCTTTTTTGTAGTATTTTGCGCAACTTCATTATACTGTATTTTTACAGATATTGAGGGACAACAATGTCCAGACATCTCCCAAAGGAGGGTTGTCTGATCACTGGCAAAATGGGTTTCTCTGAAACGAGACAATGTCCCCCAATCTGTAAAGTGTGCCGTACTGTTCTTGTTGGCGCTTCACAAACCTTTTCGCATATGTTCTTCCTAACCCCCACCTGGCTATGTCATCCAAAAATTCTGTTACTTCGATGTCACAATCACGTCATAGAGCTTGCCAACGGCGACAATAACGCCCTCGCGAATGCAGTAACGCCGGCGATCGTTCCATGAGAGAAATACCTTGTTTGATTTTGAGTGATCGTCTGCACGTTTTGGACAACAATTCGTATACTTTGACGTGCCTTATTTCGTCACTGTGGCGTAGGTGGGGGTTAGAAATAACGGGGTCTCGTGAAGCAAACGTCGTAACTGCTTAAATACCCCCAAACACAAATGTGGTGTGAAAATGAATCCTGCAAGTGCTTAAATAACACCAAACAAAATTGTGACATAAAAATACAACCCAAATTTTCATTTTTTTTCTGAAAATAAAAGTTCGTCTTGCGTGAACACAATAAGCAAAACACATAGGACAAACGGCAGCAGACAACTCCACTCACGAAAGGATAGATGAGTCATCCACCTTTTCGACAGCGACGTTTTAAGACAATACGTGTGTAATTTCGATCTTTTTTTAATAAAATTTCACATCACATATTTTTTGGGTGTTATTTGAGCAGTTATGGCATTCATTATACAGTTATACATTATATTTTGTTAGGCGATATTTAAGCAGTTACGGCGATTACTTCACTAGACCCGAAATGACAAATGTGGAAATGATTTTGGCATGCCAACTAGAACTGTAGAAGTATCTGACGGTGTTTAGTGACCTAGCACCGCACCAATCTTCAAAATAATCCTAAAAATGGGGACGCACTAAAAGTAGACACTTGAGAATTACGAACTTTTTGGGGAATTTCGAAAAAAAGGTAAATGCTGAAATGGGAGTAATAACTTTAAAAAAGATAATGAATTAGTTAAAAATATTTAAATTAAGTTTACAATATGCAAATTGCAACAAGCAAACCCAATGATAATATTTAAAACATAGTTTTATAAGAATTTTTCGAAGTGTCTCAATAAGTACCTAGCATGCATATGTTGTATATGCATATGTCTTATAATACTACGTTTTAATATTAACAATAGATTTACTTGTTGCAATTTGTATGGCAATAGTTAATTTGAATATTTTAAACTACTAATTTATCATCTTTTTGAAAGCTATTACGCCCATTTTACCTTTTTTTCCAAAGTGCCTGAAAAGTTCCTACTGATAACAATTTATTATTCTCGAATACCACTACTAGACTCAGGTACATTCATTAGATATTTACCCAGGCTAATCATTGTGTCTAATATTTTTATTTTCCATCTATTTTATTGATGATAATTCCTATTTTCAATACTTTTTGAAGTGCCTAAATAAGTGCCTAGCATATGTGGTGATCGAGCGCGTGCGCCTCTTTATAATACTACGTTTTGAATATTACCAATTGGTTTACTTGTTGCAATTTGCATGATCAATATTCATTTCGAATAATTTTAACTAATTCATTATGTTTTTAAAAGTTATTACGCCCATTTTACCCCCTTTACCGCCCAATATCATCGATATTTTTCAAATTTACTTGTTCTCTTCTAAGCATTTCGCAATCACAGCTCGAAGTTTTCCTCCTTTTACTCCAGATATTTTTCGGAAATTCGTGCGAGTGAGGTATGTTAGCCGTTGGCGCGAGAGAGCGGACACTCTTGGCGTTTTTGTGGATAGCTTATTAGCTCCGAAGTTAATGCGAAGTTTGCCAAGTGACAGTTAGCACTCTTCACACTTTGTAATCGGATAGGAATCCCGTATGCGAAGAATCGCTGAACTTTTCGCCATCGCAGAATGGATCACGTATTTTTCCGTTCATTAATCGCATTTTTGTTGACAAACTGCGCCCGTGTTTTTTCAACTTTTGTCACGAATTCCATGAGAGGCAAGCACAGTCAACAATCCCAGATGGTCCCCAATTGGTATTTTACTGAGCTGACCTGTAGGCACAACATCCATTACCATTGTCACTCACGTAACTAACTAGTATAAAATAGCCCGAGTTCTGGTTTCCGCATAACCTAAGAAATAATCCGCAAAGCCATCTAATCACAATCTTTACGTGACTTGGATACACTAAGGTTAAATCTTTTGTAAATTCCATAATTTGTTTTAAATTTAACATGTCCAGAAATGTACTAAATTTATTATCACCGTATTTATCGACTCCTACCAAAATGACAAACCCACAAATGTAAGAGTCAAAGGTCATCACTGTGGTGACACTGATGCTGTTTTCTTCGACTCTCTTGCAGCTGCGTAGCTTTTCAATCGTTTTCTTTAATGCAGGCAAATTGGTGAAGATGAGTTCGCGATTTGAAGGTCGTAATGAAATAAGATTTAACAATTCTGGAGGCAGATGCCTACTGGAGAACTGGGTGGAGGAGGTATGGCAACGGTTTTGCAGTAGAGATAAATAATACTATGATACATTACTTTAACTCAGTAACTAGAAAAACGGTACCTACCTCTAGTTTTGCTCACTGGCTTTCTAATTGGTACCACGACGAATGCGTTATCTGCATTTCTATTTAATGTTTCTTATCGTGACGCCTTCATAATTATCCAGCTATTTCATAGCTGGTGTTTTATTTAGAAGCCGAATTTGTAACAATTCTAATGCACTGGAAAGCATTTCGTAAACATATAGTTAAGAGAGGAAAATAACTTGAGCCACAATACTGAAGAAGATGTTGTCACAAACCCCATCCACACTTTCGCTGGCTATTCGAACAATTATGTTCTACATTTAGTTATGTTAGTATAAAACACCTAATTGTACTTGTCATTCAAAACAAATTTGCTAGAACAAATTTTGACATTCTTCATCATATTTCACAGCGTGCAACGGCAAAACTTGAGCCCACCGATGTCAACTCTGAATACACAAGCAGTGCCCAGTTACACAGACATGGCCACAAAGGTCTCCTTACATTAGAAACCGATGCAAGAGCTGAAAAACTCACTACAGTAAGAGAGTCATATCAGGAACCAAAATTTCCTCAAGTATTGTTGAAAGGAAAAAAAGCTAAATTGATTGAACAAATGTTGTATGATGAAATTGGGTGAGTGTGTACATATTCATCAAGAGCTTAATGATCGTGTAATGTTTCCTAATACTAACCAGCTGTGAAATATAATATGGTGTTAAAGTTTATTTTAAGTCTCCACCATTCCCAATTACTGCATGTTTACCTCATTTCCCATCATCTTCTAGGCAACAAACACATGAAGACTTCAACCCACCACCTCCAAAAACAGAATACATTACAATTAAGCAACAAGACTTTGACAAAAGTGATTTTGAATCAACATTGCCTCCACCCACGAAGGTAAGATAATTCATCTGTGCAACACATTTCCAAGACCAAATTTGACTTAGTGTGGCATTGCACACACTATTTTACCATGACATGGTTGAAAAGATATAATAATCCACGATTATTTATGTATCAATAATATAGTGATGGGATACACAATTCCAATAATAAATTTTCTTTTGTATCAATATTAGAAATAACAGGTTCTCTTATTTCAGAAAATCTTGTGTAGAAAAATAAAATAGAATTCGCTGATTATCATGACATTCCTCGAATGGGCTCGCACGATCCAGTCAAATCCCACCTATGGGTATATGTTGCTATGCCAAATATAGAATTTCAATCTCTTTCCTTTTACATAAATATAACTAGTTCTTTATTCACATTCAGGAACACAATGTGAACACTGAACAGTGTGTTACATTCTGGTCAGAGCATACAAACAAAATTACGGTAAGTTGAATTCATTGGATGTAAAAATTATTTCAATAAAGAGAGACCAAAAGGCTAATTCTTATTCCATTTCAGGGAGTCTCACAAGTCAAAACCAGAGATACACCTTTCAAGAAGAACACAGCATTCAGCAAACCAATAGCCGAATACCTTGATGAAGCCAAGCCATATGAACAAGAAAACTATCCAAATATGTAAACATTGCCAAACACTTTAGAAAAGATTGCTGCTTAAACTACTAAGCAAAACTGCAATAACAGATGTTATCATCTGCAACACTACTTGGGCTGATTATTCCTACTTTGTGATTAGTACGAATTCAGTAGAAATGTAAATCACTGTTCCTTACTTTGAAAATATTGATCTCGAAGTATTAAGAGCTCGGCACGCCCATTCCTAATTGTAATTGCACCAATGGGATATGATTTTTTTTCTCGGGGCTGTAGTCCTAAAATATATTGTAGAATAAATTTGCCCGGTATTTATTGAAAACCTGCTTTGTTTAAAACAGCCTTAATGAAAGAGACAATTTGTGAGGTAATCAGAAATCCACAGATTTTTTATTGGAGTGACTAACATTCATGACTGACAACCCAGTTTCTTCCTCAACACCTTGTCTACTCGCCGATTCTGTTATATCTGGGGGTAAATGAAGCCTCTCAACAGCAAATCTTTTTCTTCGAAGTTTAAACGCAAGATCATATGTGTCTGGCATGTATGGCAGAATACAATTTAGTACTGGTAGTTTTTTAATCTTCAACAAACCTGAAAAACAAATTTAAATGGGATCAGTTTTTTCATTTTAGCAGGCATGGAATATTTCAATAAACTTTTTCAATTAAATACTTGAGAACTAGAAAAATCTTTGAAATTTTAGCATAGGTCATGAAAGATTTCTTAGGATATCATTCATCGAGATATTTTTTCACTTAAATGCTTGAATTATAAAAAGCTTGAATATTGTAACATATGTCATTAAAACATTTTTCAAGGTATTTCTCATGCCTGGCAAATTGCAAAATTATATAATCAAACAGCTAAATGAGAAACTATCACAAAGAAAAATTTTAAAATTTATTTCAAACATTACCATGATAATCCTTATACAGTGGATTGGTTTTCCCTTTTCCAAATGCTTCCAACTTGACAACCATATCAGTATAGTGTCGCAACAACTTAACATTGATTGAAGAAAGGATATGAGTTGGAACTGTTACCCAACAAACAGCAAGTGACTTTCTCAATATACCACGCAGACAAACTAAAAATCGAATAAAATTTTGATCATCACTGTCATTCTCTCCTATACATCCCCAAGATGGTGAGAGAAAACTATGTATCACCACTCTCAAGATGTTTAAAGGTTTTTTTGCTTGTAATGCAGTCGCAGCATCGAAGTTGTTTTCAACAATATACTTATGTAGTTCTTTCAAACTGTCCTTGAAAAGATCTGGAGGCTTTTCAGACTCTTTGTGATACAAATGCCTAAGGTCAACATATTTAATTTTTGTGTTGTTTAGCATTTCCTCATCCATATGTTTGCTTATGTCATAATAGTGTCCATATTTCGTGTATTTTCCTATTGATGTTTGCACCTGTGGAGAATTCTGATACCTCCATGCAATTTTCATATCTCCTGCATTTGCCTCTGTTGTATGTGAATCTTCATCAGGCATCACAGGTTTGGGTAAGTAACTTGTAAAGGAAGATTCATCATCATTTCCGACAATAAATACTTCATGACTGCTTACAACGGCTTCGGCAAGAAAGTACCTGAACACATGGCATTCCCATTATTATTACTATAATATTGCAGTTGTCAACCTATATACAGCAGGAAAATTTTCATAATTCAAAATATCTTTACCTGGCATGAGATTAGGCACATTTAAATTTTTCAAAAATAGGAGTAGCACATCCTATTAATATTTGTACCAACATTCCGGGTATCTGTTACACAAAGATCAATTTGTTTCAGATTTTGTTATCAGATATTTCAACTGATTTAAATTCATAATCTTAAAATACTTCATTATGTCAAAGTTTATTTATTAGGTGAAACTCATTTTCAAACATAATACAACATAAGAAAAACTACAAACCTTGTGAGCACATCAGAGTACTGATGATTGTGATCTTCTTCAAGCAAGAAAACAGTTCCAACAGGGATGCCGCCTCCTATTACCCCATCAAGGGATGGAATTCCAGTCGAGCACAAGAGCTGACCATTATGAAGTGATGACTGAGTACCATTTATTTGCAATGCATTTGATTTTCCCCTTGGCTTTTTGTTGAAACTTGTTTGCATCTCTTTCAGTTAGGTTGTTATTAGCTAAGATTTATTGAAAAATAATGGACATATGTAATGATTGGAATATATATTGAGCCCCAGCATATAACCTTTCATAATTTAAGAACAAATATAAGCTCAAAAGTAATTTCATTATGCCATTTAAAACAAAAAGGTGGTTTTGAAATTAATATTAGGTAAGTGTCTACATTGGAAGTTCAAAGCAGATATATGTAGGCCCTAACGATGGATGGGAGATAGAACCTAGACAAATGGGACTGTTTATACTATTGAATAGCCTAGTTGGTTCAACGATGGAGACAGAGGACATAGACCGTTAAATTTGATGAGGATACGAAGCAATGATTGAGAGAACATTGAAAGTTTCAAATCAACATACTTTCCAAAACGTTGTATATCATACATGTCAATCAAATTTGTTTTTAGTAAATCAATTACTTTGTTTCGATCAATTTAACAAAGTACAACATAGGCTATTTGAAGCCTAGTAATGCTTGGGAGAAAAATGCAATCCAAATGAAAAAAGCATACAAATTGAAAAAAAAGTAGCAAACAACATTACAACCACATATAGAAATAAAAGAAACATTGGTGAAGGAACATAATATTTTATTCCATATTGACCACATAGAAAAACTTGTTTTGATTCATGTTTGTTAAAAATTTTCGCTAACTCGAGATTCTGCTAGAAGACTAAAGTTTTGGAGAGTCTGATATTCCTAGATTCATAGGAGAACCAACATGTGAACTAGATGGCGAAGACAAATCGCCATCTTTATATTTGTGTCTATGTTTATGTTTGTGCTTTTTCTTTTTTTTCTTGTCTTTGACAGCAGAATCTTGAGAAGGTCTTTTATGAGAGTCGTGAATGGCACGACTAGTTTCAGAACCGACAAAAGGACTAGTTTGCCATGACGAGCCTGGCTGATCTGTACCAGGTGTTGGTGGCCGGGTTGGTAGATCACTGTGACTGAGTGAAAGCAAACTTTCAGCAGCCATTACATCAGCATTGTCAAACTCATCCCCTTCATCAACTGAAGTATTTCCAAACTTGATTTTCATCTTGATTTTATCATGCGAATTACCAGTGAAAGATGTTGAAGCAGTGCGCTTGAGCTTGCTTTGTGGTCCTTGGGTTGAAGACGCCCTATCACCGACACTGGTCGATATAGTAGTAGACGGCCTTCTATCTTTTGGAGGTAAACACTTCGGCCTATGTGTTCCAAACAAAATATTGTACAAATTGATCGCTTCACACCTTATTCTTGAATCATAATATGTTGTCTTACTGATGAAATTCCATAGTTTATCCACAAAGTGTTCTGTGTTGAGAGAAGAAGTTTGACTGTCAGATTTTGTAAATGGAGGGTTACTGACAAATGCTTTAAGAATTCTCCACTTGATCTCTGGTACTGGATCTTTCTCACACAAGTCTAGCAACCATTCAAACTGATCAACATCACTTGTGGCTTTAATCTTGTCAACGAGAGCCTCAATTGCAGCTATCCTGATGTCCACGAAGAATCCATGTGCAGCATAGCTCCTCAGTAAAACATAATCAGGTGGTAAGTGACCATTTCTTTGTAAAGCTTGTATTGCTTTTAGGCACGACACTGTAACAGTATAACGATAAGAAGGTAACAATTTTTCTAAATTGAGAAATCTTGATATTTCCTCCAAAATCATTCTCACATCTAATGGTAAGTTTTCAACTGTTACTTTTTGACCAGGATTTGACATGGTAGGTGTTACTAAATGGCAAAGTGCTTCAACTAATGCTGCACGATAGTAGTTATCAGAAACCTTGCTTTTAGAATTATCATTAAATTTGATTAGATCAATTAGAAAATGTAAAACTTCTTTGGGACAAACATTATTAGTGTCTCTTAAATTGGCCATGGCAACTGGCAGAGTCTTTTGCATAAAGTATTGCTGCAAATTTGTGAAATTATTCATTCTAACAATCGGAGGTGTGGATTCACAGAAGAAGAATCTTGTAAATAACGTTAGCATCGCAGGTGGTCCTGCCCAGGAACTGATCATGGCATTAGCAACTTTAGCCATACAAAATGCAGCCTCCATTCGAACCCTATAAAAATATTTTTCATTTTCCAGTATGTCAGTTAGAGCTTTCCGAGTTGGTGGAGAAGGAAAATGTGACAGAACAGATAAAGCTTCTGCTTGTCCAATAATATCACGTTCAAATCTGACTTGATACTGCCACATGTAATCCGGTTGTTCAAAGCTTACATTTCGAATCACTGATAAATCTGGATCAATACGCAACCATAAAACAGGAGAATCTGGATCCATTGCACTCAAATCAATATCAGCCTCTTCTCCATTCAACAAAGGTATTTTTTTTCTTTTATTCCTACGACTTTTTGAATGACATTGTATGTCATGCTTTGTAGTGTTTTCTTCAACTTGAATGGTGTGTTGAAAAGAGCCATCAAGTTCTTGGATCCGAACTGTTAAAGGTCCAACATATTTTCTTATACCTTTCCCACCAGTGTGTTGTTTAACATCCAACTCAACAGCATTGCGCTTTCTATTAAATGTAAATCTCCCTTTAAAACAAACGACACCACTCTGATATACCCATTGATTCATTAAATGATCAATCTTCTTTCCTGAAACAGTGTTAATTGACTTTAAAAAGCTTTCAGTTGATAGGAGCATTGCAACCCATGTCGAATTCGGAACTTTCTGCTGTGCCGATGTATTTGCCAGAGATAGCAATTTGTTTAATGCTTGCAAAAGGAGTTGTGGGCCTATAGAATTTTCAATCATTCGCATAACGAGATGTGACTTGCATTGAAGCATTTCATAATACTTGGGTGACATAGTATGAGGATTCCTCAAAGAAGTGTTTGAATCCGCAGAATCATGAGAAGCATTGTAACAGAGTGTAACTGGCTGAACATTCATTTCATAATGGCAAAGCTTTTTCGTTTCACTTGCAATCAAGTGCTTGTATTCATTATTTCCAAATATATTTTTCACCCATAGACCTTGCAAATATGCAGACAAGCCTGTTGGCAACCAGAGATCATTCCAAGATTCTCTGGCCATAAAACAACCAAAAAACTGATTGGATATCATTTTTGCCATTTGCTTTCTCGTTTCAGGGTTTTGGTCAAGAATTATTTTACTGTGCAATAAATTTGTGTTGAATATTCCTAATGATGCATATGATTCTATATCACGATATGCCTCGTCAACGAAAACTTGTTTGTAGCAAGAATACGGGAAACGAAAACTTAGTATCTCTTCATAAAACTCAAAAACCTCATAGCATGCTTGAGTTGTATGTTCCAACAATGGTAGAAGTTGAGGCAGGCAAAAATGTGTGACCTCGTGCATGTGTTTGTCAACCAGAACTTCAAATGGACCGACAGCTAAACCAATGTTTGGAGCAGCTGTGGGAACAGTGAGGATATAATGAAATGTTTTCCTCTTCATATCTGGTGTGAAAACAGTCTCAACCAATTCTCCAACAGAAACTGCAGTCATAGTGGCATCAACAGTAAATTCCAATTTCCAGGTGCAAGGCTCCGAATATGTGTCAACACAAGGAAACCAAAGCCTGGCCGAGTTTTCATGACCATAGGTGAACAAATGCATTGCTTTTTCACTCGTTGTACCTTCCACATCCGGCACAACAAACTGAACTCCTCCATTAGGATTTTCCAAAGTGAAATCCATACTTATACGCAACGCTTTTTGATCTTTTACAAGTTTTTGTACTTCTGCTGGGAGTTTGATAGTAACTTCTCCATGGTAACCAGTATCTGGGTCAACAACATTAACTGCATTACAGTGGCAAGATTTTAAAAACTCAAGGTTTCTTGCTATTGGATCACGCTGCGTCAAGTCTAGAGAAGGGTCATGATATTGAAATGGAGCTTCATAATCATTCACACTAACTTTGTAAATTCTTGATTGTTTGCTGTTGACTTTGATAGTTTTTAGATCTGATCTCCTTGGTTGAATTAAGAGTTCAACATATCCCATTAAAGCTTTTCTTGAAAAATTGATTGATGTTATACACAAAACTTGATGGCTGAGTTTGAAAGGTCTTTGATAAGACTGCCTTAATGATTTAGCCTTTTCCATTGTCAGATTGTTCAACTCATCTAAAACTCTGAATATGAATATGCAGGTATAAAAGAATTTTATTAGCAGAACAAAGAAATCGGTTGTTTCTAAAACGGTATTACTATGTCCTAGTGCAGGGGTGTGCAATTTTAATACAAGAGGACCAGATTGGAATAACTGGGTGAAACCGCCGGACGCACCTTGATTTGACCTAAGGGATTTCTAGTAGTTGCAGTGGATAACATGCTGAGATTACTTTTTCGGATGGGATTTTTACCTCCCAATGATTTGCACCTTGTGCATTCTATATGGTTCCCAAAACAGGCGATTTGCTTAGTGTGCCCCGAAAATTAAAGAATTGTGTTAAACATAACTAATATGTTATTGAGCATTTTACATATTGTATTTATTATGAATGCTTTATTGTTTCTTATTTTGAATGCTGTGTACATGAATAATAAATTCATTTTAACCTTCTATATCGCTCACTTTCTGATACGTAGTGTCTACCTCTATTGCTATGTAACAGTAGAGGTAGCCTAGACACTAATTGCTGCAATTTGGCGAGCTGAAGATTATTTATTTGCTGAATCGAGTTTAGCGAACATGAGTGATTTTTTTTAGTATTTCAAGGAAAAATCAGGCAGACATGAGGAAGAAGAGTTGACATTTTGCGTTTATTCTTTAGGCCCAAAGCGCACACATCAACGATCACAAAAGTCTTATTTCTAAAGGCAGCAATTTTTTCATGTAAGTGCCGCGAGTATATTCCTGGTAATTTGGTGTTGCATGAACAAAAATTATGGGAACCGCTGCTCTACATCAAAGGTCTGAAGGTTTAGTAACAGCTCTTATACAAATATTAGGCAGTTTAGGAGCATATTAACATGTTATAATAGAAATTAATATTTAATGAAAACATACAGATATAGGATTTAGACCAGTGGTCGGGAACCAAAGGCTCGCGCGCCATATAAATGTATATGGCACTTTTGGTGGCGGCATATGGCTCCCAAAAAAATCTGATATTCCAAGGCTAAGGAATATGTTCATGTTTTGTGAGAGATGTGCCAGACAGGCATTGCAGCATTGTCAGATTGTGACAAAACTGAAGGCCGAATCACACACAGAGCGACCAATTCGACCGACGGACAAATCGTTTCGACATCGGCCATCGTCACGTTCACACACACTGATCGACAAATCTGTCGATGAGGCAACACGGTTAGTCAGTCGGTTTGCATTCACACGTTTGCGGTAACACAGCCGCATTGCAGGTGGAGCTCGCGTGTTTTGCCGTGTTCTGTAATTGCGATGTAAGTTGCTAGCTAGCTTATCACTCGTATCCTACGATACTGCATAAGTTGCTAAACGATTTGTTTCCTTATTCAGTTTTTATACTATACGGTACCCTAGAAATTTTTTATTAAATTAAAGCACTATGGTTATTGCAGGCTCAGACAATTCACAGCTATTGCTGTATGGTTATCTGGTGTTACTTACACAGGGATTCTGGAACAAACCGTATTTTGTGACATAACCAACCGATAAAGTTGAGGATCAATAATGGAAAGCTTCTCCATCATTGCGGCAATCAATCATTCAAATATGTCAAAATGAGAATATTGATGCTTACGGTACGTATATGGTAACAGTATAACAATCAATCAATTTTATTCGGTCACTCTGATACGAACAAAACAACAACAACAAAGGGACAAACAAAATACAGAGGACCTGGAGGACGGGCATAACTTAATAAAAAAGTTAAATACGTACAAGTACGTGCCCGTCCCCCAAAAACAGGCAAAACACAATAAAACAAAAATACAATGTGACATCGGGCAATATCTTATAAATTCAAATTAAAATGTGAGACGTGTATGTGCTTTGCTTATCCTATACATATATATGGATTAAAGAATACCAGGTAACATGCGTTCATTTACTGATTTATCTGTTCATACTTCTGAAGTTCCGAACGGTCGGTGTTTGTACAAACTCACTTGAAATCACGCTAAAGATGTGACAGAAGGTAACTTTTTCCTATATTCAGATATTCGAAAACTTAAAATTGATAATCCCACACTTTTTTTTTTTTTTTTTTTTTTTTTTTTTTTTTTTTTTTTTTTGATAATCCCACACTTGCTCGACCACGAGAACCGTTTTACCGATCGTCGCGAGATGTCGCAGTTTTGTCATTTCATTTGACAATCTCGTCGCGCCAAAATAGCAAACGACGTGCTGGGCGTGCATTGCATTGGGATATTGGTAATTTGTAACTTCGTTTTCACCACGATTGAGCTACACGTATTTCGACCGGTTGATGGATATTACTCTGAGAGGATACTCAGAATAAGTAGAAGATCTGTTCTTAAATATAAATCCTATCCCTATCATAATGAAGTGGAACTAATTCTTGAAATTTGCTTTTTCATGCGTTAATTAAAATATTTCTAAATGCAGAAATGGCATCATGAAACATATAACTAATACTGTAATAGCCTAGGTGATGACACCAAACTGCCAAATGGGATTTACATTGGATCTGCTATAATGTTGATACAACTGTTCAATAATAATTATGGAATTGTTTCATATGTCTGTATGTATGAAATTCAGTAATGATTTATATTAATTTTTTTATTTATATATAAAAAAGGGAGATAGGTCGTCTACTTAAAATAAGTACTGAAGTAATATTTTAAAGATATACAAAAAAATATATATAAATAAGTACCGGTAGTCTAGTATATTTATAAATATATAAAAAGTATAAATACACGAAAGTATATTTTTCAATATATACAAATGTATATTTTTCAATATACAAAAGTATTTTTTTCGATAGAAATTGGAATATCGGAATGCTGTTAACTTGCTAGCCGAGTTATTTTAGTTTGAATTATTATATCTTTGTATTTTGCTGATGGGTGCTATTACCTTGAAAACATACTACTTTGCCTTAGTTTGGACAAATCGATCGATCGAATCTTGTTGATTTATACTGAGGTACTGATTGCTCTATAACTTATTGATTGTTATTTGTTGGTAAATTTATCACTCCCTATTGCAGGGAGAAAGAGATTTATTTTTTCGTCAATCAAAATGAAATGACAGTCATCGTAATAATAACAAGTAATAAATTAGTTTGGTATTTCAGTATTTTATGCCTTTCACTTACTTTAATTATGTCAACTAGGGCTGAAAGCATTGTATTATTGTACGACTAAGCTAAAAGTGTGTGTTTCACATGTGTTGTTAAATATTGTTAAAAAGTTTATTTTATCTTTTCCACATTTCATTTTCGAAGTTTTGCTCGCTGGTATAAGTTTAAATTTATTTAATATTTATTTTTCTTTATTATTAGCAATCATAACTTTAGTTAATTGCTAACCTCCTTGAATATAGGAAAGCTGTAACGGCATCACTGGAAAAAGTAACAGGTAAATGGAGCTCACAAATACCCTTCAATGTGAACACTTGTGTTTTTTTAAGTTAAGGGTTGGCGGATGGACCATCTTCTATGAGCAATCTAATTGCTATTCATGTCTTAAAAAATTACCACTTGAAAAGAAGTAATTTCAGATAATTTTGTAGTTGTGAAATAATATTAGAAGTTTCAGCATTTTATTGTCTGTAGAAAAAATTATTTTTAACTGCTTTGAAATTAAACAAAAGTACAGTTTAGTAGTTTTTATATAAAATGTTCACCTAAGCACCCAATAAAATGAAAATGTCATTAAATATTAACATATGAAAATGTATGCTACATTCCATGAAGCATAAATAGTACTGCTGGCAAAGGTAAGGTTGATCGTATATAAATATATATAGTTCTGTTCTTTTTCAGGTGATTTGTGGAGCAGAGATGTTACCAATATATATCCGAATATGTTCCATCTTTCTATTACATTTCTGTGAAGGTGCTATAGAGCCAAAAATTCTTCTCCCATTTCATGGTGATTACCAGGTCAATTATACAATACATGCTGAAGATGGTTGCTATCAATGGAAATCTCTGCGACAAGAAGTTGCCACCATCAGACCTATCGAAAGTGCTTTTGATCCAGTCAATATGTGCTCTTCATCTGCTATTGTAATTGTCATGAGTACGCAGCCAGTTCGAAAGACTACTCTAGTTCTTGCCACCAATGTAAAAACTGGAACTATATTTTCATGTGATATTATCGTAGATAGAATCGAAACTATAGATATTGTGTCCAGAACTCGTGAACTTTATTTGGCCGACCCACCAGAAGAATTGAAGATTAGAGCTTTGGATCAAGAAGGAAATACCTTTAGCAGTACAGCTGGTATGGAATTTGAGTGGAGTCTAGCACAAGATGAAAAATACCACAAAGGATCTGATGGTGAAATGCATCACCCGCCTGTGTCATCCCACAGTATCCTTCACATTCAGAAATTCCTTGATACAATATATGTTGCAGATCCATATGTGGACTCGCTTGAAGTTAAAGGTAAAATGTCAGATACAATTTTGATATCTGGTATTCAAACAGGGGCAGCTGTTGTTGTGGCTAAGTTGGTGAGCACAATAGAATGTCACAAAGCGATTTCAACGTGTAGTGTCAGGTTCATTGTCAGGGATAAAGTTCTTTTGAATCCTTCTCATGATATATACTTGTTAAAACATGCTGTTGTGGAATACAAAGTTGAGCGATGGAGAGAAGGAATACCTTCCCAGATTACTATGCCTTGTCCACAATATGTGTTGGATGTTCGTGACATCACTGGAACCCCTGGATCTGTGATCCACCTCAACAAGGAGACCTCTGTTGTGGTGGGTTTGAATGGGGGACACAGTCAGTTGTATTTGGTTGACCAACACCTGAAACACTATGACGATTCACTTATGGAACAGGCAACCTCGGATATATATGTTGTAGAAGCTGCATATTTAAGATTTGAAATCTCGCCATATCAGAAATGGATTTTGGAAGTTGGTAGAATATATGAAATAACAGTTCATATTTATAGTGAAGATAATAAGGAAATATGGCCAGCTAATAATGTTCGTTTAGTTGGTGAACTGGATAATAAATATCTCAACGTACTTGAAACAGTAAAAAATGGAACTTGGTTTCTTGTGAAAGCTCTAACAAAAGGAAATTGTGACATAAAGTCACTTTTGAAAGGTGTTGTCAACGTTGGATCTATGATTATGCAAGCTGGTATTTTTAGTAAAGGTAGTGAGAACATGGAGATTTTTGATTCTCCGATTTCCACTTTTCAAAATTTGGAAATTTTTGATAAAATTGTTGTAACTCCTCCTGCTGTACTCTTCCCATGGCAGCCAGATCCTCTTTTGTATCAATATACATTTCAAGCATCTGGTGGGAGCGGAAATTATACCTGGTCTGTAAATGAAACTGAATCATCTAGTATTTCATACACAGGTAAAGTTAGTGTTTCTAGTGGATCTGATGAAAAGCATCATCCAAGAAAAATAGCAGTAAAAGCAGCTGATATACGCAATTCCTTTCATTTTGGTACAGCTACTGTCACTATAGCCCCTCCTGCAAAACTGAAATTTGCCATATCTTACCTTGAGGCTGAAGTTGGAGATGAGTTGAATCTGTATATCTCAATGTATGCTAAGATTAACAATGAATATGTAGCCTTTACTGATTGCTCTATCATGAAAAGTCTTGTGTGGACTATACATGATACCAACATTTTTAAATTTGCAAAGAATACTGAGCAAGTGCCAGATGAATTTTTAGATCCAGTTCCACAGACACCACCATGCTTGATGCGCAAAGTAAAGTCTTTGAAGAGTGGACATACCACTGTATCACTGTCCTATCACAATAAACTTCTAGAGGAAACTCTGGAATCTTCTACAGTTATTGCTGCATATGAACCACTTAGAATACTAGATCCTTCACAGATAGCTGTTGTATCATTAGCTTCTTCCAAAATGATGCGTTTTGAAGGTGGACCAGACCCATGGCCATTGCTTCCGAACAATCATGAGAAAATTATAAGGGGAGACAATGCAAATTTCAACTTTCATCAACAACTTTCAGGCAAAGAATACATTTTCATTGGAACTTGCATGGTTTTGGGTGAAACAACTGTAGCTTTAAATATTCAGAATAGGCCATGTGGAACAAATCCTTTTCCAAGAAAAGCTCAAATCACATTGAAGCTTTCTTGTGCCACTCCTGCTTCAGTAAAACTTGCTGTACAAAATCTTCCTCCATCCTGCCCGTTATTTCAAAATCAAAATGAACATTCTGTTGCTCTTGCTGGTGATATTTTGCATCTCACAGTGACCGCTTTTGATAAATTTGGTTATCAATTTGATAATTTTACCTCATTATCCAAGCGTTGGATATCGTCTTCATTTTCAATGGTTTCTGCGAGTACTACAAAGTCGCAATTTGTGCCTAATTCTGATGGACAAACGAAGCACTTCATACGCCAAGGCCTGTTGATGCCTAGAGATGTGGGAGAAAAGGCATTGCAATTACACATTGACAGGTATGAAGATTTTGTAAAAAGAGACATATGCTCCAAGTATGACTGCAAAGTCAGTCCATCTGTTCAAGCATCTGTGGCATTAGATATAGTAAATGTTATAACATTATCCCCACAGTCTATTGTGATGTTTAATAGACCAAATTTCAGTTCGTCAATTGAGATTATTGGAGGATCGGGATATTTTGATCACGAAATTAAAACTGAATCAAATTTTGGAATAGCCAAGGATGTTGTTTTAACAGTTCATAAACTTCCCTCAGACCGCAAAGTTATACTCAATCCAGTTTCCGCAGGGCATGCATCTTTGGAAATTTTTGATATTTGCATTCCAAAGGCAACGAAAACGGAAGGAGCGAAATCTAGAGCTGGTATAGTGGTATCGGATTTGTCATCTCTTTTCCTCGAGGTCTCTAGCCCTCTTGAGGTGGGAACAACTGGGAAAGCAACAATTCGCCTTGATATGAGAGAACTTTCCGCTCCAAATGAATTGGATTTGAGCATAAATTTGATGTCTGAACCACCTGGTATCATTTCACTTGGAGAACCAAACAGGCATGATGACTTGATATTTCTTGCTGATTTGACTGCACTCAAAGTAGGCACAACTACGATAAGGGCCTCAACAACATCCAGAGACGGTAAATTAATATCCAGTAACTCTGTTAGAATTGTTGTATTTCCACCACTGGAATTAAAACCATCAAGAATCACTGTGATTAGAGGTTCTGAATTTCATCTATATGTGGAGGGTGGTCCACCAGAAGATGTACAAATTCATTATGTTGTAGAAGATGAAGGTATAGCAAGTTCTTCACATGATGGCGTTTTGTCAGCCCATCAGATAGGTAATACAACAGTAAGTGTGAAAGCCACGACAAAAGATGGTCAAGTTTTTCATGGAAAATCAAAGTCTTTTGTTTTTGTTGTTCAAATAAAAGGTGTATGGATTGATAGTCCAACTTTCCGCTTTCAAACTGGAGCAACAGTACCTCTCCATGTTTATGGTTATGCTGGACCTGGATATGACCCAGTAAATTTAGATAGTGATGCGGCAGGACTTGTCTTTAAATGGAAAGTAAATAATCATGCTGTCTTGGATTTAAAATCTGCTCATGCTGAAGCCGGCATAGAAATTCCTGATAGACTCAAATTTACAGTGCTGATAAATGGGATAGGAGAAGGCCAGAGTGGAATATCTGTTTCAGTATCAGCAACTCGAATAAACCTTGGACAATTGGCAAATGCACAGTTGGACGCTGAGATTAAAGTAGTGGTGTTCAATCCACTGATAATATCACAGGAAAAATTGTGGCTTTCCCAAAATAATCTTTTACTAACACCAGAAACTTCATATTATCTTTTGTCGAATCGAGATGGACTAGTTTCTAGAATGAATTACATGAAACTATGTGAGGAATGCAATCTCAATATCAGCGGTAATAACGATGATGATTGTGTAACTGTGAATAATGAACTAAGGAGCATCACTACAGGAAAAAGTCCTTGCCAAGCAACCATTGTTGTTTCGGCAGAAGAGCGCTTCGGCATTACACAGACTTTGGCAATTCATGTTAAGGTAAAATTAGTCTCTTATATTATTGCACAGGTAAAAGAAAAATTCTACACCAAAAACTCTGATGATCGTCTTACTGGTTTTCCTGTAGGGTCATTATTATCTTTAGAAGTTCAGCAATTTGATAGTAATGGAATGAAGTTTGATACTACAGTTCTATGTGATAAATTTGGTACAAATAGGAATGATCTTCTTGAAATAACACCTAGCCCAGCAACAAACATCCTCAAGGTAAAATGTTCAAAAACAGGAGTTACAATTTTCAAAATATGGACTGGAAGTGAATATGCATATAGTTTCCCTTTGAATGCTGTGTCAACTATAAATAATGAAGGTAGCAACATGTTGATGGAAATTGGTTCGAAGAAGTGCTTCAACAGTGCAATTGTCGATGAAGATGGTAATCCGGGAAAGTGGGAAATAAAACACAATGGCTTCAAGGTGGATAATGTTTCTGGAGCCGTTATGTCATTTTCTCGAGCCACTGCTGATCTTAAATATTTCCTGGACCCAGTTTCAACAAAGGTTGCTTTGTCTTCAAAACCTTTTTCTGCCAACTTTGATGAAAATGTGCTTCCTGAAATCATTACTAATGCTAAGTCTAAATATATTCTGCCGATTAAGTTAGGGGATACAAGTGATATTTGTGATGGTTTAGAAGAAGAAATGAACAAATTTGCACAAAATACATTTGTATGTAAAAGTTTTCTAGTCAATACTATAGATGCTGTCACTGTATTCAAACCGTCAACATTATACATCCCAGAAATTGGTTCCTATGCATGTGTGCTTGATAGAATAGATCTTGCCACCAGTTTAGAAGAGAAGGTATCATTATTTGAAGATGCCAGTTTCACAATCACATTATCCATCAATAGTGATGAGGCAGATCGTGGAATTTCATTTCAAAACCCGGTCAGCGTCAGATTCTTACCAGCATTCAAACTTCTGAACTCATCACAAGTTGTCATGAGAGATGAAAAACTAAGACTGTGCATATCTGCAATACAAACGATTCGCGAAAGCTTGGAAATCAATACAGAATCTCGAAATCTTGAGATACATGAAGTTCCAGACACAGAAATCCATGGGGTTGCTTGTTACGAAGTATCATATATTCCACAACAACAGTTCAATCAAGATCATGTTTTAAAGATCTTCTCACCACTTACCCATCAAGAACAACTAGTGTCAATTGCAATTCATTGGCTGCCTAAACTCCCATCACAAACAACTTCTGTTAGCAGTGGAGTGTGCGTTGACCCTGATTCAGCCAGGGAGTCATGGCTTATGTACCAATATTCCTTTAGTTACTTAGGATTGCTTATAGCATTGTTAGTAATATTTATCACAACTGTAGCAATTTTTCTCACTTGTGGATTTTTCAAATGGGCATTCTCGCCTCCAATGACAACACAAGACAATTCTTCACCTGTTATGGTGAGCCCACAGAGACTATCCACAGGTATGGTACCTTATTCACCAAGTGGGTCATATTTATTTCCACGCTCCAGTCCAGTGCAACGTGGTTCACCATCCTCTCATTCCAATTCCCCTTCTCCAGGGAGGACTCCGTTGTGGAGTTCCAGTTATCGATTACAAGATGCTTCGTTACATCAGCGATGAATGGAATCATTCATTAAAAAATGAGTAATGTGCTATCAAAATAACTGCTATCCAAACTGAATTTGCACAGTAAAATTGTTGGAACATTGTATGTCTGGATTAACTGCGAAAAAGTAAAAATTCCAACTTTATTAGAAATGAATTATAAATAAAATGAGCTTTAGCTATACTTTGACTGTGAGGGGCATTCAAAGGATAAAATATCAATGGAATTGGAAATGGGTAACTTGTGAGTGTTCACTGTTAACGTTCGTCAACTCAGACACTGATTTATGAATTTTGAATAGATCATAATTATGATGATGGATTTGCCATTGCCTTTTGAATTGTCAACACATCCCATTTTGTATAAGGTGGAAATTTTGATAAATAACCTAAATAACTTTTTTGATACACTTTCGTAAATTCAATCATACTGAAAATATTCCAGTGTGCCAATATAAATTGTGAGAGCTTGCTGCATTTCTCAAGGTGAATTTCCAATATGTTTTCAATGCATTTACCAAAATATAATTTTATGAGCATTTAGAAATCTGTGAATAAGGTTCATTTTGTTTTGCTGTGATCCAATAAACAGTGCCTTCAACTAATCTTAGTGCATGCAATGATTTTACTTTGATTATTATAAATTCTTGAATATAACTGAAATCTGCAAGTTCAAAATATCAGTTTTTGTTTTGAAAACACCTCATAGTGCACCAATGTGTATGCTTCAAACAGTGCTCTCATAAATTTTACTATTTGGATAGGTGTTCCCTGGTCGAAACAAGCTGGCTGGTTAACTTGTTCTTCAATGCATAAGTCAGCATTTCCCATGCGTTCTATACACCTTGTGAGAAGTCCAAACCTACTGGACAATTATCACAAATTATTTACTTAGTTACAGGTGATCACAATGTAAGATTTGCTGACTCTGGACATCTGCGGTGATGGTAATCTGAGTAACTGTAATTTTGTTAAACCTCGCCAATCACCATAATCGGACATCAAAAAGTATTGTGCAATAACTAAACATTAGCGTATTTGAACCAATTTCTGGTAACTTTTTAATGAGACTGCCAAATACTATTTGTGTAATAATGATAGAAAAGCTGATCACCATTTGTTTTCATCATTTTATTGTATTATTTGGTACAATTTTTGATATTGTTTGTCTTCGCATTTTTTTGCTGTTCATGTTAAATTACAGTAATTTCTGCATTTATATATGTTTCCATAACATACACATAGGAAAGTACGGTTCATCTTCCGACAGTCTGTGCTTAAATTGCTTTTCCAATATTTTACTGTGAAAAAAATGTTTTTTTCAATTTTATACTTTAGGCAGTGTAATAGAAATTATTATTTTGCTGCTGACTATTTTGAGTCATTTCCGATATATGTATACGAAACACTTGTATTTCTTGTTGTAACAAAGTAAAGAAGATTGGAACAGATTTACAGTAATTATGAGCATGTTATGGATGCTTATAGGTGTTTGAAAAGAGGAGCAGGATCACTAGTCAATTGTTATATACTAAATGTGCTAAAAATTGTGGTTGTTCAACTTTGACCAACAAGCTTTCTGCCTTTGTTTTGTATATTCGGTCTGTTTGAATAATATTGCTATGCATTCACTTGCTGGCCGTCAGCAAATGTCAGACTCATTTGATGAAATTTTTTACACTTATTGTTCAAGTTTTGTTCTTGAAATATACAATTTCATTCAGTTTTTTAGAGTTGTGTTATAACCAGAGGGGATTTAAGAAAAGTATTTCACATACCAGTATATCCTTGGAGCTAAGAATTTTTTGGCTTGAGCTAACGAAGAGGTAAAAAGCTACAAATAACTGTAATAATTAGGTTTTTGCCAAAACGAATGGATTACGATTTGGTTGATAATCACACCTCTGAGACTACATTCGAATATTCTGATTAATTGATCCAAATTATTAAGTGTGTATTATAGGTATACTAACGATATTTAGTAGTATGGTCGATAGACCGATTTTATACAGTTGATTAGAAAAAATCTTTATAGAGACCTGTTGCCCTATGTCGCGAGAAGCACGTTCCATGGTTGATCACAATTTGTTATCACCAGTTCGCGCTTGATAAGAAAAATCTTTAGAGACCTGTTGCCCCGATGTCGCGAGAAACATGTTTCATGGTTGATCACAATTGGTTATCACCAGTTCGCGCTTGATTAGAAGAATCTTTAGAGACCTGTTGTCGCGAGAAACATATTCCATGGACCATGGTTGATCATTCACAATTGGTTATCACCAGTACCGCATGTCTCTACAAGATTCAGAGATTGTTGGCTGCTATTAGGCAATATATCATTTCATAGAACAAAACCAAAATAAGGAAAATAAAATTCACAAGGAAAAATATCCGAGAAGTTTCCGTTGCACAAACTATCCTCGTTGTTGTAAAAAATGCAGCAGTCATTCTATGTGTACGGTACCCACGTGATCTGATGATGACTTGCATATTGCTGTAATGTTTGCATAGTAAGTTTATTGGTGTGGGTTGGGGCTGTCGCAAGGTCGGACAGTGCCTGATTGCTGGCTGTTAGTAATGCTTAAAATTCTGATGAAAACCAAGCGTGCAGCTTTTCGAGTGAATGAATTAACCAAGGTTTTGGATGGAGGAAAGCGTGCATTGTACGTCACAGAAAGCAAATCAGGTACATTATCAGCCTTGTAATTCTGTAATTATATTTGTAAAATTACAAAATTTTGGTGCATATTTGATTGAATGCTGCTCTGTACACGGTTACAGAATCACTAATACTGTAATATGCATGCCACTGTCTGATATTACACAATCCATCTTCCAGCAGACTGACAGAACTACATGAACATTTAAATTTAATGCATATTTGAATTGCATATTTAAAACGGTGCACTAGGAACAATGCGTGGTTGCACTAGGAATGGCGCAAATGATGGTGCATTAGGATGGAACAATAATATTGGCAATTAATTCATCTAATTTTTTATTGCTTATGAAATCTATATTGACTCGGACTCTACTTGTTCCGCTGGGACTCAGATTGGTTATATGTCACTGAAGTTTAAGATTTTCTTTTTTCCGTGGTCATTTGATAAAGATTTAGTGATATGTAGCACCACTCTATTTATAGGGTATTTCACACACCCCTTGGAACAAGGCTTTAAACAAGAAGTTACTGGGGCGATGCTGTTCTTGCATAAAAACTGTTTTGCGCTGTGCAAATTTTGTAGCCATAAGTTTTAAGCTATTTTAAGGTTGCCGCTGACAAGTAGACCGAATGGTCATTTTGCGGTTATCCTGCCATTCGGTACAAATATTTTGTGATCTTTCTTGTTTTCATTTTGTTATGCTTTACCGGAATGGTTATTAAAAAACGATTTGATTGACTGGTTGACTTATACATCTACTAAATTTTTTGAAAGGATAAAAATTTTGTTGAATATGGAATAAGGAGATTGAATTCAGCTATTGCATATGCACAGTTCCATCTTCTGATAAGTAGCTTCACAACTTCCCCGTAGCAAAGTTCTAAATGAGTTTTTGCCACTTGGTTGTGACGTCACGCAAAATTTGAGAATGAGACGTAGAATTTCACTGCTGATAGCTCCATTCAATCCAATTATCTGTTGATAATGCGGCCCCATTGTTGATAACCTGACATTCCTAATGTGACCTCACTGTACATGCTGCTCTGCTCCTTATAAGACTTTCACCACCACCAATGGAATGCACTGCTGATTGGGCTGAAAGATTTGAATCTCATTGAGGTTAATGATGTGCCATAGAAATGCTGGACTCCTTACTGTGAGTGACAGTTCTACAGAGTGGTTCACATAAAAACATCGGCACATCAGCCTGACTGGGCTGATAAACTGGTAAATTTACTGATTGCAATGCCTGCCTGGACTAACAAACTGAAGAGAGGCTGTGGTTCATCATATGTAGATTAAGCCATTCCATCAGTTCCGTTTCTTCAAATAAATATCAAAAATCCTATCTTTCATAAATCTGTTAACTACTGCAACTGACTTTTGGGCATTCCTTTATTTTTCAGATGGCCATGTTAATATTGGAGACACAAAGGTTCCAGTGAAAGTTCCAGACCACCCTTTGCATGTTCCATATGGATTTGGTAAGTAGACACATCGACTATAGTTTACCTCATTTACAATTGATTAGATGCTTAATCATTAGTTAAACCCATGATTTTATATATTAGAGAAACTGCAAATGAAACAGCTTTCTCATTTCAGTTGGTGCCATTATTCTTAGATGTTCCATAAATGATACTTTGTTGCGGGTCTAGCATAGTACCGACTTTGCATATGTTATCCCTAACCCCACCTGAGTGTCACTGCGTCGTCACAATCGTGTCATAGATCTTACCAAATTATAGTTGCGATCGCTCATAATGGCATCTGTGCAAATGCTATCGACTAACGCCAGAAATCTCTAATATCAGATCATATCTTGCTCAATTTCGGCTCATCGTCTGCATGTTTTGGATTATTTCCGTGTATTTTGATGGGCCTTCTTACGTCAGTGTGACATTACAATGATGTAATTTTTATAAAGATGTAATCAGATCATGGTTAGGAATGACATATGCAAAAATTATTGAGACAAAAATTACAAGGACTATACTGGACCAGACCCGTTATTGCTTCATACCAAAAACTATCTCTGAATTTGATTTCAAGGTCCCACTTCACTAAGTTAAGTTATTGTTTATTTGTAGTTTTCCAAAGCCTATCTATCTATCATTTCCATCCATGGTAAGTACTTCGCTTCAGGTTGATTGTGAGATATAATAGACATTCCATAAACCAATAAATTTCTTTTTCCTATATATAATTCCAGTGCCATCAGGAAATCCATTGCCTCAATCGACTATCAGACATTTAAGATGGATGGCACAAAAGGATTTACTTGGTCAAGACATTTTTCTTATCGGTCCCCCTGGACCACTACGGCGCTTCCTCACTATGCAATATCTGGTTTGTGCGCTTTTTTGTTAGATGTTAGATCAGTCAAAACACAGTCTTTGTATTACTGTGAAATTGCACTAATATTTCGGGTATCTCCAAAATGTTGTGTACCTCTTGTACCACGTGTCCCACTGGTACCACGTGTCAAGTGGGACACGTGGTACATGTGGGACACGACATTTTAGAGACACCGCTAATATTTCTGCATTTTACATGTAATAGTATGAATTCTTTTATGTTAAACATATAATGCCCCATTGCATTGTATTAGTATCATGTTCATATTCTTTCAGTCTGAAGATTTTCAGCTCAAAGATGTTACTGTAATGTCTTTTAGTTACATTGATTGTTTCATGTATTGAGTATTTTTATAACATTTCATTCGTAGGAACTCACAAGAAAGGAAGTGGAATACATAGCCCTTTCAAGAGACACAACAGAAAGTGATTTAAAGCAAAGAAGAGAGATTAAAAGTGGAACATCCTACTATATAGATCAGGTCAATATTGTAGCTACGTATCAATTGTGCTTATGGTTTGAAAAGAGTTTGCTGAATTTGGGAGTTTTTGTGGTTGTTATTTAGAATCTTCCAGTATTCGAATCCTCAGGTTCAGTATTTGTATTGAGTTGTAAGTGTTTGTACTTTGTGAAACAATGTAGATCATCTTGCAGTGGTGTTATGACCAGGGCACCGGCGTTATGACCAGGGCACCGGCAATCTATTGTGGTAAGCTTGACTACAGCTCCAGCTTCCCATCCCTGGTTATATCTAGCTTTAAGAGAGAATGGTATAGTTACTTCATTCTTACAATTGTTGTCAAAATTATTCATATATTTGTAAACATAAGTTGATTGTTAGCCATGCCCAAGTCAAATGAGGATTCACAGAAATTTTGATCAGTAATGCTTCAAAGTAAATTCATAAAAAGGGATTTTATTGTATGGTTATTACAATGTTAGTGATTTTATCATTGTGATTCTTTTAGCTTGAGTAGATTGAACATAATATAGCTCTAGTAATTAACGGTCAATAGCAAAATCTTAACCCAATAATTTTCAAAATATTCCTGTCTATTTTTCTTCGTATTTTTGGTGAATTTATGGCATGACATTTTCAAGAAACCAATCTAATGTAATCGATATGTTGCTCTGCAATTGAAATAACCTGTCACAAATTTCCATATGATTAGGTTACTCTTACTTGTTATGTTATTTCCTTGCAATGAGTTATTAACGGAAAAAAACAATTTTATTGTTTGTAATTTCAGTGTGCTGTTAGAGCTGCTCTCCTTGGAAGAGTTCTTGTCATTGAAGGTGTTGAGAAAGCCGAGCGTAATGTACTTCCTGCATTGAATAATTTACTTGAGAATCGAGAAATGCAACTAGATGATGGACGTTTTCTCATGCATCACATTCGTTATGACAAATTGCTAGAAGTAATGATAATAATATATATGACTTTTACAGTAAATAATATAACCCTTTTGCAAGATATTTTGGGCATCAATAAAAGTAAACCCCAAAAGACAAGAAAGCTTTGACAATTTCATCCTGATTATTTAAATTATCAAAAAGATTAGTTTAACTGCATCAATTTTATTTTTTGTAATATTGTATATTTTTGTGTAGCAATTCGGTAAAGAATCGATGGACAGTTGGCAGTTGGTACGAGTGAGTGATAAATTCAGAGTGATTGCACTAGGTTTACCAGTACCCAAGTATAGAGGAAATCCACTCGACCCTCCTCTCAGATCGCGATTTCAAGCAAGAGATATTTATCATCTGTCATTCAAGGTATTTAGGTTTTCATTATTTCATAATTATAGACATATATCCTGATGTCTGATGGGTTAAACATTGATCCAACAAAAGTTCACAATAGAACTGTGCCTGCACACAAGGATCAGGACCGTTGCCAGAAAGTCGAATGAGGTTTGAAAAATGAGAGATGAGATATAAAAAAAACGTAAAGATACTAATGGCCTAGGCCAGATCTCTATCCTGTAGTTTCATCTCAGTTCTGCTAATGTGTCAAGTTGTCAATCTTCAACATCGGTTATTATTATCGCACCTACCAAAGTTCAAAATAATGTTTATCTGTTTTGTTTTAACAGGATCAACTTGATGTTTTATATGAGCATGCTCCAAATGTTGAATCGAATATATTAGCACAAATTCTCTCCTGTGCTAATACTCTTGCTACTCAAGAATCTGCAAGTCTTGGTCTGCCTGACTTCCCACTGGAGAATCTCGTACATGCTGTGAAAATTTTAGACAAGGTGGGTCTCACCCAATGTATTGAAGTAAAAGTTATTTTTTCTTACATAAATATTGGTGTTTGTTTATCTTCATGGTAAAGTCAAAGTAGATTATATCACATTTTTCAGAAATGGACTTTTTTAACCATCTGTCATTATGGACTGGGTCTAAGCTTTACTCAGATATGGCTAAAACCAAATAATTTAGAATTCTGAATACAATTTAAAATAATCTTTTCAAAAATTAAATATCGAACATATGTTCTGCAATGCGTCTGTTACTTGGTTTAATTGGTATTCTCTATTTTATTCTGTCACAATTTTATTAATTTTTGTTTATCATAGGACAATAAATACTCAAAATGACATTTTAAATTGGAAATATTTTAAATCATTCCTTAAATCAAGAATTTACCAAATCAAATGTAACCAATTTCGAATGTAATAGAATATTCGCTTTGTTTTGGACGTTATACCTATTTTAATTTTGATTCATTTTTACATTTCTCTGTTAACATAAAACTAATAAGTGATTTTCCTAAAACCTCAAAATGTGACATGAGCTAATTTAGTTCTATTGCGTCAATATATGTCTCGCTTGGTTTTTTAATGGAATTGAATCTTCGATTTCACTGTAAAATGATCTGCCTATCTTTGCAAAACACTGCTTTTTTTATCTAAATTTATTAATATCACTAGTATTTGATGCTTTCAATCAGACTTTATCTTACCATAATAAATGATATCGATTTATGCTCAATTGTAGCAGATATTCAAGATTATTTTTCTATCAGTTATCTCAATATCAAAAATCATATCTGTTTATAACTAATTTGCAATACTAATTGTTTGAGTAAGTTTTATATAGCCTTCCTCTTTTTTTGTTAAGGTATGATTTATTTATTCATTTGTCGTATTTTTCAGGCTAAAGATTATCCATTGTTGGGACTATTTTCACGTTTATATCCTTATGATATCTTACTTAACAAGGAAGGACAACAGTCTGTCTCAGATGCTTATTCTGTAAGTCACATTCAATGTCTAACTTTCCATTCCATTTTTTAAATGAATGATTACAGGTAAAGTCACAGGATGATTTTAGTTGTAAATTAGTTGAGATATTCTTTTGTTTGAACAATTGCCTATTATAGCATTTCACTCTTTGAAACAATGTGAAAATTTGTTTAACCGCTTCAGTGTAAATTAGTCCTGAAACATTCTTTTAATTTTGGTATTTCAATTCTCGGCCACAAAGCATTTCTTATTCACATTCACACATTCACTTTATTGCCATTTCAAAATAATACAAAATCTTGTTTTGAGCAACCATAAAACGAGAATATTGGTCAGAGACCGAAGACTTATCGATCGAAAGTTAGGGGATCCCCAAAACAGCGCTCTTACTCCATAGTGATACCTTGTGTCCCATCACTAATTAATTAATAACTCGCTAATTATACAACATAATTGATCCAAAATCAGTAGGCTTCTGGTACAACATATGATGAATGCACATGCAAAATCAATCAATTCAGATTCAATCACGCTTTTGTGAGATATGGCGTGCATCTAATAGACAGACAAATACCTATCAACATACTTACCAATTAAAATCGATAAGTGACAATTCTCAACTTCACTACGCTTTTTCTACAATTTGGCTATTTGTCTAATATGCCTCACTTCTTTCATAAGCAAAGAATTTTTATGATGGTGCGTTCGGTTTTTAAAAATATTTAAATTCTTGTTTGACTTTACTTGATAAGGCAAGCAAGCTTTATTAGTGTCTGGTCATTATGCTTTTTCCATATCTGGCTTAATGTTGATTCTTGATTTGTTACTCCCATCCCATTTTTCAGAAATTTGAAATCAAAGAAACGGAAAAAGATGATTCTATCATGAACATAACATCAGTCCAGTTGAACAATGGACAAGAAGATTCTAACACCAATGGATCTTTTGGGAACGTAACTTTGGATCTTGGTTCATCCAATTCTCAATTGAAGGTATTAGAAAGAAGGAAATATTCGATTATTGGGCAAGAAGTGTACATATGGATGCTTTTGTTATTATGTTGGTGTTGTTGATCTTGTTAGTCATTCTTTTGCTTTGAAATTTTTAGTGGTTAAAGATTGTATTTATCGCCCGCCTGCCTATTTTGGATTTCTTTATTTTCTCCTCACTATGCATGAAAACTTTGATTTTGCCATTTATTTGTTTAATCTTGAATGATCCTTAGCTAGTGTTACATAGTTTTTGCACGATTTGAATAGTTTATATGTACATAAAATATGTGTTTCAATAATAGCCTACTATATAGCTAATCAATATTAGTAAGACCACACTGAATACCAATTTGGTATTTTTGTATATCCTCCCGGAAACAACAGAATTTCTTCCTAGCTGCACTAACACAAAAGCAGAGAAAAAGGAGCAGAAATAGTGCACACTTTACTTTAATCAACTGTATACTAAAGAGATGTTCTTCTTTATCAGTTTTGATTGCTATTTCTAGGTGCCATGTGGAAAACAAATGAAGGAGAAAACTATTTTTGAAAATAAAGAATTTGTTATGACTGATTATCACAGACAACTACTTGCTGATGTTGTATTGACACATTCAACCATGGATTTTTGTATCATTGGTGGAAAGGTTATTATACATTGAAAAAATGATTCTATATAGTGAATAGTCTACAATATATTGAATATAATATACTCAACTCAAAGTGCTAACCAGTGTCGAGGCTATTCTTTGCCATGTTATCCGTAATATGCTGTCCAGGGATGTGAGGTCTGGGCAGATTAGGAATCAACTCAGACTCCGGGTTGAGAAAAATTTGACTCACGAGTCGTGGTCATAACATTTTTGACTCCAGTTATAACTCAGCGAAAATCAAACGTTGTTAACAAATATGTTAGCATATGCAAGTCTCCTGAGAACACTGAGTAAACCTAATGCCTTTTAAGTTTCTTAGAAAATTTGGATCATTAACCCTTTCCATGCGATTTTTATTTTTTATTAAATAATCGTATTTGCTACGCCGACTTTATGCATTTGTACCCCCACAACTAATCGATCGACTAACGAAAAAGTAATGATCCTCTGCTGCCCACTGACGGCTCGTTGGAAAGCTTATTTAAAGAGCTTGCAATTGGCGATTGAAAAATTTTTTTTTTTTTCAAAAGGGGTGGTCTGAGTCACAAACAGGATAGAAAAAAGACATTTTTTTTCTTGGGTGTTGAAACTTCAAGCCGTGATAAAAAATAGAAATATTCGCTAAATCCTTTACTGTTACCGCTTCTTGGTTGGCAAACAATAGCATAATATTACTGTAGCAATTTCGTTATCTAACTCAAAATACTTTGGTAGATGGAAGGGATAATATGTCTTCTATTACCACCCAAAAAACACCGAAATTTGCATAAATCAAAAACACTCCCTCGTTCCGCCGCAAATAAAACTCCCATGGTAAACGAAAGCGAGATTTACCGTCGCTTATGTTAATCTCGAAGAAGGCTTCTTATCAATAAACTAAAACCCGGAAAAACTAGACCAACAGTTTGCGACCGATTGCTAAATAAAACAGTGGAGTACATCAACGTACCCGCCGCAAACTAGCGAGTTTTGTCGTGGGTACGTATACGTGCCCACCGCACGGAAAGGGTTAATATGACCAATAAGAGAATGAAATACTCAATTTTCATTTTGATTCACCCTGAGTGACAGAATCTTTTCATAACTTGGGATGCAGCAATTTTGTTTTTATATTTAAGCTTATTCAGGGCATTTTAATTTTGTACAAATGAATTTTTGTATTTCCACAGGGCTGTGGGAAAACAACACTTGTGAAACAATTTGCCAATATGCTTGGTTATCTCACTGAGCCAGTACTGATGTATCAAGACATGACAGCAAGAGATTTACTCCAGCAGAGATATACGTCACCAAATGGTGATACAGTGTGGCGATATGCTCCTCTTGTTGAAGCTGCATTAGATGGAAGAATTGCGGTTTTAGATGGATTGCATAGAGTTAATCCAGGGACACTTTCTGTTCTTCAGAGGTATGCTGCGGATTCAAGAAACAGTCTAGTTTTTAGTATATAATGGCTCAGTTTATTTGTATTGTCAATTTTCAAATGTTATGATGCAAAAGAAAATCTTAGGCTTCTTCTGTATTATAAATAAATTAAAGGTAGAAATGTTCATCTCAATCACAGAGAAGGTCGATACCTAGTGAAATAACAATAAAATATCTTTTATTTCTCAAAATTTTCTGATTATTCAAAATTGTTCTGTGTTTTAAGGAAAAATTTAGGATTGTATGTCCATAGACAATCTTCTCTCTCATTTTAGAGTTCTTTGTGTTGAATATGTAAGCTTATCAATTATGATTTGCAAATGGAAATTTGTCTTAATTTTTTTTTATCATCAGATAAGATTACCTAAGTGAAATGACAAGCATAATCATGGGCATGTTTAATCATGAGCATCTCAATAAAATAAATTATTTTACTGGTTGATGAGGAAAGTATTTTTCAGTTTATGGCTGAGTTGACCACTTTGGTATGTATTAATTTACATTGTTTTGCAGGTTGGTTCATGATAGAGAGCTCACACTTCATGATGGTACTAGGTTAACACAGCATGATAAATATGATGATATGAAAAATACACTTGAATTAACAGAGAATGAAATGAGAGAAAGGTATTCAATATTTCAAGTATCGTTTTTTACAATATTTTAATAAAAATTGTTTCGCCTATGTTTCCTTGGACTTCCAAAACTCAATCACACTCTTTGTGCCTAAGTCACCTGTTGTCGTATATCCAGAACCTCCATGCAGATTTTGTCATTTTTTCTGGAAGTCAAATGACATGTAGTTGTGTGCCATGTAATTTTGTTGTATTGTGATCAGTTTTTACAGATGTTCTTATTTTCATTTTCAAAAATAATATTGACTGTACATGTTCCATGCCAAGTCCTGTGTATTTCTTCCATTTCTAATATTATGAAGCTCAACACAACACAAACTTTGAAACATTGTTACTTTTCAGTGGAGTTTTACGTATTCATCCTTCTTTTCGAATTATTGCACTTGCTGAACCTCCCAAGGCTGGATCACCTAATCAGCAATGGTTAAACCCAGAAATGTTGACATTGTTCCTTTACCACAAGATGCCACCATTGAGCACAACACATGAAATGGAAATTATTCAAGAAATGGTGGGAAATTTTTTTTTTTCAAGTTTTATTTTCATTATATTGTTTTAAAAAATATATGTCTTGGTTGTACTTTTAAATTGTGGGATACATTTCGAAATAGAAAATTTAGGAGAAAAAATGGTACACCCGTCACCCGTACTATGTGAACCAAAAATGGCGGACACCGGAACCTAGTAGGTGAACTAGGTTAGGGCCATGATTTCGGGTATAAATACTACGGGAGTCACTTAGTTAGTCCCCGAACTCGTAATAGAACTAAAATAAGGAAAATTGGAATAAAATTATGGCCTAACTTTAACCTGGTACACATACTAAGAGAGTACCGAAAAAGTAGAAGCCAATCGTCTTGTTTGCCAAAGGCATTTGGACTTGTGAGTGGAAATTCAAAAAAAATTGTGTTATCTGACCTTATCAGACTTACACCTTCAGTAACTATCTCATTCACTGCTTGAACACTACAGTCAATTATTTTGCTTTACTATTTTTCTCGAGTCCTGTCCTGTTTTCGGAATAGTTTTCATTTTCTTTTTTCAGGTACCCGGTGCTGCAAATATGCAAATGTCAGGTCTTTTAGAATTGTGTCATCATTTACGGAATTCATCTGACACAAACATACAATCTATAGCAAGTTCACTCTCAACACGTCAGTTGCTCCGAATTTCAAAAAGATTGAAAAAGTTCTTGAAAGTTTCTGGGGATTCTGATAAGAAAATTATATCTGATGCTGTTCACAAAGCTTGTCTGTCCAGGTTTGCATAAAATGATCTATTGCAGTTGCACAGCAGCATAGTCCTATGACTCCTATCATTGTGCATGAAACATTTTACTGATTTTAGATATATTGGTGAAATATTTTGCTGATTTTAGATATATTGGCGCGGCAGTGTGGCACACCATGCTAAGCCTTAGGAAATACCCTTGCCCTCGCACCTCTTGATTACTCTGCATGGGTTCGCAGGTTCGAATCCATGCGGGGATGGGATGTGCGAGAGGTTCGCTGGACTTCTCATCGCCGTAGGGTGGTTCATGTAATTGCTGGTCAGTTACGGCTTCCTCCACCATCAAGTCCAGAAACATATCCATGAAAATTGGGTAAATTCTAATGATCCTAATTGTGATACCTTATTTGGTTTTCAGGTTTTTGCCTCAACTTGCCAGAACAGCTCTTTGTGATGCTTTACAGAAGAGTAAATTACCAAGTGAAGGATTCAATATTGCAGAATTAAGCTTGGATGATATATCTTGTATGTGCAAATTCTCTATTATAATAATCTACCGGTAATATTGAATTCCACTGATACTTATTATCCCTACACTATATTATTAGCCTTTCATAGTTCTTCAGTGAAATATAGTTTGGGTTTGAAAGCTGTAAAAATTTATTGCTTGTTCATTGAAATGTTGTCTAATAACAGTTCAAGTGTATAGTAAATAGTCTAATTTCAATTGTAATTTATTGGTAATGACCAGCTATGATTTGTTATCTTTGTTTAATTAAGCAAAATCATACGGGTTGTACTAGGATATTGTATATTGAACAATATGTCCTTACTTCCTACTTCGGATTCGTATGTAGCCGTTGACACAAGGATGCTTGAACGAGATAATATTAAAGCGATAAATAGGAATACCATTACATCTTTTTTGAAATAGTAATTATATTCAAAAATTTTTTTTAGGTTATAATCTAACCTCAGACAAAACAAGATATAAATTAATTATGATTGATTACCGGTAAGTAATATCTTGTTTTGTCTGAAGAAGTTAGACTATGATCTAACGAAAACTCTTCTATTTCATCCATTTACGTGTCAATTCATTATTTTTACTCTTCTGAAGGTGAAATAAAGGATGGAAATCTTCGAATTGGAGAGACTGTTGCTCCAGTGTACAAAGAAATACACGAGAGTGGATCGTCAACTGCCAAAGTACCAGATATTATCTTTTATGATAATGCCCAACATTTATCTGTTATGCAAGACATGCTACAAGATTATATATTGGGAGAGCATATATTACTTGTGGGAAATCAGGTAAAAGGCTTTCGAATTTGTATTCGTAGAGAAAATTTACCTTCTTCAGAGTCATGCTATAGATGTTTTATTGGCAAAAAGTATACGCCATTCTAGTTTTCTCTGATTCTGAATAAAAATATAATAGCACTGCAGTAAGAATAGTACATTGCAAGATTTCATGTCAAAAATAAGGAATTTTCTAGAAGTAAATTTATTTAGTGTGTTCTAATTAGTCATGGATCGGCATATTAGAATATTTTCTAGGATTCTAACTTGTAATTGAATTATGTGTGAATGGATCTATTTTGATGCGATATTGTGATATTTACTTTTTAATTGGAAAAAGATGCAATTTGTCCTTGATTTTGAAATATTATTTCAATTCCAGGGTGTCGGTAAAAATAAAATTGTTGATCGATTTTTGCACTTGTTGAATAAACCAAGAGAATATCTTCAATTACATAGGTAAGTTAATTTTACTTATTCATAAGAACCTTATTTCTCAACAGCTATTACAGATATTGTATAAACTTGACATCAGCTATAACCGTCATCAACATGTCAACAGAGGTGTAACAATTGAAGTTTAATTATCAGTCGTTCAGAAAAATTTTCAGGCATAAGTGCGACCATTATCTCATTTACGTGATTTTGCTACGTAATTGACAGTTCAAGTTGAGTTCAGGTATAACTCCAGTACCTCAATGATCGCATCCTCTTCAAAGGAGATTTTATTGTAGTAGCAGTAATCAAAAATTAGCTCTGCAATAGACTGGCTTAAAATATGTTATAAGTATTTGCATCAAAATTGATTCCTGTGATCATCTTTTACTTACCTTATATTATATATCATTATTTGACAGAGATACAACTGTTCAAAGTTTAACTGTTCAACCAACAGTAAGAGATGGCACAATTGTATATGAAGATTCTCCATTAGTTCGAGCTGTTAGGTTGGGACATGCTCTTGTTGTTGATGAAGCAGATAAAGCACCAACCCATGTTACTTGTGTTCTGAAGAATTTACTTGAAAGTGGAAGAGCAACTTTGGCTGATGGAAGAAAAATTGTGTCTGGTCTGTAAAGATTACTTTTACTCACTGATTCACATAAAACAATACAAGCTTCATATGCACTGTGGCGTTGTATTGCGACACAAAAGCTTGAGCATTTTGTTGAAATTCTATAGCAATTATCATAATAATGAGGTGGTAATTTGATTAATTTGATCAACCATTTGCAGTATTTGATTGTGGTCTAAGGGCCATTGTATATTGGTGGTAGTAAAGCACATTTCTAAGTAATATTTCTTGCTCGCTAAAATGAAGAGATTTAAAAAAATAGATTATCTGATGTATTATATTCTTTAGATATGTACCTTTTTATTTTTCAACTGTTTGTCTTAACACTTAAAGTGGTAAATTATATTATATAATTTTGTCTTTCTGTGAAAATAACCTACTTGTTACCTTACAGATGAAAGGGAATTGGAGAACTTGCTTGAATCTCATAAGAATGAAGATGTCATCATTATGCATCCTGATTTCCGAATGTTTGTTTTGGCAAATCGACCTGGATTTCCTTTTCTTGGAAATGACTTCTTTGCAGCTATGGGTTAGTTCAAAATGTTACTTATTCGGCATAGTGATTTTCACTTCCACACTGCGCTTATACTCTTTACTACCACACTCTTAAATTCGGATGTTCAGTTGTAACAGAATGTAATTCGTTGATACATAATATTGCACCTATTTCACACCCTTAGGGGAAAATGGTAAGGTGGGCTAATCTATGAATGGTTTTTCAACCATAGGACAGTCATAGTTTGAAAACTTCATCCCGTCACTACATTCACCTCATATCTAAGGCTGCTGCAGTTTTCATGATACTCTCTCCTTTATATTTTGTAAGCTTTTCGCTACTTTACATTTCCTGCCCTTGCAATCAAATGGATTGTGTTAAAGAACCACAAACTGTTTTGGAGTATTATGGTGCAGCAAATTGAATTTGCAGGGTTCATATTTGCATCTTGCAGTGCAATTTCATCCACTCTGTTTAAAGGTTATGGTTTGAGTTTGATGAACGTGGCAGTGCTAGTGGCTCATTATTTAGTCCTGTTCAATTTTATTTGTGATGTAAATGTTCGATAGTTTGTTGGTCTATTTTTATTCATGAAACTCTATCACAAAGGTCCCCAACATTTTTTGTTAAATCCTCTCTTCGCCTGTTTCGGAACTCTTCATGCTTTCTTCCTCCCTCACTATGCATAAGTAGAATGTCAGCTAGTGTTATGCACAGCTCGCACTCCTGGTTTTTCACAGTTTAAGTAGTTTATGATGTGTGCATAAATTAGTATTGTAGTAATAATAAAGAAGCAAAGAATATTAGTATTATTATAGCAAATACAAAGAAAAATCCATCCTCAAATACGACAAAATTCCTCTGTGGTGGCGTGGCTCTAGAATATAAATGATAGTGATATTTTAATCAAAATTTTTTTATTTACACAGGTGATGTGTTCAGTTGTCATGCTGTTGATAACCCTAGTGTTGAATCAGAATTAAAAATGTTACAACAATATGGAGAAGATGTTCCGGTACATATTTTAAAAAAATTAGTTGCTTCGTTCGGAGAATTAAGAGACATGGCTGATCAAGGACTAATTTCTTATCCTTACTCGACAAGAGAAGTTGTCAATATTGTTAAGCATTTGCAGGTACGAATTTATTTTTTAATTTATTTTTTAATTTTCATATTAAAAAAAATAGGGATATAATGTCAGACCTGGTGCTATACCTTTCTTCCTATAAACATTTCACCAACTTTTGTAGTTGATTTTAGTTTATTGTGAAACTAAACAAAATGTAGTCATTATTTGTATAACTGTATGGATATTAGGCCTCAGTAGTAACTACATGGGGCTTTCTTTGCTTCTTCATATTTAAACATGTGAGCAATACTTAAATATATGGACATAAAAGCCAAAACAAAGTGATATCAAATCTTTCACAGTTACCGGTAGTCTTAACACCAGATCGCTGAGATGTGATCATTGAAGCATAGCGCACAATTTTTAATTTTGATGATATCACACCAAACTTTGAAAAACGAATCCCATCGAGCCCACAGCTATTTTTGAAGTAAATAAAAGTAGCAGCCTTCTATCGACAACAACAAGCTTCAGCTGGAAATTTCAAATCTATTGGTCCAGTAGCAGAAGAGAAAATCGATTTTTTTCACAGCAACAACATAATAACAAAACGATCCATAGGTCCACTTCGTGTCAAATAGGGACCAAGGTTCTGTGTTCCTAATCATGAGATTCAGGTTTGGTTAAACTGAAATTACCAGTGGATAGCTTTATTGTATTATCTTTGTTTTGTTTTTTCAAAGGAATTTCCGAAAGAAGGTCTTGCAAGTGTGGTGCGAAATGTATTTGATTTTGATGCATACTCTACAGAGACTCGTGAACAAGTAGAATCAGTCATGCATAAACACGGAATTCCTATTGGAGCTCGACCACAGAATGTCAACTTGTCTAACCAGTGAGATAGATAATGGTTTTTCTTAGTAAAACTGTCACAAATTCAACAATTCATAGCTGTTATCGCAAGCGTCATTCTGTGATGACATCATGTTTAGAATTTTTTTTTAACCATGTTGAATTTAAATATAACGTATTTATTCTTGAATGACAACATAATTTTTTCTAATTTGTTGCTATCTATCATGACAATATGATTACTTTTACTTGTCTCTTTTTTCTGAAAGCTACTCGAAATCCCTGACTCATTTTTGTATTTTGGGGTAGTACATCACTAGTAATACATATTTTGGCTTCAACTTGGCTAGTATATGAGCGATCAATTTGATCATTATACAGAGTGTTCATCAGGTCCTGTTACAAATTTAATTATGCTATAAAGTCAGTCTCAATATATCTTAACTAAGTTTTTTTTATTTTAATCAGTATTTCTTCAGGTTCTTTTACTTGATTTATATTTGTAGGGACCAACAGACTATATATGGTATCAATCAATTCCCGTCACAATTTAAAATGTTTTGAGACTTTATGAACACCCTTTATATTTATTTAAGACAGAAACTGACAAACATGTACAATTCTTTTTTGTCCATTTAGTCTGAGTTTTCGATTTTTATTTGTTGCAAGCGAATTCATACTGAACCTCTTCCTATTTTATTTTTTAATTTTGAAAATGAATAAAATAATTATAACTTTGCAATAAAATATACAATTATTATTCTGCCTCGCGTTATTTCAAATATTGAGAAAGGAAGATGGTTCAGGATGAATGTGCTGAGAAGTTAGAAAATTTTAGTTACACTCAATGTAGGATGTTTGAATGTGTTAATTATTGATATTACATGATTATTAATCACCAGGGAAGATTTTCCTAGATTCCGCTATTCCCTTAGTTTGGTGAGAAAGTGACGAGCACTGATTGTCTAATTTGTAGCTTGTGTCATAGGCAATAGCATACTGGGGATGGAGCAATGGCCATGAATGCAATAGATTTATGTTTTTTTGAAAACACTTGCCATTTTCGGGGCAAGGATTCAGGGTAATTATCATTATTGGAAATTCGCTGTATGAAATTTACATCAAGACCTTCTAGAGTAAATTTCACGTAAATCAGTCATGGTGAAAAATTTCCTCACCTTTCAATGAACTTTGCTTGATTTACATCAAGCTCTTGCCTGTAACTACAATTTTTCTTGTTTTGAATTTTTGAAATCCCACTTTCAATAAAATCCTGGGCATTGCTACTCTGGTAATCTTTTCTACCACAGAGATCCCTGCCTGTCTCTGAATAACTGTTATTAGGAATGTAGTTGGTTATAATCAGCCAATTGAGCAAGACTGTTATTGCTGGGGTAACCAGTGTCTCATTCAATTTAAGCCTTCCTATTCCACCACCAAAATTATCTGGATATTGGACTCTTATGAATGAAGGGAAGAAAATATGCAAACCTGAAGTTTTACGACCTGAAATTAAGGTAGGAGACTTGTGGGTACTCTCGAAGTATGTGCACCGAGATGGCGCACATCCTGAACATAGTATGTGTACCAGGTTAGGGTTATCAGGTTGTGTGCCATCTTAGTGCACATACTTCTGGGGCGCCGACTAGTCAGTAGTGATATATGCACAGATGTGTCAGGTTCGCACCTCAAGATCCTCATATGTATAACTCTTATCTTACTTTGCTGATCATGTAGTCTTTAATGGAATCTCGAAGCTTAGTATAAGTTTCATCCCATTTTGAAATTGAGTATATAATATAGTCATTGGATTCTGCCATTGAATGCGACTTATCAAGTATCGGATACACCAAGTTGAAATTTTAATCTACATCCTGTGGAATAATGTAGTAACCATATCAACTTAACACAGTTTCTGACATTAGATATCTTAGGACAGTTTATTTTTTTGTGAGAGTTGTCATGAAAAAGCTCACCCACTGTGATATATTCAACTTACTCCGTTTCAAAATTATTCCAATTGCATTCTCGGTGTACAGGGACCCATCTACCTGAATGTCCAAAATTATGACTTGGAGAGAATCGAAGATCGAGCTCTCACTTTTACAGAACAAAGAGCACATTGGCAGATTCCTAACCTTTCACAGGTTTCCATTATCAGTGATATTGCTATCACTAAAGGTGAGAGAAAGAATTGGTTTCATATGTAAATTCTGAAGTCAGTTTTGGGTACTGTTTATAGGAAAATGATGTAAAAAACTATTTTCTGTTTTTCAGAAAAATTCTTCATATTACATTGAAATCATGATTATGTGAATTTAACCTGATTCAGACGCCCAATCGAGCCCAATTTTGAATACATTTTTATTAATGTCATACGACCCCCAAAATTTACCCAATATACAATAATTATATACCATTGGAAAGGTCTTTTAGAGTACTATACGCTAGATGTCACTGGAGGACCGTAAACTAAAACACCTCTTTCAAGAGGTCTCTCGTAACGTCAAAAAATAACAAAAATATTTACACTCTCTCATTCTATCATCTGTTGGACGTGTATAGCTATTGAAAAGCGCAAATGTGACTATACAGTTGACTGCACATTGGTTTTCTCTTTCATATGATACTAAACGCTTTTCGTTAGCTCGTGTCGTTGAAGCGTTTTGAAAATTTTCCGTTTGAGAAGTCACCACATCGAATCAGGCCAGGCTAGGCTTGATAGATCGATCGGTTGTTTGTTTGTGCTTTATCGCGTTGAAAGCTTTTGTGAGTCATAATAAAACATTTATTATGAATCATAAAAGCTTATAATCGTGAGACAAGGAGAATTTGCGAGATAAAACGCCTATGTGAACTAACTTTTTTTCGGTGAGGCAGCTGCGATCAAACGACTCGATATTTTTATACCTTCCTGACGTTGTGAGATGTCCACTCTCCTATGTTATGTAGCATATAAAAGGACCTTCAAAATAAGACCTTATCATACTAGCTTTTGTTATTGGTTAGCGCGCAACGCCAAGGTTTATTGAATTATTTTCTTGCTGTGCGACGTTTTTCTATCGCAGCGGGAAGTACACTCGTGAAATGTAAGCGATATTTTATTACTTCCAAATGTCATATAACGTTCATTCTTATATTGCTGGGTAGGAAATGAGCTATTCTTCCAAACAAGACCATAACAAACATTCCAGACCTCATGGTTTACACACAGCGTCTGAAATTGCGCTAATGCACCCTGTCGCTCAGAACAGGTTAAAAAGTCAATTCCAAATTACTAATTAAATAAAAAAAATTCTTGCTATTGAGATAATGTAAATTTTTAAATCTATGTTCAAAGTCCTATATTTTAATGAGTGGAGAGTTTTACCAATATCTATTAATTTTGTTAAAGAATTTTTTGATGACATGAAACTTACAAGGAGCGTTTACTCTACCACAAAAAATACAAAGCACTATATAAAACGTATAGTGTGTTCCACTTTGATACAATTCGCCTTGTCTTGTCTAGATCCCACCAGTAATGATCAAGTACATGTTGCTGTTGTGAATTCTCCTGCCCTTTACTCTCATCAACATGGATCTTCTCATATCAAATATATGGATTTGTTCGATGTTTTCCCAAATGCTGGTCCATCATTTCAATCTATCATCAGAATTGCACCACTAGGAAATCCTCTCCGAGGACAAGTGGTTTTGTTTGAAGAAAAGGTAATATTGAAAATGTATAAAAACACTAAGCTAATGAGTCAGTACTTTTTATAATGGAAAATGTGTGGCGAAAGCACTGAGAAAATTGAACTTAAAATCTGATATTCTTGAAAAATTTAGGCAGAGGAGTTTAGGAAATATATGCCATGGGGGGTTTTGTTGTCATTGCCCTTCTCTGAAAGCGTTTAAAGTCTATCGACCACCTTTGCATTATTCCATTATGCGGTTCAATTTGAGAAAAATATTCGATTCGTTTGAATCAAAAAAAATATTTGATTTTTGACAGCCCTAGTCTGTTGCAACCTTTTTGATGATTCGCTTTAAAATTCATTATAAACTTTCATATTTTGAATTTGTAGACAAATATTGTCTTGGTGGTCGATACAGACTCCGGATCTGTCAGACGATTGGTAATACCTGGATTAGATCGTCAGTTAGGAATCGGATCAGTTTCTAATTTGTTTCGAACGTCGTCTTCCTCTTCATCCGCACCAGCTTCTTATAAAATGTGTTCTGATCACAGTAATGAATTTGGATCTGTTGTTTTCTATCAATTGAATGGGTAAGTGACACTGTTAGATGCCAGTTCCTAAACCCGAGCAATCACAGGTCCTTCGAGTTGAGTTGATTCCAAGTCGCTATAGTAAATTTCCGAACCGACATGAAAAATGGATAATTATAAATCAACTTGACACTTGAATGTGAACTGTTGAATTTATATCTTGTGTTAAATCAAATTAAACTGGAATTTATTCATGTATTGACAACATTTATTTTCTATAAACCTATTTTTAGTTATTGCTGCAACCAGGCATATATGATTTTTTCAATTTAAATGTGATTGAATCTAATCGGTTAAATTTACTAAAAAAAAATTCTTTATAAAAGACTCGCTCAAAATTATCTTTGATACAGTCGAATTTGTGTAATTCATTTTATATCACTATACGACAAGTCACCCCAAACAATTGAAAAAGGTGTTTCGACACCAATTCTAATTAATGAATCAAATCTCCTCGACATTGGTGAGTGGCCGAGCAAACTTGTCTTGAATCATCCATATTATCCTACTCTCTGATACAACAAGATTGATAAATTGAAATAAAAATTAAAAACAAATTTATATGTATTGACTCAAGTTAATTAGTTGATGCAAATTTTTACAGACAAAAGCTTTATCATGTAGATCTGATTGAAGGACAAGTTCATAAGTATGATGTACCATTCTTCATTGGTGGATTTCATATGACTTCTCACAACAAGTGGCTGATGATTGAAGCTGAAACAAACAGGTAATAAATAACAGAAATAGGAAATTAAGATGAATTGCTTTTTAACAATTTTTTAAATTGAGTTCAATTTTACCAAAATATCAACACAGGCTAAATACCATTCCACTTTCAGCTCCACTTTCTACCAATAATTTTCAGCTATTTCTAAAGTATAACCTAATTTCACGTGGTACACTCGAAGGCTTCCAGAACATTATTCATATTTGTGTTATTTCTTAGCTAAAAAAAAATAACTTTTCTTTTGGTCGTATTGGAGTTAATAATAATGCTAGCAGGATGTGAGCCATGAGTATCAAACACTTGCTCACATGAGCAACAAGATCACTATCACGCTACTGATTACCATGTGATGATTGGACTTTTTCGAGGAGGCATATGTTTGAGAGATTCGATCGAGTTATCATTATCCTACATTGGTTTATCCACTAAATAAGTACATCTTGTAAATGATGGTAATTTTTTTCAATTCCTGACCTGGGCACTATTCAAATGTTTAGTAAATTTTGAAAATTGTTGATGTATGGAAGATCTGGAAATGGAATTTTGAACTATATTTTGTAACATTGGTGTCTTTTGAATAGGAAATTTTTACTGACTGGATCTGACGAAGATATTCTACCATCCAAATTAAAAACATTGAAGGAGGAAGGAGTTAGCAAAGGTTGGGGCAATTACACAGGTTGTTTTCTGCTTTCAAATATTAATATAATTTTAAAACTTCTTTCATGCACCATTGCCAATATCAAGTAAAAATGTATTCTATATCTGTTTTATTTCGAAATTTAAACACAATTGAATTGTCAGGTTAAAAATTAATCGAAAACCGAAATTAATGATTATTAAAAGTTATTATGTAAAAATAATTGTACGGTAAATTCGATACAATGGAGCAGAAAGTCACATTCCCCGATAGACAATTTTCAACACAACAAACTATTTTGCCCTAATATGGTTCTAAAGGTGTCTATATAAAGCTATGCCTTTGCTACTATTGCAGCTTTCTGTTTTTGGCATTGCCTTGTCCATTGAGGCATAGATATGGAGGGCTGATGGTAGATTTATCATTGATCCAACTGTATTTGTATTTTAGTGATTTGTAATAGGGTATGTGATTATTATATTTGACAGAGATAACCCAGGAGGAACTTCTTGCTACAAGTTGTGAAGATATGAGTTCAGAATCTCTTACTGAAGTTTTGCAACAGTCCGTATCATCACCGAATCGATTAATTGTTGATAAACATAACTTTGCACATTGTGTTTTGGGTTTTCCTGATTTAGAGGTTTGTCTTGTCCTGCAATTTTAGTCATAGATCAGATTTACTGTTAAGGAATCCACTCTCTACTACTGTATGGTTAACCATTGGTAACGATCTCCATCAATGATTTTGTGGTCTTGTTTGTCTATGAATACTTGTTTTGTTTTTTCACACTACATGCTTATTGTCTTTCATCAGCACAAGCAAATGACACAATATAATATCAAATTTGAAAAAGCGTTTTTCGAGAATTCAGATACGCAAAATTTAATTGCCATTTGTCAAAGCAAAATATTAAAAAGCATAAGTACCATAAGTCCATTTTCTTAAATTGCAAAGGAAATTTATCCATACCATTTATAGTTTGTTGGCCAGTGCAGGTGCATTATATGAAGTAAAAGTACTCAAAGAACACTGATTGAAATAAGACAAACCAGGTTAAAAAAATATTGAGAACTCACTTCATATCAAAATTGAAATTGTTAACAAGACTTTATGAATACCCTGTATATCTTGGCATTACCAAATTAATATTTTGTGCCGTTTTATAACAAACAATATAAAAAAATTCCAGGCACCTAGTGAAGTTCACTCATTTCCCAGAGGAGAATTGGTGATTCCAGAACAAAGTAGGAATTTGTTTTCTTCCCCACCCCGAACTCTACCGCCATCCAGCTGTGTGATGTTGCCAGAAATTGGACAAGTCATCAGAATAATGCCAACTAAAGATACACCAGATGGAGCATTCAAAAATGGTAAATTAATTATTCATTTCAGTAACAGTTGCAACTCATGTATGTTTTTTCATACTTTACTTCAATTCATTTCATAATATTTGAGATTAGTCAGCTGAAGGTACAAATTACTACACACATAGTTTTATTTGAGACGAAAAGATCTATTGAATATGAGCAATCATAATTATTTTTTGGGGCTCCCGAAGTATGCGAACCAAGATGGCGGACATCGGAATGTAATATGTGTACTAGGTTAAGGTTAGGCCATAATTTTAGCTATAAATACTACGGGAGGCTCTTGGCTAGTCTTCTAACTGATAATAGGACTAAAATAAGGAAAATTGGAAAAAAATTATCGCCTAACCCTAACCTGTTACCCATGTTACGTTCCGATGTCCGCCATCTTGGTTCGCATACTTCGGGAGCACCTATTTTTTTTATTTATTTAAATTTGTCACACCCAAATATGTTTGGTTTAATACCTTTTATTTAATTAATCTTAAACTAATATTAGAGTTTGAGATTTATCCCATAGGAAAGTTATCACAATATCGCATACATTATATATGCTAAAATTATATAATCAAATTTATATAAAAAAAAATTATACTTTGTTATATTTTTCTTTAGATAACAGACCAGAAAATGCAGCAAATTGCTTGGAAATTGCAGATGTGAAAAATCACAAGTTATTTTATCTTCCTGTTCAAAAGTAAGGTTTTGATAATATGGAATAATTCAATGATTTGTACAATGATTGTAGACTAATTATGAATAATGAGTGATTGCTACCATTAGGCATGGTTATACAGGGATTTGAAGCTCTGCCTAAACTATATTACCGTATGTGCTTCTCATCAGTTGTGCATGTCTAACAAGGTAAATAGAGAGATTTATTTTTGGCATTGTTAGGGTAACTCAAGTATCAAAATCTTGGATTTGAATCCAACTAGGACAACATTTATGTTAAGGTATTTTTGAAATTATAAAAAAAAATTAAAAATTCCAGATAAATTGTTTAACTTATTGTATTATCGTTTAATTCTTTTTTACAATTTCTTATTTAGTCCTGTCTACACGTCACCATATGTATCCTGGCAAAAATCAATATCAGATAGTGGACTGGTTATGACATCTGGTTCTGGAAATATTGTCTATTCTGTGGATACAGCTGGGTGAGTTTATTTTTAGACACAAAGTGGACATACGGATCGTTTTGTTTTTATGTTGTTGTTAGAATTCTTGTTGTAATTTTTTTGTGAAAAAAATCGCTTTTCCCTTTAACCACTTGACCAATTGTCTTGCTAGAAGGCTAATACTTTTATTTATTTTAAAAATTTCAGTTGGCTTCATGGAATTTATTTTTGTTGTGTGTGATGATGTCATCAAAATTAAATAATTGCGCACCTTGTGGTTGTTTCGCGATCGTTACTATCTGGTGGTCGGGAAGACTGCGATACTGGTACTGTGAAAGACTGCATACTTGTACTACTAGGCGCGGCGGTGTGGCCCATCGTGCTAAGCGTTAGGAATACGCTCGCCACCGCACTTCTGATTACTTTGCGTGGGATTCGCAGGTTCGAATCCCATGCGGTAATGGTTATGTGCGGGAGGATTGCTGAACCTCTTTCCTCTTCCCCGGGATAAATATGTAAATCTTATCCTTATCCTTACTTCGCTTTGGCTGTGTCCATATATGTGAAAATCGCTCTCTTGTTCAAAAAAGTGATAACGATAATCTTCCGCCTATGGCTCTATACATTGAAGCAGTTAACTTTATAAAGCTTGTTTGTATCGAAAGATTTAAAACACATAAAACAGTTTCCGATGCATGAATGTTGTTATGAATAAGTCAATAACACCATTGAATGTGGTCATATGCTGGGGTCAATACCTGGATATAATGGTCTGTTGTGTAATGTAAAATTGAAGTTTTTTTTTTTATATTTATTGTCAGATGTGTTCGAGAATGGGAAACTGAATTGATGGCGTTGTCAGATTCATTAGCTGAATGGATAGCAATGATTGGTGCTGATGCAGATAATTCACACATGCAGGTATTTTTTCTGAATCTTGTAATAAAGCAACAATTAAATTTATTAAATTTATTTCTCTGATTCAACAGATACAAACAAAATATGCATTTGGATCTGTATACTTTCAGTTTCAAATTTCATTTTCAGCAATGTAAATTGGAAAGACAGACAACTTGAATTTTTTTTTTTTTCATTATCAAATTTGATTTCTATAGTTGAAAATCCATTCGCGCATGTTTTTTATGAATGTTATCTACGGTAATTAGAATATTTAATATTTGAAGATATTTATTCTGAATATATATTTTGGTTATCTCTAGTAGTATTTTTAGAATTTTACAGAGATGAATAATTTGTGGATAAAGGATGGGATTCACATAAGAAAAGGAAAGAGTAAAGTCCATAATATGGCTTCATCATAAGATGGGGTATCACAGCCTCTCGTCTGGTTACCAGTCATTTGATTTAGATGCACTGGCTAATTCATTGTGGAAGAAAGCCTTAAGCACTCTAGGTGGCAAGAAGTCCAGTAATCCTCTTGTACATAATTATTCCCCACATTATTCAAACCCATGCAGGGTAATTTAAAGGTGAAATGGCAAATGTATTGCTAACACTTATAACGGTGTGCCGACCACCGGTATACTGCATTGTAATAAAACTGTATAAAATGACAGATAACATCTGAAAGAGAAAGTGGTAAAGATGTGACGGCACCAAAGCATGGAAAAGTTGATTCTAAAAATGAACCTCATGTTGGTGGTAATATGTGGGCTGGTGGAACTGGTGGTCGAGATACCGCAGGACTAGGTGGTAAAGGTGGACCTTATAGATTGGATGCTGGACATGATGTTACTCAGGTTTGCTTGTTTTATCAACTTTTATTTAGACTATTGTTGTCATGCATAAGTCACGCTTATAAAGTACTTTTTTCAACTCGTTTGCAAATTTATTTGCAAAAGTAGAACAAGTTTTTTGTTTTCATTTTCCATTGAAAATATATTCTAATTTGTGTCAAATTATACAGATTTAAATTTGGCTTATTTTTGAAACTTGTATTCTCCATTCTTAGATACCAGACTGGGAAAAAGAAGCTGTTCCAGAACATGTAAAAAAAGCTGCAAGAGAAATGGCCCAAAAAGCATTCCAAGCAAGGTATTCAATTTCTTTAATGAATTATTGTCAAGTGTTCTTACTTATTAAAAAAGAAACTTCAGCGAAAATGGCGTTTGTGGGAATGATCAGTAATAAAAGTTAAATACATTTTATATATAGTCTCATTGACGCCATGTTCATTATAGAGTATTTTGTTATTCTTTTTATTGCCCATAAGTTATTGTGTTCCTGCTATGCATAATCAGCATTTAAAATTCTAAGAAATTTGAACCATCTACAAAATATTCTTCAAATAACATACACTTGATCAGAGCTCTGGTAATGACTGTGTCTAGATAGGAAAATATTTAACTGCAATGTTTCTCATATCCTATATTATTAAGTTCTTTATCTTACACTATTTTCACTCTACTTAGGTTGAGAGAAATCAACATGAGTGAGTATGATGCTCACATGTATGAATCTTTTTCATCTTCTGTCAGACGACAAGTGAAATCTCTTCGTATTATTCTCGACAGTCTTCAGGTATGTCGACATTGGTATTGCAATATTCTGAACTGATGAAGAATGTTACCGTATAAAGCTTAAACTGATATAAAAATATTTTTGTACAGGCAAAAGGCAAAGAACGCCAGTGGCAACGTCATCAAATGACTGGAGAACTGGATGACATGAAGTTAATTGAAGGTTTAACTGGAGAAAAAAATATTTATAAACGAAGAGCAGATCAAGAACCAGAGGTAAGTTGTTATAAAATGAAAGTATATAATTCTCTTGTTTGAATTTTTCTTCTTATATGCTACATGAAAAGTAAAAACAAGACTACTGATCAATTGCATATCGATATGCAGTGTTTATTTGGTCTGATATTCCATGCTCTACCTTGGTTGTTAACTAAACAAGAGGATGTTCTGCTATTTTGTTTGATGAAATTATCATTATCTTGTTGGATATTTTGTCTGGATTTCTTGTGTGTTATATTATAATACATAAAAACATGGTCTGCTATTGTTTTTCTCTCTTAGGACAAATATAAAAATGTTCTTAAATTAAAAAAATCTTTTTATAGCCTGGAACACCTCAACAAAAGCCAAAGAGGTTGAGAATTGTTGTTGATGTCAGCGGAAGTATGTATAGGTAAGTAAAAGTTGATGTTATGCAAGGTATTTTACTGACAATTAGGCATTGATGTATAACATTCAAATCATGAGGCCCATCTTTGAGTTGAATCATTTTTATTCCTGCTTTGCAAAGGTTCAACGGCCTTGATAACAGACTGGAAAGATCAATGGAAGCAGTGTGTATGGTGATGGAAGGTCTGGAAGGCTATAAAGAAAAATTTAAGGTAATCCGTCATTGTCTTGTAATTACTACTAGCGGTAGTTATAAAGTTTAACACTGTATGTCCTATTTTCGCTTGTTTACGATTCTATTGTGATTTATATTGTAGTTTTCTACAACACAAAACAGGAATTTGTTATGTCATTATAAACCTCGGAAGACCGAAACCATTCCCTTTCGGCCTACTCAATTTATAACAGTCTGAGCGAGGTTGGAGGCCACCGCTGTAAAATTATCGTGTTCCCAAGCAATTATTAGGAAGTTCCTTTGTATTTTTTTCTAGTATGATATTTGGGGACATTCTGGTGATGGGTATGAAATTGAACTGGCGAATGCTGAAAAACCTCCAACAAACAACAAGGAACGACTGAAAGTGATGAAAACAATGCATGCTCATGCACAGTTCTGCATGAGCGGAGACCACACACTTGAAGCAACAGAATTTGCTATCAAGGTTTGTTATGAAGCGAACTTTTTTTTTTTAAATTGTCTTTCCTTTATCAAAAATTTGGAATCATTAAAAGAATGCAGTTTCACTAAGATTGTTTCATAATTTTTGTTATCTTTCATTTTCTGTATTGGTTCATGCATTCCAATGCTTTGTTTGCTAGAAGTTTTCCTACACTCCGATAGTAGCTCCGATGTTTTTGTGTCTACAGCAATGCAACATATAGGTTTTTTTATGTTTACTAACCTTTGCTACATGGATAGCAAGCATCGACAAAAAAATCTACGAATTCTAATCATATGTTTGCAAAAAAGATATTTATAAATTCTTCTGTACAAAAGTATGATTTTGTTTGATAGTATTTTCATGCTATATTTTTATTTATCAAGTCTGTTAAAAATGAAGAGGCAGATGAATATTTTGTCATAATATTGAGCGATGCAAATTTGGATAGATATGGAATACGACCAACAAGGTTTACAGAAGCACTAACTCGTGATGAAGAAGTCAATGCATTTGCAATATTTATTGGTTCACTCGGTGATCAAGCTGAAAGGTATTTAAGTACATTGACAATATAAGATGGATATTTAAAAACTCAATCAAGCAACTTCTCAGGTTTTTTGAAAACACGCAAATACATCACATGGTGTTAGAAACAAAGATCCTGATCTTAACTGGTCGATCAATTCCTATATGATTAGAACTGTCTTGTTGAATTTTTGATACAACGCTTATTTGTGCCTTTCACTCTGAACAATACCCTGTACAAGCTTCCACCGGTATGTGAGGAGCTATTATTATTTGGAAGAATGTGTGGTTATGCATTCCCTATCTAATTTATTTCACCCTGTGTGAGCTGGTGGGCATGGCGTTTGAACCCGACAGCTGTAATCAGTGATGTCAACACAACTAAGTCTAGCGCTTTAACCTGCTAGGCCAGGGGTTCTCAAACTTTTGGTGTTGCGGAGCCCTTGAAAGGTTGAATATAATTCGCGGAGCCCCAAAATAAATTTTAAAATTGTTACTTTCAGATTATTATTCCCGAGCAAGTTAAAAGTACTTTATTTATTCTAAATGCTGAACCTTTTTTAATAGGGTTAACACAAGTCATAAATAAATCTAAATTTTATACTAAAGCTGTAAATTTGACACTTGACGAACATATTAATAAATTAGGGATCGAATCTTTTCTTTTTTGACATTTTTGGAAGACTTAATTAAAAGGCCGTTAGTAACGTGCGCTATTTCATTTTGTTACAATCGCCGATTTTTTCCGTCAGCATGGCGTGTTTTAAACATCTTTACGCCGCTGTTTATTCTCCCTAAATCAAAAATTTCCCTCGGCATATACATGTATTGTTACACAATGACGACGTTAATTGCTTTTTTGTTCTCGTGGGGAATTATGAGTTCAATGTGAAAAACATGTTACCATATTATAGTCATCGGCGACGAAATGCTAAAAATAATAATCAATAAAAAAATTAAATCCACAACTCAAATTTCTTGATTGAAAAGCGGCATTCTAAAATATTTAAACTGAAACTTAAAATGGAAGATCACACTTTGGTTTCAGCAGACTCACCTCAGATTGAAAACGCTTCTATAGACATTGTAAATCACAAAATTTGGTGTTATGTTAGGTTTTCATCGTAGTAGCTGCGAAATCGAAACACAGTCAATTGTGCGCGCGATTTACCTTTTTTTTCATTCTGAAACTACCGACGCAGCCGCACGCAATCAAAGGTGCGCGCGATCCGCGATGTACCTTTTTTCATTCTGAAACTACCGACGGAGCTGAATGCAATAAAATAATTTTCAATTGTTCGTATTTTCCCCAGACATTGTGATTTTTTAAACAGCGATATCTTGCTTAAAAATAATCTCAAGTGCGAAAGAACAAATTAAGTTTGACAAATCCCAAGATCGCAAAAATACGACACCAATTTATTTATAGTTGGCAGTTTATCACATATTTTATGTTATTTTAGAATAGTATTCTTTCATTTTAGTAATCCTAATAGTAATCTCGAATCAAACGTGAGTAACGATGAGCACAACTACATTATACCGACGAGACACGTCAAATGCTCCATCGGTCTTGGATTGAATATTTTACGCAACAGAAATCTCGTTATCCGTTTTTTTAATCGCGAAAAATGTTGCGCGGAAATTTCCGATTCCAATTTTGAACCACCTCCCTCTTAAGAATCCTGGCTGTGCTACTGCTTATAAATAATGTCATTTTTTAATTCCGGCCCTTTACCATATTTTGAGGCTATATTGTTGTCAGATGTTATCAAAGCTGTTATTGCTTCTTTGAACAGTTACAAAATTTTGAGTCAGTATTTTGGAGAGTAATCGAATAGCTCGCGGAGCCCCTGGGTTTCTCTCGCGGAGCCCTGGGGCTCCGTACGGAGCACTTTGAGAACCTATGTGCTAGGCGATCACTCCGCACAAACATTATCAAAATAAAAAATCCGGCGCGCCTGAAGTATGAGTACCAAGATGGATGTAGTATGTGTACCAGGTTAGGTTTAGGCCAGGGTAGTCCAAGGTTGTCGGCTTCGCGGGCCACAAAATTATTTTTGCATTGTTCACGGGCCACAATAAAGCCAAGAATAGGTGAACAGTGCAATACAAAACAAACACTTTTATTGTGCAAACACATAGTTATCAGGCATAGCCATTCTAGGCTAATAGAAGCCGCATTCGATTTTTAGTTCTATATTGTTAGCATATATTCCCGACCAAAAGTTAGAAAACCAGATAACAATTTAGACTAACAAGCACATTATTTAACTTCGCTAGTTGCCTCAGCTAGCCATAACGCTATTTATTTCAGTGACATTAGTGACGACAATATGTCAAAAGATTTTTCTGATTAATTTTATGACGAAACCACACAAAATGCGATTTTTTGATTACTCTTCGAATGTGACGCGGGCCACATGTGGCCCGCGGGCCTGGGTTTGGACCACCCTGGTTTAGGCCATAATTTTAGGTATAAATACTACGGGACTCACTTCGCTATTTCATGAAATCATAATAGAGCTAAAATAAGGAAAACTGGAATGAAATTATGGCCTAACCCCAACCGTGTACACATACTACGTTCCGGTACGCATACTTCAGGAGTACCAAAAATCCTATTCGATTTTGTTACCGCAATCTACTCATTTTTAGAGTAGGTTTTTCATTAGGATTGAAACATGTAGTGATATAAATGATCCCTATTAATTTAATCAGAGTTCCCCTTCCTGACGAATTTCTAATATACCAATATCTGTTTTGTTTATCAGGTTGAAGAAACAACTGCCAGCAGGTCGCTCATTTGTGTGCATGGATACCAAAAATATACCTCAGATCATGCAGCAGATATTTACATCAACTCTGCTCAGTACCAGATAATAATTTACATATTAAAGTTCTTTAATTAGAATTAGTGTTAAATGCAATCAATAATAAAATTGTGGTTTATTTAATCATGAGTTTTTAAATTAAACTACATATATTATATATATATATATACTTAAATGAGCTTGAATAAACCCGAATTCCAAACTTGTAGTTGTCTGAAAACGATTATGTGCACTTGCATAGTGTTACATAGGTTGAATCTTTCACCTCTACAAGATGCTTGTTTATGCAGGATTTCCATATTTATCCCAGGGAAAGGCAGCGAGGCAGCTGAATCGTATTGTGGGCTTCGGCCTCTTGTGTTCGGTTCCCAGTCTATGTAGGATTATGGGAGTAGTTGACTATTTTCTGTTTCACACCCATGAACTTAATATTTAAGGAAGCCAGCGATATGTGAAGAACCCTGCTACGGAGCCCAGTAATCCTTTGGCACATGATGATGGACTTGAAATTGCGCAAAGTAATCAGAGATGTAATGGCAATCATGTTCTGAATGCCCAACACTATACACATGAGGAGGAAAAAGGTACACACACAGTCAGTGATGAGTGGAGTATGACTTCTGCATATTCAACCCAGTAAACTTCATTTTTCCTAGTAGCAGCTCATAATTTATGTAAACCCTGCATCCACACGTTTAATTCAGCTTTTCTATTATTTTCAGGCATGTGGCACTTTGTATGGCCCTTAAATCATCTCATTTACAGACGGGGGTTGTTGCTCCAACGCATTCGCACGTCATCATGAAAACTGCTTGTGAACCTCTTTTGATATCTATTGTTTTAATATGCCTGAAAACTTAAACTGCTTCTTTGTACTATTGAATTTGACTAATCTTATAACAATAGTCAAAAACATATTAGGCACGAATCATTTATTCAATCACTACATTCGGAATAGGCATAAAGGGTGTCAAAAATATTCAATAATAGAAAACAAATATATGAAAAAATTTGAAGCATTCAGTCAATGCAATGTCAACAGTCCAGCCCATTTCAGTCATTTCCAAGATTTTGCATTGAAATTGAAGAGAAATAGGAAGCATCGATAATATTGTAATTCTTTCAATTGCTTGTAATAAACTTAGCATTAACAGACTGTTTTTTGCAAAACATTGTATGTATATATAGATCATTTCAAATGCTGCAATAAAGCAGTAAAATAGTGACAGTTCAATATAATATTTAATGTTTTAAAAATGTATAAAAATCTGATACAAGCTATATCCACAGTAGAAATATGAGGTAAGGTTTTTGGTTAAAAAATAAAGAATTCGGAATGTACAATATATATATTTGGATTAAAAATGTAATATTTGGATTCAGTGGGTATAAATACTATTTGGTCAAAGATGAAACATGTTCCTTTGCAGCATTGTTTATTCTCCTGCATTCATCCAGTGTTTCTTTAAATTCAGAAGTTGCATAATCTTCTTTATTGTTTTTAGTCGGTAAAGAAAAATATCCAGGCATTAACCACGATCCTGGGATGGCCCTTTCTTCAACTGGCCCAAAAGTTGTTTCATCTGCAATCAAATTTAATCGCATCTTTACTGATATGATTATAACGAGCAAGCATAAAAGTTTGATATGAATAAATTATGTTACTGTTTTCTAATAGTACAGAATTTTCGCACACCAATTAGGATATATAAACCATTCCCTTAAAATTTGGACATACATTGGCATCTGTTGAATGATGCCAAGGTTTATTTGTACATGCATTTGGTATTAACTATTTCCAAGTATATATTTTTGACTAGGGGTATACGCTGGGTGCAGGTTTGAGTTGGGATTTTATGGCTAAAATCGCAAAATTTTTGTCAAAAAAAAACAAAAAACAGTAAGTTGACCTAAGCATTTTCAAGTGACAATTGAAAAGAGCTTGCACATGCAAGAGTTTTTGTAATCAAAATTTAACTTTCTCTTAACTGACACCTGGGGTTGGGAGCCAGGGTTGCAGTCAATATCTTTGCCATGCATCAAAAAAACTCATAGTTCGTAGAATTTATTGTACCAACTGGCATGACTTGGATCGTATACCAGGTGATGGCATTGGTCATGTTTTGAGAATAATTAAACTACAACAAAGAATAGAGAAGCCATAAGAAGAGCAGACTGCTCTGCCGACATGCAAAAAACAATATTACAATCTACCACACACAGAAAGATTTTAGGAAACTGCTAATTCAGAAAGAATCAACCCGATAATATATAATCTGATTATCAACAGTTTGAAAATGATAGATGGAGACCACAAGAAAACGAAACTGATAGCACAACAAGATTTTATTCCAAACACACATCACAACGTTAGCTTTGCAATCATTATATACCGTCATATTGTTCATCACTGCAACAGCCGCAATCACAGTATTCACTGTGATGAGCAGTGTTAACACTTTCGTGGGCATCTAGGTTAGAAAGTTGTACAACTTACATCAGGCGTAATGTAAAATGATTGGGGTAGACATAATAAGCGAGGGTCGCATAACTTGAATGGAATACCCAGCCCAACAAGCAGTCATTATAGTTTAAAGCTACTTAGTATATAGGTGGAGCAAATTCCGCTTCTGGCAAAACAAATAAGATGGTCCATAAGAACAACATTTGTCTTAAATGACCAGATGACCAGTCTTAAGACCTTGTTCTGAGCAAAAAACATTAAAAATGGGAAAAAAAGACTAAAAGCTGTAGTGTAAACCATCAATATAAATAAGCTGGCTCACTTTTGATTTGTTTATCAAGATCAGCACAAATTTTGAAAAGTTCGCTTCCACCGCCCTTCAATTTCATGCCTGTAATTATGAAATTTCAAAGATTAAAATATAAATAGGAAGCAAGCAATCATAATAGATCTAATATGGAGCGTCAATACAAACCAATAATGATTTTTTCATATCTTTCTTCTTATCTGATAAAAAGTATATTAGTGGAATTACTTTGTAGAAATATATTACCGTAGATGATTCTTATTTTTTTCAATTCAATACTATTGCAACGGTACGACTTAACCGGAATACCGGTAGGTGCTCGCCACTAATACAGTCTAGTAATACTGTAATAATTAGTTCAGAAGATCCAATGTGCTGCAAAGACACACAGGTAGGTTCGAAGTTCACGATGCAAACGAAGAGACTTTATTAAAATAGTGTAAAATCCACGCTTAAAGCAGATAAAATAGAGTGACAAAAATACGGTCCTTACCCAGCGACAGCAGAAGCAAGAAGAACGAACACTGCGTACGCAGCACAGTTCACATATGCAGTGGTAGTTGGAGTCGAGTTACTGGATCAAACTATCGGGCGAATTAGGGCTCAGACTCCAAACACCAATGCATATACATTAACTAGACAAGAAAAACAAATAAATAATAGAACAATTCAGTCCCGCCACACTATCCTGTTCAAGCAATCTTGTGACCATGTATCTGATATAGGAAGTAAACAAAGAGAATGGACCTAGAGGACAATATACAATAACCCTAACCCTCTGTATTTACAGTATATAGAAAAAATAAACTACTGATTTCTTATTATTACTCACCATCTAACATCACTAAGCTTGGCAATATTTTCATAATCTTGTCTTCGTATGATATGTTATGGCAAATCGGATTGCTGAGTTTGTTAATGCTATCATAAAACCTCAACTTTTGCAATGTATCAATACTCTTGAGGCATTGTACTCGTTCAAATGATCCGATGAGATTCCCAGATAAATTTAAATCAGATAACATTTCAAGACTAGCCAACGCATCTGAAATACAATAGGAAAATAATTGAGAAATGGTGAAAAAAAACATATTGTTCCTTATCACAACATGTACACTTTCATTTAAATTATGAATGTTTGGTTTATATGATATATAATGTTTATTTCAAAATAACTAGGAAAAACATCAAATTTACTTCGACATAATGTCAATGAAACTCCATTGTTAGATAAAAACAGAAGTACAACAATTTATTACTGTATTAAATTACATGATCTTACCTATATTTGAAATCCTATTAGCAGATAAGTTTAATGTCGTCAATAGCTTCAAATTTCTCAGTGGATTAAGAATGGAGATTTCATTTTTTCTCAAATCAAGCCTGACAAGATTCAGACAGTTTCCCAGGGCTGATATATCTTCAATTTCACAACTTGCTAGATTCAAAAACTGTATACTTTCGACATCAAATTCTCCTGTTGCTGATAATAACTTTGAGTGAGTTAAAATCTTCCAACTTTCTTCCTCTGTAAATATAGAAAATAACTATTCAATATTGAAATAAAAGTCCTGAAGCCAAGTAAACACAGTTTAAAATTAAGGGCTTTTGTCCATCTTTATTATAATTTAAGAATAAAAATTCTTGACTTTTTACCTATGTTTTTAGTAAATTGCACGGGATTTTCTGGGACTGTGCATTGCTACAATACAGATTAACTTATAAATTACCAATGCAACAGTCGATACCACGAATGATACTATTTTTCTGCACAGGGAAAATTTGAAATGTAGACACGATCAAAATTATAACTGAATGTCCCTGTATAAATATAATTACCGGTACCAAGTTTATATTCTACTTACCTTGTTTATCCCCATACTTTTTTGTTGACATTTGTTATATAGCCTACAACTACTCAACGGAATTTCTGAATTGAAAGAGTTAAATCTACCAACAAGCGAAAAGCTTTGAGAAAGTATGTTATTTCAATGTCTAGCAGAGAGAGTATAATAGACTACGACACGACTGAGGTAGCAATCTCACCAGAACTTTGTTTCATTTAGTGTTGTGTTTTCAGAATGCCGAAATAAATTGTATTGTATAACAGTCAAAGAAGGACCTGTGGTTGGTACTATGGACATAAATAAAAAATATTCTGGCTGAAATCGATGCTAGCTTCACAGCGGTTTAGTATTTACCAAAGTGACTATGTGATGGGGCTATAGCACTGAACTGGAATAGTCACTTTGGTATTTACAGATAAATATTTCCAACCTTTGACCTCACACTTTTTTTCAAAATTTTACAATCCTTTTTATTTATACTCCACTAAAAATCTGGCACAACCCAGTCATAATAAATTTTTAATCGGTCGGAAACACAATATTTATAACACAAAAAAAGATTTTTCACGAGTTGGTGCTTATAAACTGACTGGTGAAGTTTTCATTGCTTTGCATTTTACTGCACATGAAGTTGACTCATGCATCGTTTCGACCCGTACAGATTACTGAAGTTTTCATTGTTTTGCATTTAAAATGTATTGCCCTATTCTATATCGTGAATGTTTATTCTATTATGTTCTTGAACTGATTTTGGTGGACAGACGCGTACTTGTACGTGTTTTAACTTTGTCCTTATAAGTTATGCCGTCTTACAGATTTTCAATGTCAAAGTGACCAAAATAAAATTGATAATCACCATCTTGATCCAAAAATTCGCCAGTTTCGTAAATTTTTTCACAGTGAAATATTTATAATAAACGAAGTATCTGTACTGTTATTACACTTTTGAATGCGTACAAACCTTGAATGTCGGTGTCCAGGTTTCAAATCATATGATTGCACCAAAACCATGACTCATGGCATTGCTTGAATGAACAGCTTCTCGTCTTTTGTTACTGGCGATATTGTCTGAGAAAATTTTACCAATACCAATAGTCACCCACCAGCGTCTTAGTAAATGTGCGCCAATGTAGAAATTTGGCGGAAATAGAATGGGCCGTTTCGGAATAACATCGATAATTGAACAAGGCCTGCATAAAAATCGCCCTCGCGAGGCGAGGTGTTCATACTCTCGAACATCATGTTGTTCAACCAGGCAGCCGTGGAGTCTTCTCGTGGATCCCTTACTACAACATTGACGTTGTTTTAACTAGACGCCCACTCAATAGGATAGGATTTACATATTTATACCGGGGGAGAGGAAAGCCAGTTCAACCAGGCAGCCGTGGAGTCTTCTCGTGGATCCCTTACTACAACATTGACGTTGTTTTAACTAGACGCCCACTCAATAGGATAGGATTTACATATTTATCCCGGGGGAGAAGAAAGCCGATACAACGGCATAATCATATGGTGAACCATGGCCTCTCGTCCGGTATGGGATTAATTAGCCAGTTATTTTGTTTTCGGTAGCATAGACTTGATAAAACGTTACTTTGGGAGTTCTGTATGACGTCTTAAATAATAACCATGCGAATTCGAAGGATTTTATCTTACAACAACCAAACAATTATGAGTCTCAAATTTTTATGCAAAGCCTCGCAGTTCCGACTGGGAATTAAAATTACTTTTTAACCCTTTCCATGCGATTTTTATTTTTTATAAAATAATCGTATTTGCTACACCGACTATATGCATTTGTACCCCCACAACTAATCGATCGACTAACGAAAAAGTAATGATCCTCTGCTGCCCACTGACGGCTCGTTGGAAAGCTTATTTAAAGAGCTTGCAATTGGCGATTGAAAAAAAAAATTTTTTTTTAAAAGGGGTGGTCTGAGTCACAAACCGGATAAAAAAAGGCATTTTTTTTTCTTGGGTGTTGAAACTTCAAACCGTGATAAAAAATAGAAATATTCGCTAAATCCTTTACTGTTACCGCTTCTTGGTTGGCAAACAATAGCATAATATTGCTGTAGCAATTTTGTTATCTTACTCAAAATATTTTGGTAGATGGAAGGGGTAATATGTCTTCTATTACCACCCAAAAAACACCAAAATTTGCATAAATTTCAAAAACACTCCCTCGTTCCGCCGCAAATAAAATTCCCATGGTAAACGAAAGCGAGATTTACCGTCGCTTATGTTAATCTCGAAGAAGACTTCTTATCAATAAACTAAAACCCGGAAAAACTAGAACAACAGTTTGCGACCCATTGCTAAATAAAACAGTGGAGTACATCAACGTACCCGCCGCAATCTAGCGAGTTTTATCGTGGGTACGTATACGTGCCCACCGCACGGAAAGGGTTAAGTGTAGTTTAGTAAATGTAATCATCATTATGGGATCTATTTGAAAATCTGAAATAAATTTTGTATATAATATTACAGCAGAATGCGACAGCCAACAGCCTTGCTTTCCAACTTGAATATACATAAAATAAAATTTACTAATTTTCAATAATTTGCTAAATTATAAAGTATTTAATGAAAGTCGCATTTGGCTGAGTATAATACAGACAAAGACCATACTCTTGAATCTCGTGCATCCAGAATGATTCATTAGCTATAAATTAGTTGAAAAAATAGAAAATAAATATTTGAAATTATAATTTTGCACTTGTCAAAGATTTTATCACTTTTTCAAGCTTCATAGCAAGTCCCATATTTCCATTTATCTTGAGTTTTCCTTGCATAAAAGCCTGCGTAGAATTCAGCTCACCAGTGAACATTTTTACAAAATCTTCAGACGCTAATTCCATAGTAACATCAGGTTCATCACTAGACCCTTTTTTTAAACTTCCATCACCATTTTTGAGATCAATTACCCATTTTCCTCCATAATTGCCCTTCAGAACAAATTGGTAAACCGCTCCAACTTCCTTTACTAAATTAGAGTTGATCATTTTTTCTACTTTTTGCATAGTGCTTGAAACTCCCCCTCCAGACGTGGAAGAACCAGATTGTGCCGCTTTCATCACTTTCTCCAATTTCATAGCAAGTCCCATGTTCCCCTCAATTTTCAGTTTTCCTTGAATAAACGCCTGCGTTGCATTCAAATCTCCCTTAAACATGGAGGAAAAATCTTGCCCTTTGACAGTCATTGTCACATCTGCATCACCATCGCACTGATTTATGCTACCCTCGCCATTCTTTAAATCGAGAATCCAAATTTCATCTGGTTCAGAGAGTACAAATTTATAAACACCTCCCACATTGTTGACCAAGTCAGAATTGAGAGAATCTGAAATCCTGTCAAACACTGACTGAACAGAACCCCCTGTTTCGGTGTTTGATTTTCCACCTCGTTCTTTTAGTCTATTCTCATATGCTTCTTCAGCAGAATCTAGGAAAAAATCGGGTATCAAGTTTCTACCAGGATCAATTGCATATTGGTCAAAATTAGTAATTCCTTCTTCCTTCAGGACATCATCATCAATCAAAAATTGCCCAGTACCCGAATTAGCACCTTTAATGAGAATAGCATAAGCTGCATCCGACATTATAGATGGCTTTCTGCACTGCCCTGCAATATCATCCCCACCAATCATATCCATAGCAGCTGTATGAATAGCAGTTCTTGGCCAGAGGGCATTGACTGCAATGCCTTCATCTCTCAATTCATCAGCCATTCCTAGTACACACATTGACATTCCATATTTTGCAATCGTGTAGGCAGTGTGACCCTTGAACCAGATGGGATTCATATTCAATGGTGGACTGATGTTAAGAATGTGAGGATCTCTGCCCGCTTGTTTAGACTTGATCAAATGTGGTAAACAAACCCGAGAACACAAATATGTACCTCTAGTATTAATTTGGTTCATAAGGTCATAGACCTTCATAGGTGTCTGAAGAGTACCTGTTAAACTTATTGCACTAGCATTATTGACAACAATGTCAATACCTCCAAACTCCTTCACAGCTTGATCAACTGCTCCCTGAACAGCTTCTTCACTTCGAACATCGACCACACATGGTAGGCATTTACCTCCAGCCTTGACTATCTCTTCCGCTGCTGTGTAGATGGTTCCAGGTAGTTTTGGATGTGGTTCTGCAGTCTTTGCGGCAATCACAACATTGGCTCCATCTCTTGCTGCTTTAAGAGCAATTTCTTTTCCAATGCCTCGACTTGCTCCGGTAACAAATAGTGTGTATCCTGCCAACTTTCCAACATTCAACATTGTTTTGTTTATATATAGAGTAACTTATTATCATTCAATAAAAATTGAACTAAAAAGAGAGAGCGAATTTATTGCCTTTGTCAAAAGCAAGGTATGAAAAACATATTATAGATAAAAAAAACTATGCTACATTTATACTCTCTTTACAGAAAACTTGTCCAAGGACCTGTTCGAAATAGGTGTGACTGGAAATGCTTCTTAGGTTCCAAATTTAAATAAGGCTGTTGATACAAGATACAGATATAGCAATTATTTCACTATTTCTTTGCATGGATGGGAATTAGGCCAAACATCAATGGGCCTTACTAAATACTATCAATAAATTTACATGATTAATACAATCCTATACCATTCTTAGAATGTTTGTAATTTGACTAAAAATATTATACAATTTTGGCATAAAATTTTTGTACTGAGAAGTATTTCTTCAAGTGGGTATGTTTTTACGGCCAGCGATGGACATTCTCGACTTAAAATTTGATTTCATAAGATTTCAAAAAACACCTTCATTTCTTTCGAGCCATATTCTATGCCCATAGTGGCTGAGTTCAGCAGTATTAAAAAGATGGTGAACACCCAAATACTCCAATAGCTGAATACTGGAATAGGCACTCTTAAAGGTCTGTAAGGTTGTATGTATGTATGTTTGTTTGCCTCAAAAATGTAACAGTATCTGCATAATAATTAAACAGTAAAACAGAGACTGGATACAAGTTTAAGACCTTACTGGCCTAAGACACAGATGTGCGACATGTACCCCTAACAATGATAACAGCAGTTTAGGAATGCCGCCTTATACTAGGACAACAGACATGAAATTGACTATACAAATAAAACTTGCCAGAAACCAACATTGGATGGGGTCACTACTCACTACACAGGAAAAAATTTGTAAAAGATAAATGTAGAAAACCTTTGTATAAACTTGAGTTGTTAATTAATCATAGTTTGCAATGGACTAAAGATATGGGAACAATAGAGAGTCTGGCATAAAATGCGGAGACTTTCATAAGTGCTATTGTTTACAGAATACCGGTATAACTTAATTCTTGTAAATGGGTTACGCCGCCGCAAGTTCACTAAACATCGTTCCCTCTTAAAATAATGGGGCGGGTAGCCTACCGGTACGGTACCGGTACTAAGTATTTCAAACAAAACGTGCAAATAAACTTATACCGGTACTAATGCTATTAAATACTAATTATGCGAAGGACCGGTGCCGAGGAGCTGATAAGAATTGGGAAACACTACCACAATTCGTCTCACCTGTTAATAATTGATGAAATAACGATGATTGACTCGGGTGCAGTGAAGGGTTGTGAACATGGCCCCAATAATCTGACATGAAATTTTATGATCACGGTACCGTTTTATACATAATCCGGTGCCGTAGTCTACTTCTAAAAAATTCTCCAAGCATTCGTCATTATCCGGTCTTACTACTTACTGAATACAGCGCGAAACACCGCAAAGAGCGCAAAACAGTGCGAAACAGCGCGAAAGTGCGCAAAACAGAGGGAAACAGTGTGAAGCAGAAAAATTTTTTGCAATGAGTTCGGGGCACCTTGTTTTGAGTTGGAGTACCACGGCAGCAAATTAAAAACACAAACCAACGTATGTAGCCAGTAATGCTGTAATGGCAGGTCTGCCCCTGCTGGTGACACATTTTGGGTACCATAATTTAGAACATTTTCCATATGGATATGGTTGGCTTTAGGGTTAGGGTTAGGTAAAAGGGACCTCCAGAAGTATGTGCACCAAGATGGCGCACAACCTGAAAAGAGTATGTGTGTGTGTAGCGGATTCAGGTTGTGCGACATATTGCTGCACATACTTCTGGAGCACCAAAAAGGTAGATAAAATTTCGCATGATGACCTATAATCCGGTACATAACCTTGTAAATATGCCGGAAATAGCGCCATAAAACCATGGCGAGAGGCGCCGTGGTTCTTTCGTGGCAGGAGGTGGTAATGACTACGTCTCCTGTTTTGCGCTGTTTCCCTCTGTTTTGCGCTGGTTTCCTTCTGTTTCGCGCTGTTTTCCTCTCTTTTGCGCTGTTTCGCGCTATTTTGCGGTGTTTCGCGCTCTTATGCGCTGTTTCGCGCTGTTTTGCGCTCTTTGCGGTGTTTCGCGCTGTATTCAGTAAGTAGTAAGACCCGTCATCATCATCATGTACAATATTGTTCTCATAGTTACTTTATGTTCTCATTAATAGTTTGGTCATCTTCAGTTCTACATTCGATCGGATATTTCATATAAAACTTTGCAATGCATGCATTCGGGATGAATTCAAAAAGAAGAGTTATTGTGGGTCAAAGGTCTCTACGGCATTATCGATGGCATGTATGCCAGGTTTCCTAAACTTTTCCAGATAACTTGCCTAAACTTCGTAGTCTTCGATTTTGTTTGTGTTATATGTGTTGTTAAGAATGTCGTACTTTGCATACAATAATACGAATAATTTTAATTCACTTTTTTTCCCTTCAAATCCCACGCGATAACGCTGGACATGGCCATAGTAAATACCGGTATGAATAAATTTAGTTTGAGAAAAGGGTATTACCCTCTCTTTTATTGATTATGTTCAGAGGTTCCTACATTACCGTATCGCATTGAAATAAAAATTGCTTTCGTGTGTTTATTTTACTGTGCGCTTTTAGTCCTGCAATTGTAGGATGTTCGCTCTGTAAGTGTCTCTGCAGGTTGTATGTCTTACTGTTCTTGTTTTGTTTTATATCAAAGAGACCAAAATAAAATGATTGATTGATACTTACAGACTTTACAGAATAGTAGCAAATCACTGACGCTGAAGTAAATCCTTGCTCTCAATGCAAACCGTATAGTATTTATCTACTCTTAAACAGAATGGTGCATCAGATTGAGAACTTTTTTGGTTGCTACTTACTGTATTGCAAAAACCCAAAGTATAAGGGACGGACTTACATTGGTTTCACAGTTAATCCCAAGAGAAGAATAGCTCAACATAATGCTGGAAAGCACAAGGTATGATGGGAGTTGTTCGCTTGCTCAGAGTAAATAATATATTACCTGTTTGTCATATTACTAAATTATACTTAGTAAACTCAATGCATGATTTTTTAAAGTATTTTGATTTGAAAGAAATCACAATGAATTTCTGCAAGATCATCTCTCTGAACAGAACAAATTTGTTATGAAATTTATTATTATTATGATTACACAATGCATCAACAATATTTCAGGGTGGAGCATGGCGCACCAGTGGTAGAGGACCATGGGATATGACACTAATTGTTCATGGATTTCCATCAGATATTGCAGCATTAAGGGTAATATAATCCTTCAAAATATCTAGTCGCTGCAAAGGGTGATTGACGAAATGTAGGAAGTGTAGCAATCTTGCATTTTCATATTAAGTGTTACATAGTTTTTATTTGAATAGGGTACACTGGTGCATAGTAACATCATATTATTATTTATAGTTTGAATGGGCCTGGCAACATCCTGAAGCATCAAGACGACTCAAACATGTAACAAGAAAGAGCCGAAAAGAGACTGCATATCAATACAGAGTGAGAATACTTTCACATATGGTATGTGAGAGACCTTGGTCAATGTAAGTTTATTTTCTACATTCAGATTTCACAAATTGCATGTTTTTAATAGACAATACGAGTCAAAATTTACCAACTCCACAAAGTTAGTGGTAGAAACTGTTCTAATGTTACAACGGATGTTCAAAAGAAAGTAAATATCTACATGTTTTATTGATATTTTTACTTTTTATTACACAGATTATTTTGACTCTGCGATTATGTAGGGTCAGTTGGTGTGAATTACAACCTAGGAAAATGGCTTTAAAATAACTTTAACCAGCGGTTTCCAAACTATGGGTCGCAGGAGGAATCTTAGTGGGTCGTGAAAAGATGTAGGAAGCTTTGATTAATTATACTGGTTATTAGGATCGGTGGCAACTTGAATACGTAAATCTTCAAAAAAAAACAAAATAAATTGAATTTGAATTCTAATCTGTGAAAGTTTCCTTTTTACGATCTTCTGGAGGAACAAAAATTTGACCATGTGGCTTTTTGCGCATAGCAGTTATGTACACTGTACAGCATTTCTCACCGTGTTTCCCCGAAATTAGACCGGATTTAGATTTATTTTCTTTGAAAAATAACACTATGGTTTTTTTTGGAAGAGGTATTTTGTGTTCATTTATCAAAAATAAAATTACATTGTAGAAAATCACGAGATTTTTTAATGAACTTTATATAAAAACCGATATCCATTGTTTTTATTTGTATTTCCTATACAAAAATCAAGTGACAAATATCATAATTGTGATAGTGACGTCACACAATCTTGAATGGTGGTGTGATCTTCACATTACCTTAGGTCATTGAACCTTTCTTCCCCACACATTTAAAATTTATTTTAAGAGTAGGGTTTATTCAAAATCATTTTTAAAATTCAAATTAGGTCTTATTTTCGAGGAAACACGGTAGTTTTGCGATGATTAGCCGTTGCTGTGTTCTGTGTTATGTCATAAAAAGTTAAATGGGTCGCCATAAGCTGTGGTAATAAATACTGGGTCCCAACTCTAAAAAGTTTGGGAACCGCTGACTTAAACCATTATGCTGATATTTATATACTGTATTTTAGTTTGCCTCTAACCGTCCGATGGTTAAAGCAAGAATACTATACAGAGCTATGTCCTACTCCACCTTCTCACATACCACTGGCATTTGGTCCAGTAGATGTGAAGATGCCAACAAAGTGTCAAAAGAAAAAAACAGACATTGTAAATACAAAGGACCCTGAAACAGACCATACAGAATACACTTCACTTCTCGAACGAATGGAACAAAAGCTGAAAGACTTGAAAGATGCAGATACAATGGCTGCGTCTGCTACTCACATTAAATGTAGTTTATGTAAAGAGTCCATCACAGAAGGTTCTGCTCTAAAGTGTGTTGAGCAATGTTCATCCTCATTTCATATACATTGCCTTGCTGAAGATTTTTTAAAGGACAAACTTCACGAAATTATTCCTGTTGAGGGATTTTGTCCAATATGTAAGGAATTGCTTCTATGGGGAGATTTAATAAGAAAATCAAAGGGATTTTATCAATATTTGGGAGAGGATCTTTGATATCACATGACATGTATATGAAAATTACCCAAATATCTCTGTTACATTGCTTCCATTCCAGTGTTTATGATAAGTGTGTGCCATACCCTATTCTGCCACTGTGAGGTTTTGATAAATATATAAAAAAAATTCATGATTGGGTATGGTATCAGGAGTGCTGATTAAGTAGCAAGTTATAAATAATTTCTTGGTACAGTTGTTGTGGTTATGACAGGCGTCTTAGCTAAAACATTTACAAAATTTGCTAGACTGAATACAGGGTTTAGAGACCACATGTTGGCATATTAGCACATGGGAATTAGGAATATGGGCACGACTAATGACCTGGTTAGTTTAAGCTGATAAATGACGTTATTTTGTTCACATTTCCACATACCTTTGCCACTTCATTGTTGATAGGAATCAGACTAGCATTTACCCATTCAAAAAATATGAGGAGTGGATCCCAACAAAACTCAATATTAAGTTAATTATCTCAGAGGCAAATGTGTATCAATCAGGGTGCCTATTATCAGGTCATGTACTGTACTTCCATAAAAACCAACAGACCCAGCAAACAGCACATGTTAAACCAATTTGACATGAGATAAAACAAACAATATACTCAAAAGTTGAGAAAAGAAATTTTCTAATAAGTTAAGTCTCATGGCAAACATCACTACTCATCATCATCTTCTTCATCGGCATTAGCTTTTCTCAACAATAATTCCTTTTCAAAGTATGGAAATCCTCTCTGTAAACAAGATTGCATATCAGATATAGGTGTATAAAGTATGTTTAATAATCCAGTGTATGTCTAATAATATAAGCAAAAAACACTCTGATATTTTCATATAAAATAGATTACCCCTTCATTGATTTTATTCCTGAATATATGTGCTGTAGTTCTGTTGAAAACTTGTTCAAAAGTCAGTCCACCAATGATGATGGTTGTTATGTATCTCACATTTGTCCTGAATAAGGTGTTGTAGAAAAAACTGGTCACTCCCATGATTTTGGTTGCAAATATGGTTGTACTATATACTTGCCCTTGGGCCTAAAATCTAAAAGGAAACCAATATCAAATACGTAATAAATATTGACAACAATTGAACAAAGCTCTTCAGCTAACTTCATAGGCCCAGTGATATTATATTCCCACAGGCATATTATATATCTCAGTAGGAACGTCAAATGAGAATTTAGTTCAGAAATATTAATGCTATGTCTATAAAGAACCAAGGCCTCTCGTCCAGTTACAAGCCTTGGCCGAACAATGGTTATATGAACCACCCCACAGCAACGAGGAGTCCAGCATCTCTCGCACATAATTATCCCACACAGGACGCGAACCCACATAGGTTGATCAGATGTATGCTTGAAAGCATATTCCTAATGCTTAACTTGATGCGCCCTACCCACTGCCAATCAATACCGGTGTAGACTAGTTTAAATAACGGGCAATTTTTCCTGTTAGAATTTCGAAGTGATTCGAAGAAACAATTTTAGAAAAACGACTTGATTCTATTAAAAAAAATAAGTAGAATACACAAGGAAATTGCATGAGCGTTTACCCAACATCTCGTAACACTCCTGGGGTTGTAATATTTTATATGAATCACAGTCAGCTGGCACACTGAGTCGTGACATTTTGTTAAAGCTGGAGCTTGGACTAAGGTTAAAAATGAAGCTCCGAAGGCACAGTTCGATTATACTGTGGCCCCAGAACTGGAGCTGTAACCATTGCGATTCCTAGGCAGATCCCATGTTCCAGTCACAGTTTTTTAAGCACCAATGGATGAATGGCTTCGTTCAATTTTGTAAACTACTTAAAATGTTGAAAAGCTATACAACTATGTCAATATATAAAAAATGCTTCTTTACGGTAACAGTATAATATCATTCCTTATTCTTCGTTCCTCGTAAACATCGGTTTCTTTAAAATCAAAGCTCAAACACTAAAGCACATTTGGCTAGAGTTAAACGTCAAATTTATAAGAAAACAAAAACTAAACCTTTCAAAAAAAACGGGTAATTTTGTACTAACTTTATTCAATCTTCAGTCCATTAATATTATTTATTCATAATTTACCTTTTGGTTAGTTGTTTCGAATATGAAGAAAGTTAACGATAGTATGGTGTTATAGTAAATAGAATCAGATTTTAAATGAAATATTCGAAAATTGCATCCCTACTCATGTCATGATTTTGTTTTCCGCAATTACAGAATTACCAATGGTGCTCAAGGTTATTACGATACCGCAAACCCATTGATTGCGCAACACAGTTGGCTAATCTGGCAGAATATATTTTTATTATTACACATGCGGCATGCCTACACCATGGCGCGGTCACGGCGTTTAAAATAAGTCATTATTTATTGATATAATATTCAAACTTTAACGCGTACACAGATGAGTGAAGCTATACCGGTACAATCCTCATATATGATTCCATGTATACAGGTTGGCTATAAGGTTGCGCCGAGTGTTAGCTTCCTCAAGAACCGTGCAGGCCCAAGTTAGTTACATTCACTTTGGTGCAGACGTCCATACGTACAACACCAAACCTTGATTCGTGAATCGCGATTGACCCTCACTTTAAGAAGGGTCACACTGGGAGTGTCATGCAACACTGGATAGGATAGGAGTCCTATTACTAGCAACTAGTAACGTCGGAGTTTGTATGTCAGTCATCACGAATAGAAAAAATGAGTACGGGTAAAGGAAAGCAATGGGCCCGGCAAAGAAAACAACAATATACCGTAATTACAAAACGATCCACTGGTCCAATAAACGATTTCACCAAGGTCATTGTAGTTGATTATACTTTTATTTTCTCCCTTTCTTGGTTGTTTGCTTTTATGACATTGTTACTGTTTCTCTCTCTTTAAGCATAGCTCTAAGACTTAGCAGGCCTGCACAACTCGAATAACACGAGGTCCGCAAGCATAAATTCGAAGGCCCGGCGGGCCGCAAACCTTGCCACATACATATTTCACAAGATGCACTACAAATCAAAATAATATTGTGAAACAGTTAAATTTAATGAAACACTTTCATTACTGGGGAGCTTAAAAATATGAAAAATCTTATTTTCGTGGGTAAAAACAAGGTACAGTATTTTTGCATATGAGATGGCAAATATGTATTCAATGGTTCATCTACCTTGAAAAGCCACCCTTCATTTTCAATATTTCTTTTTTATTAGAATTAGGTATTGCGTGTTGCAGTTACTCAGGTTCAGTTTTGTAAAAACGTCCCAAATATATGTATGACAATTTATTTGGTCATATCTACCATTATTGGATATTTCTGTCTGTTAAATTACATTTTCTACAAAATCTGCTCCAATTTATTTTGAAATTTTACAGTAAATAGCAATATCTTTTGTGCGAGAATTTCTGCACCATCCATAAATGAAGAATTGTTAAGTTCTAAATTTGATCAAAAAAGAAACTTCAGTTTCATAAACTGCTAGTAAAAAATAATGTAAATTATTAATAGGTTGCTAATATGCACTAGCCACTAATGGGTGTGAGATTGTATACCGATGTTGTTTTAAGCGTGATTCAGTCCAATGAGCATATATACAATGAGTGGAAACTTGCAAAGATTTGCTCATTTTGGTATTGTTCCCTGCATTTTTACGTCGTCCAGCTAAATGGTTCGTTGCATATTAAGAAAACGCATTGCTCGCTGCCAAAATCCTTTGCTTCAGCCGAGTCGGGTGCGAAATTGGCCGTATGGAGGTCTGTAATTCTTCAATACATATTTGGTTTTGGGTTTCGAAGTATGGTACGCTGAAAGCATACAACTATGAGCATATGCTTATTGGGAATGCATATCTATTAGGCAGAAAACGTATCTACAGAACAGAATATGAACCAGTCGCCGAGAGGGGTGCGGTTATTTATGTATTTATTCATTGATATAACATGGGATTTACATATTTATCCATGGGAGAGGAAAGCCGAGAAGAATGCCTAAATACATGGCGAACCACGGCCTCTCACAATCATAGCTCTGTCCTCCATATGAATCACATGGCTCTGCGAGCTATTCGTTTACTTATTAAAAATACTGATTTTAACTATAAATTACTCTGGGATACCTGGTATCTTGCCTTTGAAAACAAAAGCCAGAAATTGGAAGAAAATCAGGGAATGAAATGTGTGTATTATGTAATGGAGAACCTGAGTTTGTTTCACATATTTTCATGTATTGTAAATTACAAAAAATATTTATGAAGATTTTGTTTTAGATATATTAAAATTGATTAGAATACATTTTGTTATCAATATGATTCTTGCATATCATTTAATTTTAACGATCCTTTATATAGTCATATAGATACTGTTGATTTGGATGCAATTATACTTTTGTTATCAATAGTGAGAAATATTTCAGGACTGCTATTAACTATGTGAGCTATTTTTTCTGCAATGCAAAATACATCCTGCGTCTGCTATTTACTATGTGAATTAATTTTTCTGTAATGTAAAGTATTTCCATAACTGCTTTTACTATGTGGGCTGTTTTTTCAGTACTCTTGTAGTATGTGTACCAGGTTAGGTTACGATTCTCCTTATTTTTGTTCTATTGAAAGTTCGGAAATTGTCTGTGTTACACACGTGAATATCCCCCTACCGATAGAATTTAGTCCATTGACACAACTTGATATAAAATAGGCGAACAAAATTAGTTACCTTCATATTGGTACACATACTTCTGGAGCACCATTTTTTTTGTAATGTAAAATATTTAATATGTGAACTAATTTTTTTGGAATGCAAAATATTTTCTACAGCTTCTGTATTTTTTATATGCCACTTTTCATTTCATCGATAATACACATGGTCTGGCACATTGTTCATTCTTTGTGGAGTTTTTGGTAAATTTACAGATGGAATAAGACCGACATTCAGCTTTTTTCTGTTTTACAACTGTAATACAAATTGAAGTATGTAAACCCAGTTGGTAGACACCGGAACCATGTGTACCAGGTTAGGGTCTACTACATACAAACATTCCCAAACTTTTCAAGCCGCACCCGCTTTTTAGAATTTGTGAAGTCTTGCGCCCCACCTCAAAATAGTTAGCTAACAATAATAAGCTACAAATAACAGTAGTAACAGTAAGGCATAAGTACGTTTTATTGGAAAAACAGTTGAAAATACATGGATGGAACGAAATAAATGACAAGTTTTGATATGCAAATATTTACAGTATTTTAAACTAATAGAGAGAGAGAGTTATTTCGTTCGTCAAAACATGAACATATATAAATTATAATAATAAAAAACAGATGCTCAGGTGTTTGACTGGGAGACAACGTTACAACATTTGGGGTCATTTAACAGGTTCGGTGTTAAATTCTTCAATAGCTCTCATATACCGTATTCACTATATACATTATTCACAAGAATTTTTGATTTGGAAAGTACTAAATAATCATGTTTTGTCCTAAGATCATCATTTATTTAGCTGATAAGTTGACATGTATTGCATATCAACTGCATAAAAATGGGTTAGCTAGGATACCTATTATTTGGAAAATTTGTCTACTAAAAATTAATGTGATAGGACATGGGTTTTTTTATGAGCAAAGATGAGGAAAATTCTATTAATATAGCATGTTAATTATAAACATTTGATAATAGTAATGAAATCATGAGTATATTTCTTTATACACTATAATTTGAACACATCAAATTATAATACTTGATTATGACGGGCAAGTGATTTGGAGGATAGTGACACACATTAATACATGATCAGGATTTGACCCTTCTCCAGCAGATATATATATATATGAAATAAAGTGCTCATGTACATATCTATATTCGGCTACAGAGCACGTATCATAGAATGAATTTAAAGGCGAAATATTGATAATATACTGAAATAGCAATTATAAACAATAGGCTATTTTTAAATAAGTATTACCGGTACTAAAAAATAAATAAAGTGCTCATATACATATGGTTATTTGGATACAGAGCAAGTATCATAGAATAAAATTCAAGGCAAAAAACTGATTAAATACCAGAATAGCAAGTATAATAAACATTAAGATACTTTTAA